CGCTGGTAGCGTTGCGGTTACTGTAATGAGAGAGACGACCTCGCGGCACACGAATCTTCTGTCTTTTACTCGGGACCTACAACATCTCGACGGCTTAATAACAGTATAGCGAAGACGAAAAAAGCACGGCAATAACATATTAAAAATTTTGGCGTATATTCTAAAGGATCTTTGAAAAGTGACTTAATAATTAACCATTTCCGTCTGGGTGGTTGAAACGGATCTTGCTGCCGATTTGGTGATTTCTGTTTCTGTGATAATTGTTTCAGTTGCATGACTTGATGTCCCAGTCTTTAGGATAGTTATTTATTCTGTTTTCACCGCAGTAATATTATCAAAAGTAGGATTTCGAAACACGGAAGTATATGGCATGAAGTACTCGTATCGCCCGCCAGTCTTTTATGAAGGCGTGATTTTCCGAACGATCCTGCCCATTCGTGGAACAACAAATAAGACAACACATGATAATGACTGTTTTTCCCTACATTTTTAACTTACAATATATGACATTTCTAAGCAAATACAGACTGCGCTACCTTAAGCCTTCATTCATTAAAACTTTCATTAATTTATTTCAGCTAGTTCTAGTATAGATTGCCGAATATAGCCCCCCCCCCCCCCCCCCCCCCCCCCCCACAGATGGCACTTGCATTAATTGATTGACTCATACAGAAATGGAACCACTTCTTGCGCTAACAGTAGCTATGTAACTTGTTAAAGATAAAAAATAATTGGCATACATTCCATTATGATGAACTGAAACACTTTTCTCATTACTAAGTTGCTTTAATTGCGTTGAATGTACAATAAAAGCGACCCACCTCGACCTCACAAAGGCACCCGTTGTCATCAAATAAAATAAAGCAACTGTATTCCGGTGTTTAAGCCTGGCTCTCAGCGTGGTCTCGCCTTATACTAGGCTTAACAATTACTAGACCTGATTATTTTATGTGTCTGTCTCTAAACTATTCTTCTTCTCTTTCATTGTAACGTATAACATTGAAAAGGAGCAATAGTTTAAACAGACCACTAGCCAACCTTGTTTTTTCAGTATTCTGTTGAATCTAAAGTAACTTTAATATTAATTGTTTTCTTATTTTTTAGTTATTTCTCCTCTCCTGCGCCAGCTCCTTTTATTTGTAAATTTCAACATGAAAAACCCAAGAAGTTATATTATGATTGTTATTTCGTTTATTTTAAATTAACTACTGAAATTCATAATAACAATAAAAATTACACGTGTTGGGAAATCTATGAATAAAGACCATTGATAAGTGTCAGCCAAAATCGACAATCGTTTGTTATAAGCGAATTCGCTGCATGCGATACGCAAGCAGTCACCCTAATTGAAAGCTTATCTTCACGCCATTATTGAATGAAATAATTTTTACCGAGTCTATAACATTTAATGACTTTAACAAGTAGTAAAATAAAATCAATATATCTACTCCATAAAAAATAAAATAATTAAATTAATATTCGATAAAACTGTGGTAGAGCAAGAACAGCTCGCATGAGAGGTAATGCCACAAGTGTTCCAGCTCGACCGGGGAAGTAACACGGACAGGAGAGCGGCATTATGTCTGTGGTAGGGCCACGCAACAGTCGTCGCTGTTGCACGAATGGGCAGGTCCGTCCGGGTAGAAGTGCCTCGACGTCATAGAAGACCAGCGTGAAGTAGAAATATTATTCTTCTGCATTTCCTCTGGCGAGTGAGGCAGCCGGAGCCCACTTTATTAGGTGGCAAATTTAATACTGGAGCCCCGCTCTCTATTTGACTGGTAACACGCTTCACACGTATCTATGTAATAATCAACAGGAACTCTTTATGAGATGGTAAAGAGTTCCAGTTGATTACGGCGACCCGAATGGCGTAGTGGATAATGGGCCTGCCTCCTGCGCAGGAGGGTGTGGGTTCGATACCCACTACTGGAAAAATGTTCTGTGATGAACATAGTGTTTTTCTAGTCTTTGGGTATTTATATATGTATATTTATATATATGTAGGATTAATTATTTAATAGTTGAGTAAAAGATGATTTTTGAACAAAAATGAAAGGATATGTAAAAGGGATTGAGGGACTTTTCGCAACGACGCCACGAACGAGTAACGTGTACCTAAAATGTAGTAATTTAAATAAAGATGAAAATAGTAACAATATACAAAATAAAGATTTTATTTATCCTACGCCTACATATATTACAAAAGAATAGTACAAGCGTTGCTTAGTTTGCGACTAAAGAACGTTGTGTAAATATGTCCTAAAATATTTATCATTGTTATTGTTGTGCGTCGGACCATCTCTGTACGTTATTAAGTCTTCGGGCCACGTAATCCGGCTGAGCTAGCGCCGGATCAACGGTGATCCGCGCCGAAATCCGCGCTGGCAATAAACTGCGCGCCGCCACTAGCCCCCCGCGGAGTCCCACCGCGTCGCCTAACTCCTTCGCATATTAAATCTATTAGGCGGAGCGATTACACGACGATGGCTATTTAAGTGACACATCGCTCGTAACACATTCGTTCATAGATGCAGTTACAAGTTACATTTTTTTTGTTAATTGTGTTATGTTTGGAAATATTTAGTAAAACTTTATTCGATGAGTAAATAATGTTATGAAAGCAAAAAGGTGTTCTCATTTGATCTCCAAGCAAGAAATTGTTAGAAAAAAGAGTAGATATTGACCATTAAATAAAAATGCTACTAGTTGTGTATTTAAATAGAAACAAATTACTAATTTTGTTATTATTATTTACATTGTAGTTTCTATAATCGTTACATTATTAAATAAAAAAAAAACAAGCCTTTTTCGAAATTTAATTAAAATTCAAGAATAATGTTAGAGAAGGAATAAAACGGCGCTAAGCAGTAAGCCAAGGATAATCATTTCAAAAATTTCATTGTCCCCGAACAAACCCAAAATATTGATCCAAGACTTGGACGACTCTCCAAGGCTCTTTGATGTATTAAAAAGGACACCCGACTAAATTAACCAATCAACTAATCGCTTGCGCCCGGCTAACGAAAGAGTACCAAAAATCTTATTCTTATCTTATCAGAAGATATCTTTTTTACTTTGGGTTTTCTAAGTTGATGCGACGTTTAGGTAAACGATCTAGCTACACGGTTCACTTTATCTTTCAATTAGATTACAGAGATACGGTGCCTCGAGAGGGGACATGGGTTCTGAGTCTGAGGGCGTATCGTGGGCGGCGCCCAACGCCTCGGGGCAATCCTCGACGTCACTCGCTCGCTTCCGGTGCCACATCCGCCCGCGTCTAGCGTTTTCCGTCACCAACTTTTTCCACAAGCCAAACAGTTTTAATCTAACTTTATATTTTAATTAGTCAAGATCGAACTAATACAATAAATGCGAGTTAGTGTGAAGTGTTCCTGTTCATTCGTAACGACGTATCGGCTCAACCCATTTCATTGAAATTATATTGTAAAGATAATAGGAACGCTTAATTTACGTGTTACTTTTAATCACGTACCAATTAACGGGACTTAAATACGATGGTGCGACTACAATTCAGTTCAATACTAAACTTTTGAAGCGATTCACATTTCTAATAATTACACACTCTGAGCCCGGTGCAATTAAATAATGTGGTTAGGTGAGGGAATTAGTAGTTATAGCAGGGAGCTGTGTGTCGAAGGGCCATGCTGTGGCTGAGCGCCAGCAACCACCGGCGTTTACACCATTTCTATCCAGGTATAAAATTGTAGAGCAAACTAACAAAATATTACAAAAAAAAATTATATATCTATTGCGGAAAAAATGATAAAATAGTTCTATATCATCTTACGATTGTTCTATGTCATTGTATTACTTGAATGTGTCACAAACCTAAAAATAATATGATCTGCTAAAATAAAATGCCACATCATAGGAAAGTTCTGGACATACGAGTAGGTCAGGTCTATCTTATCGGCTGCTTTCTTTGCAATTTAATATTCTGTAAAATAGTTTCTGGTCTAATTTTATTAGGAAGCATCAATACCAAGTAATTATTTTGACTATCTTACACTAAGCATTTGAATATAAGGACTTTCGCATATTAAAATGCTTTACTTTACGATGAAAATAATTACCATATTTTATCGTATTATTTACTTTACATCATACGTTTAAATATGTTCGCGGTGAGTTTTCGCCTTTCTTCATACGAAATCGACAAATGTTGAATATCCTTTTCTAAATAGTTTAACACCTTACTTTTATATGTATAAATGAAAATTTACTTTATTATTTTACTCGTGAGAATTAAAGCATTTCGTAAACTAACAGTCTGTTCATTCGTCAGAAAGGTAATAAGATTTAAATATAATATACAAGCAAACTAAATGATATAATGTCGAATTCAGAAACAAAACATCTAGGGTTTAGTTTGCCTATTCATTAATACTCGATCAACGAGAAGTTTGAAACTCGATGATATCAAGTAATCGTTGATTGAAAAACTTGTTTTTTCCAATAATTAGGATAGAAATTAAAAGACAAAAGAAGTCTACTAATTTCTATCCTAATTATTGCCTTGTTCTCCGTACTGGACTGACACCTCTAGTGGGACGCATATTTATTATTGCTTTTTGTTGCCTCAATTTTGGTCAGCATATTATTGACCACGTCATTTTGGCTATGAAGAATCCACATTAAGTATTCTGATTTGTCATACCTCATTTATAAATCGCCCCAAAAGAAAAAACGGCCTCAAAAAATGTACGCATAGCGTATTTCCTCCGGTGTGTACAATTACCATATTTCCGTCATGTTCAGTTTCTAAATCCTCTTTTCCATTTGCCATCTGGTATACTTCTTGCTCTTGTCCTTTCCACCTTTATATCAATCAATCAATAAAAATCTTTATTCAAATAGACGCTTGCGCGTTCTTATGAATCGTCAAGTTTTACATGAAACATTATACATAGAGGATCGTAAGGTACCACCGGTTCGGAAAGCAGTTATATATTATAAAATCCAATTTGTTGTTAAAGAGCCTTACGCGTCTCTGAGCAACGGTGCGCGTGCAGGGGGCAGCGGCGGCCAGGTGCAGCTGTGGCAGTTCCTGCTCGAGGAACTGGCAGCCGGCGCGCCGGGCATATGCTGGGAGGTGAGGATTACACACTTTTTCTTTCATGCCATTATTACTATTAAAGCTTAATATTTTTGCAAAAACGAAAGATCCTGCGCAGATTTAAAGCTTATCATTTTGAATAACGGCTCGTACAGTTGCGGTAAGTTTCGAATATAAAATTTGACAATTGTTGCGAATACGACTTAACAAACATGAACCAATCAGCGTACAATGCGTCGTAATACGTTCAGTTTTAAGCCGAAACAATTATACTTGTGTGGCGTTGACACAACTTGTGAATCATTTTGTTAATAGAATTTGTTAGTAGTATTTGTTATTTCCTAGGGTTTTTCGACCGGTCCTGCTTGATATTAACCTTCCTTGGTAAACAACCACTCAAATCTCCGGAACAATTATCTGTAGTATCTAATAGGTGGCCAAGAGGATTATTACGTTTTGATTTTCTGGGCATTTTCAAAACATACCTACAACATACATATTAGTAAAGTTGCGACTAAATGCATGTAAGCATTGTATTCCGGAACGTCTAATTTTGCGTCGACTGCGAGGCCAAGAGACAATTTTATCTCGTAATGGGCGCAGGGTGCCCCCGGTGAGGGCGAGTTCCGGCTGTCGGACCCTGACGAGGTGGCTCGCCGCTGGGGCCGCCGCAAGCAGAAGCCCAACATGAACTACGACAAGCTGTCGCGAGCGCTGCGCTACTACTACGACAAGAACATCATGACCAAGGTACCCCGTCATGAACCAGCCTATCACTTTAGCAAACTAACGAGCGGCTTACCTACTTCTTTTATTCTTTTTTTGTCAACATCTAAAAGCTGGTTTTCCGCTTACTCCACTTCATACAAATACTTTTAGTTTATATTGGTTTTTTGTAAGGCACACCGTGATCGGGCCCGCCCGTACATCAGCAAATGTGAACGTTTAGCATATTCACAGGGAGAGTACAGCAAATCTAGAAGTTTCCTACGACATTGGTAATTCGCCTCTTGGCATCCAGTCGTGTAATCATTTGCGAGCTCATAATCGTAGACCACGCTTCGCATTCGAAATGTGAAATATGAAATATCATCATATCGTGAGTGCAGGTGCACGGCAAGCGGTATGCGTACCGCTTCTGCTGGCCAGGGTTGGCAGCAGCCTGCCAGGCGCAGGCGGCCGACGCGCCCCCCTACTGGCGTTGCATCGCCCCCGCCGCCGCCGCTGCGCCCTCTCAACCATCACAGTCCGCACAGCCGTCGTCAGACCTCCACCCCTCGAATTGGCACTAAGTGCATGATTTGGGACTATGTGATTATTTTGTACGCATTTCTGCGATGATAAAACGCTTTCAATTTCGCGTGTAAGATAAGCCCTGTGCGGGAGATGCCTAAGGACAGCTACAAGTAGATAGACTGTTGCCTTGATTCTCCTATTAGTTTTACATGTAACTAGTTTTAATACCTTTGATTAGATTTTTTTATATTTGCTGGTGTTAACTACATTAAAAAGATTTTGTTTTACTTATATATAAATTGTTGACAACTTTTTTATCCTTTGTTAACAAGTAGACTATAAGCATTTATATTTTACAGCGTGTCATTACCACCGCGAAAATAAATGAACACACGTCTAACGCTCCTTGCCAATAATCATAAAAAAATATTAACGTTAAAAAATCCATAATTAAAAAAACATTTTTTTCAAACAAACTAAGTAAAAAAGAAACAAAATTTGTAACACCTATACAAATACAACTGACTGATTCATACATTCAGAGGCTTTTTCATTCGTTGGCACAGCGTCGCATTACAAGCCTCTCCTTCTGACAGTATGTTTTGTCTCTTTTAAATTCATTCAACCCATTCATATACTTTGTGACCTTTACAAATGAACTTTAAGTTACAGTTTTATACGTAAGGGTGTTGTAAAATTCTTTGTTTTTGGAAAATTTAATAACTCGGCTAATATTGATGTTTAAAGAATGTAAATATGTTTAATACAATTTTAAAAAGTTATCCTCTATATGTGTGTTCATTTATTGTCGCGATTGTAAAGACACGCTGTATATAGGTATATTCGTCATGAATCTTTTTCTTATCTTCTCCAGTTGTAGACAGTAAACATGAACATCCTTTTTGAATCTATGTTTGATTTAACAGTTTTTTGATTTAAGCAGTTTAGCTAAAATAATAATAAAAATTAAAATAACAATAATCTTATATTTAACTACATCACACTTAGAGCAAATTTTTATTAAGATTGCATGCCATTCTGCAACGGAGGTTAAATTAATAGTTATTTGGCATTGACACTAAATAACGTGGTTGTTTGTTTTTAATTTCTTGAATAACTTTTAGTCGCCACTTAGTTTTCTATCTATTTTAATAATGTAGATGGTAATCGGAGTAGAGATACCTCTACTCTCCATAGTAGGTACTTAGGTAGTATTTAGATATGTCTTCAAGGGAATAACGGTGGATCAGTTAACCTAAATTTTCCATATCGGACGCAAAAAATAAACATAACTGTTGAGATTGTTTTTATTTACCTGTTTAAGAGTGTTTTGTTTATGTATTTTAATATTATAATAAAATAAGTATGCTTAAACTATAATCGACATGAGATTAATATTAATTTCACAGAGGATTATATATTTTTTTTTTTTTTTCATATACTTTCTCTGTAACAATTTTAAATATTGATGCGCTAAGCTTTCTTCTGGTTTTAAACTATTGATACCTAATAGTAATACAGTAATAGATCACAGAAACTAAAGTTAAAGTTTAGTTACTCCGTGGCGCAGCCGTCAAGTTATTGGCTTCGGCGTCGGGGGTCGAGGGTTCGATTCCCACACGGGACAACTATTTGTGTGTGTGTGACCCACAGATAGTTGTTTCGCACCTGGGTATTTGTCCACGTGAAATTTATGTTTGTAAAATGTCCTTGCAACACAGGATAATGTTATCCTAAAGTGAGGGCAATGTTTTTTAAAATAAAAAAAAATCTATACCTATTTCATAAACTTTATTTATACATAATTCTACTGTACGTGTGTACCGAACTCCTAAACGGGTGGATCGATTTTAATGAAATTTTATGTGGGTCTTCAGGTTGATTCGAGAATGGTTTAGATTCATAATTTTTTTCAAGTTATCGGATTTAAGTCGTGTGTACAGGACGTCTGTCCGGTCCGCCAGTATATTATATAAAGTCCTTGAAAAACAGACTACTTACATATTTACGTTAGTATGAATTGTTTAAGTGCCTATTAGAAATATACAAAGACCGCAAGCTTTACGGCGATTTAGACCGTTTACTTGACTTCAACTTACTATATTGACAATTTCGTTGATCAAGTCAAGTTGATCATGTTTTGAAAACATTCAATAGCTTTATTAGGATTCTGAATATATAGCATATATAAATAATGCAATAATAAAGAACGACATATCCTTAAAAGGCCGATTGAATGACAAAAAGTGAAAAAGAAACATGAAAATGCTATTGTTAAACTTGAATAATTTCAATAAGTATTACGGACGCAGAAAACCTTCTATAACGGTTATATTCGTTCTATCAAATAAAAAAGGCGCTAGTCAACGCAAGCATCATATTAGTATTTAAGTAAGTACAACAACGAAAATTTTGATATACTTAGTCATAAACCATATAGCTAGGACATTCTGGTCATAATACAAACCAGTGCATATTTTCCTATTGATATGAATTCAGAATTGAAAAATACTAAAAGTTTATCCATAGAGACGCAATAAATTTATATGTAGACACATACGTTCTTATTGTTACGTAATTTTATTATGGTTTATTGAGTTATTATTATCTTATTTTTATACTCTGACATTTTTATTATTTACCTTTGTTTTATGTGGGCAAGACAACCGATATGTACAACTATTTGTATTTGTTGAAAAGGAAAAATCGAAATGTATAAATGTAATAGATATTTTGTAGTTATTATATAAAATTATAAAGATAAGTATTAAGTAATCTGTTGCTTCGTGTTTTATTTCATATTAAGATTTATTAAGTAAGTACTTATTTTTAATATCCATCGAATTTTGTTACATTTTTGTGACAAGTTTAGGAGACTTTTAGTTGTTCAATTGTCTTTGATTGTTTTATGCCTTTAACTTTATCTTAATTTTTTATTTTCAAACATATTTTTGCTAATACATGTTGTTTTCTTTAGCTATTAGATGCTGGTTGGTAAATACTTTGTAATGGATAACTTTTTGCCCAGTGATAGTTCATCACAATAAAGTTCCTTCAACATTTAATGACTTTTATTTTCTTACTCAAGAAACAATCCCTTAGGAAGCAGAAAAAGATAATTTTGCCCTATGCACGTTTCTCCTTAGAGATATTATTTCGATACCCGAAAGAGAGTGTTGCTGAAGTGTCGCGGTAACAATGATAATAGATAGATGTGCCTAGTGATAAAATTTCCAGTTTCTAATCCGCTAGTTTTACGCTGATGTGTATCACCCAGTTATTGACTTTTTTCATTATTTCATTATAGTAAGTTTGATGATCTATTTAACACTCAAAGGATTTTATTTCACAATATCGTGAACAAAAGGAATGACTTCAATATTTACTATTTTATTGAAAACGCGCCAATCTGGAGTGTAATTAACTCGTTTAATTAGTGTCTTTGAGAAGTTGAGTCTACTAAAAAGAAATTTACTAAAAATGAAATAAATTGTACACATAGAGCGAAACCTGCTGTAAGAGATTTGCGAATATGGCTTCGTACTTTGAACTCGGCTAGGCGAGGCGGTTTATCGGTGGGAATTTTTAATGGGAGAGTCCAATGCGATAGCAGTTTCCCTATAAAAATACGAAGCTAGCTAGCTAGCTGGCGTTACCCTTGAGGCGGCGGACACGCGCCCCGATACGGCGCCCACGCACGCAGCGGACACAGAGGTCTGCAACCTTCCCTCCTAATCTATCATTTGCGTGTCTGTAAGTTCTCATCATGTCGCAACTGTTGAAAACTCGTGAATGGAGGCAGTTTATAACTAGACTGATATATAACACTACTTCCTTAATAAAATAAATATTATTTACTTTCGTAACTGACAAAGTAGCCAAGTGACACTAGTACACATATTTTAAACCGGAAATGTGGAAATTTATTTCGAAATGTAGATTATGAGGCAAAAGAATTGCAATTAAAAGAAGAGAACAAGAAACCTATAAAAGGAAGTTCCAGAGGAACCTTTTTTCTATACGTAAAAGACCAACGATGCCGACAGCTAGTTAAGGTATGAATGTTGCTTTGATGATCAAACGACCGCAACTGCGCAACGACCAAATGATTCTGAGATACCAGATCATAGTAGGTACCTACTAGGAAAGATGAATAAAACTTTGTACTTGAATAAAAAGTAACCTATTTTCACAAGGACATTTTTTACAAATGCAAGGTTTGTGCAAAAAAATTGTACGCGACTCAGTTATCGTTGTAGTCTATTGCATGTTGTCGACTTCTGTCGCTCGAGCATTCGGGCGTCGAGCGCGCGCTTCAGTCCACGCAAGATGGCGTCGCGCACTGCCGCACCGCTGCTCCTACTACCCTCTCTCTTCTGCTTGCTCTCAGGTAACCGCCATTTTGGTTTGTGAAGAGGCCTTCACGTTACAATAACCCCTCATCAGCTATGAAATACGAAGCTTTGCCGTTGGTCTAGGAGATAGATCGCTGCATTATTAGACAAAGCAAATGTACGAACAAGCGATTTATCATCATCAGACGATATTTCGGGTATCCGAGTCATTGGTGCAGCAGTGTCAGGTGGCAGTGATGTGGAATTGTTCCGTTCAGTGGTGCGACTGGCGGCCGCGGCGTGCAACAACGTGACAGAGTTCAGCACCCAGCTGGACACTCTGCTGGCGGAGTACGACCGGGAGACGCTGCCGGAGACCAAAGTGCTCGTCGAGATCGGACTCAATGTGCGCCACGCCACCATTGATGAGCGCGCCTCCTCTGTCCATATGCTCGCTGACCTAATCTTGGTACTGATGCTATTTACTATTTTGTAACTGTCGCACAAAATTCAACATATATGTTTACTGCTATTACGTGCCACGGATGCGGTAATGTTAACAACTTATTAGCAATTTCAACAATTTAGACGCAAAATGTAACGCCATTAGATCCGTAAAATAATTTTATTCAATAAAATTTTATGTTCGCGTTATGTCAAAAAATCATTATTAAATAGGGAGATCAGTGCTATTAATGTGGATTTGAAAACGGATTAAAATAAAATGTAGCTCATCGCTAATAGCTCATTAACGGACTTCAGAGTTGGGACGACAAGCGGCTGTCGTGGAACTCGTCGGAGTGGGGCTGCGACAGCGCGCTGGTGACGGCCGAGCGGTTGTGGCTGCCCGACGTGGTGGTGGTGAGCGCGGCCACGTGGGGCGCGGGCTCCGAGGCGCAGAGGGCGCGGCTCACCAGCGGCGGCCACGTCTCCTGGACCTCCCGCTTGGACCTCTCCGCGCCCGTCGAGTTGCACCTCGAAGCTTGGCCCCGGGACCTGCACACGATTACCTTCAAGTTCGCGTCCAGGGAATTCGACACGGATCAGATGGACCTGAAACTCGGCGACCGCCAAGTTCGTGTCTTCCTTTACAAAGCTTTCTATATTCTCTTGTACTAAACTATTTGTTTAACTCGATTATGGTAACTATTAACGAATACTAATGATATTGTTACGTGTTAGGGGTTCGAAGGATTTGGAGAGAAAGACCTGCTGACTCTTTTGAAGACTTTATTCAAGCACTAGGTCCAACACAAAGCACTAGGTCCAAACCCTAAGCACTAACGATGTCCTATTTTGTGGCCAAGTCGTAAGTTTCACTGGTATCGCTCTTGATCACTAGTTTTCGCTCCGAAGTCGCCTCGAAGGTAGCTCAAACTGAACTGTGATCGCTCGCCTCCCTGCGGCTTTTTATATGGGCCGAGACCGATTCCGGACTAATCCAGAAAGATCCTTCCTGGAACGTACCCGACACGCACGAACATGTTCGTGATTCCGGAAAGTTCACGAATGTACCCGGTTGTCGAGACTATAGTTCCACAGCAGTTCCTCTAACGCCATCTAGTGTTGAATAGGGGGTTTTATGTCGTCTTTGTTCTTTAGTGGTTTTAATAGTTGACGCTAGATGGCGTTAGTTCCTTTGTTTGTTTATAACAATATGAATTGCGCCTAAAGTGATGTACACTTCGGGCACCTTTAGGCTTCGAATATTTGACCGCTAAGATAAGTGATAGACAAGGTTAGAAGACTTTAAAATATTTATATATAGCTTAAACCTGCGCCTTCCGGATTACGCGTCCAAACGCTCTAGCCACATAAGCTAAGCGGTCGATGTCCTCACCGCACTAAAATCACGACGTCTTATTTACTTTGTTTTCATTGCATTAGTAGCAATGGCTCGTGGTCTAGCGATATCTAATGTGGTTCCTTAACAGCGAGCACACTTTCTCAAATGACACATTCACAAGGAACGTTCGATGGCAGGACGTGGCGGCGTACGCGAGCGGCGGCTGGGCGCTCGCGAGCGTTTCGCGCGCGCTCGAGGGCTGGCAGCGAGGGCGCGCCGAGGCGCGGCTGGCCACGTGGACCCTGGCGCTGCGAAGGAGGGCGCCGGCGCACGCGCTGGCCACCGACGCCCTGCTGGCCGCCGTCACGCTGCTCATGGTGGCCGCGACCGCCATGAGGCCGGCGGACCGGGCCCCGCTCTTCGCCTGCGCCTCCTTCATCGCCGCCCTCTGGTAGTATTTCGTGTCTGTCCCGGATCTCAACCTCATTTAACCTATAGTAGTGTTTTCCTCTAGCATGATTATACATTATGAAGAAGTTTCCTCACGTTTCTGCTTTGTGTATAGCCAATAATTCTCATCATCCGTCATCACTACATAGTATAAAACAAAGTCGTCCCACTGTCTGTCTCTATGTATGCTTAGATCTTTAAAACTACTATGTATAATACATTGCACCCACGCGAAGCCGGGGCGGGTCACAAGTTTAAAATAAAAGGGGCACAGTGAAATGCAAATTTTACTCTGTTAGGATCCATTGACGTGCTTTTTTGTACTCAAAATCTAAATAGTACTCTACTAGCATCTCGCCTTCAGTTAAATCAATCAAATAACTTTATTCAAATAGACGCTTGCGCGTTCTTTTGAATCGTTAAATTTTACATAAAAAAATTATACATATAAGTTCGTAAGGTACCACCGGTTCGGAAAGCAGTTTCTGTTCGAAACTCAACAGTTGCTCTTTTTCAAAAATATCTGTTTACAATATAACATACCGGTATAATAGTCTTATTCTACCCTACGTGAGTATCAACAGTATTAACTCCACACATTGGCGTCGTCGAGATATTCTGACGGCTTTATTAAAGGCTTCGACGGAAAAGTTACTGTGGAAAATTATTCCATTCTTGCTGTACGCGGTACTAAAGTGAAGGGAAACATCTTCGCTTGAACGTAAAGGATGTCGACGTCAAAAGGGAAGTTTGCTGTATCTCTAGTCGACCTACGATAGAAAGGATAGCTGCGCATATTACCCTAAACGTAAGGTTTTTCTGCGCCGGTGCTCGAGAGTGGGCATACTTATTCCAACATATACTGGTGGTTCGTCAGCAAAATGAAGTCAGTGAGCATGGCATATTCTATTCGTCAACGTATGGGTGGTTCTGGCGCAGGCTGGTGTCGGCGCTGGTGCGGCTGCCGGGCTCCGCCACAGCGCCGCGCACTGTGACGGCGGCGGGGGCGCTGTGCGCGTGCGGGGCCGCCGCCGCCCTGTGCGCGGCGCTGGTGCGGCAAGTGGCCAGTGCCAAGGCGTCGCGCACCGCCTCGGCGCCCGTGCGTGCCTTCCTCGCCGCCACCACAGCAGCCGCCGCCCTCTGCCGCCTTGCGCCCGAGGTTACTATTCGTTCGGGAACATTTATCCCAATATAGGAAAGGGATACGCAGCCTTTAACTTAACCGCTTGAGAGGATTAGAAGAGTAGTGCCAATATTAGCCACAACACGACCAAAATCCCCGACAGATATAATGGTACAAGATCAGCATGGTTACGATACATTTTTTTTTAAATAAAATCGCCCTTTATTATTCCTCTCTCAAAGATTATGTATAGTCACAATCTCAAATCATCAGATCCACTTTTCGTATGTAAAGCGCTGAAAAGCTCTATCAAATAGCTCCACCTACTCCGCATACTTAGTGCATTAGAGCACATCAGATGGCACCAATCGGTGCTACTATGCAATAGTTAAAGTAGCTACGCAGATTCTTCCTCAGCGCAGAAAGTTTTTGTCCATTTATCTAAAATAATTCACATTTCAAGTTTCATCTTGAGTGCAGGGTATATAGGTAAATCAAAAGAACTGCTGAACCTTCAAGAAGTTTAATTCACTCCATGGGTCTTTTGGACTTCTGGAACCTTGATATTTCGAACAGACTCCATCGTCGCGGGACAAACTATGACCACCAACACAAAGTTTTGTTATAAAAATAGACTAGACTAGACTATAGACTTAATAAAAAATAGAAATTTTTCTCTTTTCGTTGTAAGTTAATTATAACACGCGTCATTACCATTTATGTTTTTTTTTATTTTCTTTATGTGAGAAGGTGGCAAGCGAGTTGTAGCTTCACCTGCTGTTAAGTGATGACCTCCCCATGGACACTTGCAACACCCGTAGGATTGCAGATTTGTTGCCACCTTTTAATAAAGTGGGTCCCGACTACCTCACCACACGCGGAAGTATAACGGTCCACTTCACGTCGTACCACTTAATTTCGGTCTTCTGTGAGGTCGTGATACTCACACGGACACAGACGTGCAACAGCGAAAACTGCGACGTGGCCCTTCCACAGTAAATATCGGAGAGAATATTTCTTTATATATGTATATCGGATAGAAATGTGTCATATGAAGAACGTAAAAGTATAGTTACACACCATTTTTCTTTCATAATATCGTCGTGATTTTATTCCGGGCAGCCGACGTCGGATGGTGAGAGAGCCGCGTGGGCCAGTGCGGCCAAGGTGCTGGACTATGTGCTGACAGCTATCATTTTGCTGACGCTGTTCATCATCGTTTGCATCAGTCTTTAACAACAGAGGAACACTGCCACGAGCCAATTTCCAGGAGCTTGTTAACTTCAAGTTCGACATTGCTCATCACTAAAGTAATTCTAAAGCAATGTAAATTCACTACTCGGGACTGGTTACTGAATTTAGATTTTGATGAGATAGAAAATATTATTCGGGTTAAACGTTAAATATAAATAACATATCTAATTTACATTCAATTTCTAATAAACATTGCACACACATACACACACACACATACACACAATTTTTTATACTTACCCGTACATTCTATGTAGTTACGCTTCCCGCTTATAATTATACCATACACCCAACACATCTTGTGGTAATTTTGCACGGACAATTCTCTTTTTGTTTTGTATCTACCTGCATGTTTTTAATTTTTAGTTTTGTTTGCAAAGGTTTTAAATATTGTTGCCAAAAATGTTTAAATTTTACTTATAAGGTTAAATTAATGTATTCTCTGAGTGGGAGACGCAGGCAGCCGTGACACAGTTTATACTGGTATGGCTGCCGACGTTTACCTTTCAATGTAAATGATGCTACTTTTAAATAGCGTTAGTTATTATGTAAAATTAGTTGAGTGAATAAACAAATATTATTATTAAAAAAAAAAAAATTGGCGGACGATACACTATTCTCGTATTTTATGAGTTTTATTGTGCCCGAATATTAAATGCTCAATGTATGTGATTTTAATAAATTGTTGATCCACGTATTACATCTGTGGTAGTATTTTATTCCCTTTATTTTGTAAAATTATTAATAAAATTTATTATAATTTAATATAAAGGCAATAGCTTTAAAATTGTATGGGTTTATCATTGTATCTTTTTTATCCTGTATCATTATAGAACTTTTGTTATCTGTTTGTTATCAGGTTATAAGGATTTAATAAAATAATTATATGTCAACTACGTAAACTAAAACTGTTTTAAATATATTCCACAAAATTATCTCTATGCAATCATCACTAAAATTCTCAGAATTGTGATATAAATCTACTAGCGCCATCTAGTAGCAAGGTACAATGGGGGTTTGGTTTTGTACAAGCCGTGTAAAAATAGGTTTTCCTTTTAATAATGTAAGCGAATAGATGTCGTATTTTAGACTATTAACCTATACTCCACACAGAAACTGGTTGAACAGAGTTATTACTACTATTACTAATTTATTATATTTTTGGAAAGTACGATTTTTTTACTTTATATATTGCCTATTTATTTATCATGATATTTTTGTAATAACATTTTTAACTACAATCTTCTCTCAGTAAATAGAATATATTTAAGTGTACGATACTAATTAAAAATTATGATATTGATTTAGATTTTTTTTTATGTGAAAAGTTGCTAAACGAGCAGACGGTTCATCTGATGGTAAGTTAATACCGCCGCCCATGGACGTCTGTTACACCCGAGGGTTACAGATGCGTTGACAACCTTTTCGTAAAGTGGACTCCGGCTACCTCACTCACCAGACGAAACGCGAAAGTATTTGTCATACTTCCACTTTACGCTGATCTTCTGTGAGGTCGCGGTACTTACCTGGACGGGTCTGCCCATTCGTGCAACAGCCGAGGCTGCTGCGTGGCCCTACCACCGTTAAAAACCTATGTACGTATGTCTGTACCAGTGTATCAATGCATTCACGGAAATACTCAATTTTAAGGTCATTTAAAAGACTATGTTTCCGACGTCTAACGAGAGGAAAATCGTTATTTGTTTTTATGAATCAATTTGTCCCATTTGAGAGGAGCACTCTGCTATTTATTTCATGGATGATCATGAAAACCATTTGGCTTTTATTCTGGTTAAACTACTAAATAAAGTCACAGCAATTATCCTTATCTCTATTTGTTCCAAGTAATCCGATATTTTGATCTGAATTACGTCCCGGTTGTTGTATCTTAGACAGTTTTCCTTTTTTAGCATCTCCTATTTCCGAGCTTATATAAAATCCGAGTTTTTTAATGCATTATGCAGTTGAATAATTAGTTCGGGAATAACGTTTTAAAGGTTTTAAATAAATTTACACAACAACCCGTGTCAGAACTTGTTATAATATTAATGAACAACTACATGCAATAGCGTGGGTGATGAGTAAGTACGTAATGCTCTTAAGAATGCGCAGGCGCGCCAACACTAATTTTTGATAACGCCTGGTGGTGTGGGTTATCAAATAGACCCACGCAATTGGAGTCAGAAGCGGAGCCTTGCCAGCGCGAGCTCCGCCAGCAGGGCGAGGGCGGCGGCGGCGGCGCCCGCGAGCAACGCGTGCGCGGCGGGCAGCGCGTCGCGCAGCCGCACGCTGCCGAAGCCCGCGCTGCCCGCCTCGCAGCGCGGCGCCGCCGCCAGCCACGTGCGCCGCGCGCGGCACACCAGCCCCACCTCCCGCTGCCACCTCAGCCTGCATTGCGAACGCACAACTTAACCTACTAGCTAACTGCTAACTAACGATTAATCCCCCCGCAACAGTCTTCCCCGTTGCATGAATGGGCAGGTTCGTCCGGGTCAGTACCACGACCTCACACAAGACCTGCGTAAAGTAGAAATACTTTGCCACCGCATGCCCACTCGCCACGCCATGCGGGTGGTCATTATGATCATAGCACCGTAACCAATCCCTCACCTAGAAGCCAACAGGTCCCTGTAGCCCGAGTGCCGCCGGATGGGCACCGCCACCATGGGCAGCTTAAAGGCCTGGATCTCCTTCAGGCCGCACTTCTCGGGCTCCGTGAACGTCTTGCTTATTATGTCGTAGCCGGAACTCTGCTCCACCTGTGGAGGGCCGGAGTCAGACGGCAACCGACCAGTGCCGCCCTCGGCCGACGTCGAGGCCGCACCTGGAAGGCGAAGAGGCCGGTGCGCAGCCGGGCCACGCCTTCGGCCACGCTCAGGTAGGCGCGCTCGCCCAAAGGCAGCAGCTTCCTCCGGTACAGTCGCCGCGTGGCCGCCTCCTCGCTCTCCTGCACACGACGCTCTACCCGGTATATGCTTCCGCCAGTTTGTCGCATTATCGCTCTAAAGTATATCATTATCTATATGGGTCATTTTAAAGGCCATCGATTTGAAAAGTATTTGCATTTGTTGTTAATACCTGTCTTCATGTCTCTTTTTCGTTTTGTATATGTAGTTTATCAATTTTTTTAAATTACTTTTGTGCCGGTACTATTAAATACTAGTTTTATATTTTAGGAAAACCTTTTTTTGCCATCAATGTGCATCTATCTTTGTGAACAATTTATTTCTGTATATCTCAGAAATATATAGAAATATATACATAGAAAATAATAACGTATAAATAGAAAATAGTAACAAAAAATTAATTCATTTTTTTTTCTGCAAAAACACATTTTTATGTGCAAAAACATCATCTTTCTGCGTTAAAACTTACAGCGAAATAAACTTTCTTATAAGTGGTTTCCTGCACACCGAGGGTCATGGGAGAGTTGGTCAAGTCGTCGATGGTTTGCAGAGCGTTGCTCGGCGATTGCAGGATGGCCACCACCTTGGCCGAATACGAAGTGAACACGAAGAGTGATGACAGCAACATGCAGAACATCACCAACCTCAGAGACCACAGGCGTGGAGACAGATTCGATCCTGGCGAAAAACTTAACTAAATCATATCATACTCTAGATGCCCTTCCTCTCTGAGGAATTACACTTTATGAACCGGTCGTGTTATCACCAAACGCAACAATAAATAGAGAACATAATTGTTGCAAAAATTGTTGCAATACGGCACAGATACACAGTCTACAACTCTACAGAAACATTAAGTCGGGATCACCCTGTTGGCACATAGCGCCGATGGCGAAGGTGAAGCAATCGGGCCACGCCAGCCGGCGCAGCGCGGGGTCCGACGCGGGGGTGGCCCTGGCCGCGGCGGCCAGCAGCGCTAGAAGGGCGCCACCGGCGGCGCTCGCTGCCAGCGTCGCAGCCCACACGCCGCGGCTGAACGGCAGCAGGAACACGTTCGACACAGCCGACTGCGGCGGCTGCCGGAACAGGAATGCGCCCCTGCGAATAAATGCGGTTGCGCTAGTGCTAACCCGGCTGGCTTTGGCGTTGGAGAGCAACGGATCTGTGATTAGGAACGCTTGGGCGCTGAGCAGCATGTCAAACGTGTTCTGCACGATAACAGCTCCAAGCACCGTGCCGAAAACTGCTGCTCTACTATTATTATATCAGGGAAGTCACCGACAAGATCGTCTACTATGTAAAGAAGGTTTCCATCATAAATGTAACGATCCGCAATAAATAAACGCGATAAGTTTCGTAAAAAGATGTGAAATTAATTATTATGAAATGTGATGCGCGTCACCTGAGCTCCACGGTTTCGGAGCAGTAGTGCAGCACGCTCCACCGGTCGGCGCGCATGAACATGGAGGTGACGCCCACCTCGAGCTGCCCACGTTGCAGCATCCCGGCCAGCCCGTCGAAGGAGCCGTTGTGCTCCTCGCCGTACAGGTCCACTTGCTGCAAATTGTACCTGAAGGAGAGATTCCGCAGTTACATATAGAACAAACAAACTCATCTGTAGGGGTACATAGTATAATTATATACATAACATAATACTTAAGATATGACAAAACTGTAGCAAAATTTTGCCCTGCGAGAATCTACACACTTAGATGACGCCAAGCATTTCTAAGAAATCAATAAGAATAAACCTGACAAGAAGTACGTATTTTCGCGCGGTGAGAATATCGACCGCATAGCTTAGTATATAGGTGGAGCGCCTGGCAAAAAAATGGCGATAGCTTTATCAACATATTTTATTACATATATTATTATAAAATCCGACGGTTTAACTTTGAACCCTTGGGAGAGAGGCAAAGCCCTTGTTTGGGACGCCACTTGTGTAGACACTTTGGCTGCCTCTCATCTAAGGGATACTCCGGTCAGGGCCGGGGCGGCATCGGAGGCAGCTGAAGTAAATAGCGCAAATATGAGTCTTTATGTATTTGTGCCATTTGGTGTTGAAACTTTAGGTCCGTGGGGTCCCCGCACATCATTTTTTTTTAAAGTTTATGCCCTATGCTTAGCGCCGCGGCTGGTAACAAGAGAGCTGGTTCTTTTCTCGCTCAAAGGTTAAGCATAACTATTCAGCGAAGAAATGCAGCTAGCATTCTTGGCAGCAAGCCGCGTGGATTAGGTTTATTAGATAAAGTAACAGCCTATACATGTCCCACAGCTGGGCAAAGGTCTCCTCTATACAGAGGGTATCAGGGCATAGTCCACCACGCGGCCCCACTGCGGATTGGCGGATTTCACATATCTTCGAAAAAAAAAATTTTTTTATTATTTCGAAAATATGCAGGTTTCCTCACGATGTTTTCCTTCACCGCGGAGCACGTGATAAGTCAGCACTTAAAGTTAAAAACTTCATTGGTGCCGGCACCGGGGATCGAACTCAGGTTGCTCGAGTATATTGAATAAAGAGCGAGCGCCCGGACACTGAGCTATCACGGCTCTCTGAGCTATCACGGCTCTCTGAGCTATCACGGCTCTCTGTGCTATCACGTCTCTCTGAGCTATCCCGGCTCTCTGAGCTATCACGGCTCTCTGAGCTATCACGGCTCTCTGAGCTATCACGGCTCTCTGAGCTATCACGGCTCTCTGAGCTATCACGGCTCTCTGAGCTATCACGGCTCTCTGAGCTATCACGGCTCTCTGAGCTATCACGGCTCTCTGAGCTATCACGGCTCTTACGGCGTTTATTAGATAATACTATGTAATTTTAGATAGATTTAATCTTGTAAATATTATATCGTTCAAATATATTCTGTTACTCCCTATTATAAAATAATATTCTGAAATCTGAATCTTGAAATTGTTACATAAGGATAACCTAAATATGCCTACCGAAAATTTAGGTCCTCTGCAGCCAGCATGAGTAGAGGGTAGGTAAGTTTCGGGAAGGTGTCGATGGCGCGGTTGTTTAGGTCCGACCAGCCCTTGAAATACTGCGGCTGACTAATCTTATGGAGAAATTATTAGTTGGATTTTTCACTTAAGTACGTATTTAATTAAAAAATTTATTTTTTATAATCTATCCAGATTATTTACTTACTATGGTTGCAGCTTTCAGGTAGACATTTTTAAGGTCCTTCCTCCTAGCGGTCGCGGTCGGCACCTGTGCCCAAAACGCTGCTAAACTTCCGTGCGTCATACTCGTGTTCATCCCAAGTTCAGATACTATGAGTGGTTGTGCTTGTTTGACGCGGTATACATCCACCGACATATCTGATGATATCCATACTACATCGGCATCAGGCAGTATGATGGAGTCAGCGAGATATGCTTCTATTGTGGTAATGTTTACTAGAGAGTCTTGCAGAAGAAGCCAGGAATAACGGTGGTTAAACGCACGGTTGGATGAAGCCTACAAGGATTTAAAAACTTTTCCAGTGTTATTTGATAAGTGAATTTCGCAGAAATGTTTATAAACTATTTTACCTCGTTTATAATATGGTCGGAATATGGGCAGGTGACATCGAGCACGACGCCTTCGCGATATGTATCGTAGGGTGCCATCGCTGGTAATTGTTCCCAATCTGATATTATTCTCAGGCGTACTCCGTGTATCTGGCTACTACGCCATAATAGCAAAGCTTTGTCTGCTATTGACAAATCGCAGTTATTTAAAAATATAAAAAAGTTGTTCAAAAATATAATAAGTATTCGAAGAACCGAACACAATACAAACTTTTAACTATTTATTTCACCACTTGCGACAATAAATTTGAGGGTATTGGTAAATTATCGAAAGTATTTTGTGTAGACTTATTATAATAATTACAATACCAAACGTCTTTCAGGTCTGCACAACTAACACTTAAGAAATCATAATTATAAAAAGGTGTTATAAATAATCCACCTAGTGGTGTGGACACAATATCTAAATCATTTTGTTAATGGTACTGCCTAGTTCTTTTTTTACAGCAGGCCTGCCTATCGTTAACCCTCCTTGTGAATGTTATGAATAATTCATGTACACTTTTAAGTCAAAAGTGAAATGCTCCAAAGTAAATATCTTTTATTTTAGGTACCTGATTTCCAACAGAGAAAAGCTGTTATCAAATAAACATGTTTTGAATTGAAATAAATTGGTATAAAGCTGATTAGGTCCATTATGGCTGTGGAATGGTCAAGAAATGTGGCAACTGATATATCTTCCGATACGATTACATATTTTAAGGGTAAGTTTTGCTTTCCATTTGTAACAATTCAGTCAGTAATACACAGTTCGCCTAAAATCAACACAGTTATAATTATTAAAGATCAAGACAAACTTTGTTAGCTAATTGATAATTTTTATTGTAATTTTGTTTTGGTGTTAACTGTAGTACAAGTTAACACCAAAACAAATCATTATTTTATTATATATTACAAAAATTGCGAGTACTGCCATTTAAAAGAAAAATAAAGCTTATTTAAACAAGTTTCAACTGAATCAATGTTTGTCAAGTCATTTAGATTGGCCATTAGAAGGCATTACCTGCAATTTTATTATTAGACGTGATGACCTTATAATAACAAAAAATCAACAGCAATTACAGATACCTATTTTTAGTTAATGTGGTGTACGGTTAATTTTTTTTACATTATTCTACTGGTGCAGGTCAGTTAAGATCTATTACAATTAGTTAATTGGAATCCAATGCATTTAATTCTTTTTGTGTATCATGTAGTGTGACCCGAACACAGATATCAACGCATCGGAAACTATTCATTTTATAACATATTTTTAAGCTCGATTATAGTAGGTAAAACGCGCCTGTGTTAAAATTTCCAACAACATGAAGTGTCGTTTATTTTACATTTTCGTCGTGTACTTAAGGAACGGCAATGTCTCGTACATTCCTAAAACACAATAAAATGATCGTTTTTTTAATAGTAAGATCCGGTTTTTGTAATTTTCTAAAAAATTTGCACATTAATGTAGATATAAAACGCGACTTAATAGTGTCTTATCAAGCTTTAATGGCCGATTAACGTCAAGACTGATACTACTAACTAAAATGTCAAGACATTTAACTGAGAAATAAACAAATGACATTGTAAAAGAAATTAGGGCATGACAAAAACCTTACAAATTTTTAGATAACCGCCTCCCATGGACATTTGCTATACACCCGTAGGGTTGCAAATGTCGCTTTTTAATAAAGCGGGCTCCAGCTCACTCACCAGACGAAATGCAGAAGGATAACACTTCCACTTCACGCCAGTCTTCTGTGAGGTCGTGGTACATACCCGGACGGACCTGGCCATTCGTGCAACAGCGAAGACTGCTGCGTGGCCACAGTACTCTGCGGATGCCTCTATTCGGATTACATCGAGGATAGCAAGCTAGCTAGAGCGCAGAGACCTTTTGTAATAAGTCAGATTGCCGTCAAACTGGCTTGCTTTGTGGCAGATGAGTTTTCATAAGGGCCATGCGAGAAATATATCTAAATTACAATCGACTAAGACTTAAGTAATCTTGACCTCATAAAAATTATTATTAAGATATATATTTTAGATATATTATCGGTATAGTGGTTCGAAACGTCGGGAATTAAAATTATAAATAAACGCGATAAATCCGTAAAAATTAGTTTACATTCTTCATTTATAATGTGTAATCGCGTAAATACTGTTTTCTTGAAATAAACGTGCTCATATCTTTATACAGAATTTAAGTCGTGTGTACAGGACGTCTGTCCGGCCCGCTAGTTATAGTATTTTATTAATTGGCAGAGCAAAAAAAATACTTGACTTTGACGTGTCGAGAGTTGAGCACAACCTCAACCGATTGCGTTTATATCCACACAGGAAAGAGTGATAAGGTTGTGGCGTCTTAAGATGATTATCTGTGGGTCGACGCGTTTTCTTTTTCACGTTAGTTGACACTTGACGGGGGTCTTGGCAGACGTCTTGGGAAAAATTGAATATTTGGTCCGTTATGGCTCACAGATTTTCATTGCAACAATAGCAGATACTGTGCCATCGCATAGCCTTAACGTCCAGTGTAATAAGTCGAACAATTTGTAAATATACGCCATTTATATACTGCAGAATATTTTATTGACCAACAGTCACCTATTTAAGAAACAAGATGAAGGGGCCACGGGATGTTTTATCGACATATCCGGCTCCAAATTGGTGACGTACTGAAGACCACGCTCATAATTTAGGTGACCGGCGCGAATTGGTTCAAACAATTTCGGCTTCAGTGGGAGACAACGAAATATCAACAAGTGCATACAGATTCATACACATTTCGTCACTTTCCCCTCGATTCGCTAGCAAATTGAAGTTTTCAATCGTAGGACGGATGCCTCAGTGACGCCCTTTCCGCCAAGTGGAAACATTTGTGACCATCAGTGTCTGTATCAAGTTACAAACTGCAAACTACCAGCGTCTACATTAAGACAGCGGATATTACACAATAGTGCTTTGCATTTTACGGCTTACATTTACCACTAATATTAACTTTTCTTGTATCTGATTAGTAATTTTTCCTTATTTGCCCTTATATTTTTGTTTTTTCGTAAACATATTTATCGCTTTTAAACTGAATTGATTTTTCTAATATTAGATGTATGTAGTCCACTTTATCAGATAAATTTAAGTTGTTAAAATTTGTTTATATATTAACAACGCGAAATGTTCTTTTCTTTGTATAATTTCTGTGTATACTATAGAAATATTTAGTGTGGTTGTTCATCTGTATTTTTATAATTATTTTTAAACATTCAACACCCTGCAGCTGGAAAGAAAAAAACTCGACATGCAGTCAGTAGTGGCGGCAGCTGATTGCGAATGGAAAAAATCTAGCCGTCGCCTCTTTGTGACGGACCAGGTTACTAAACGTCAATTTTTGGTAGATAGATGTTGGCTCGCAGAACGGAGGACAGTCTCCGACTATGTGCTCAGTGCAGCTAATTGCAGCAGTATTAAGACTTACGGTAACATAAACCTGACTTTGGACTTAGGCCCTCACCGACAATTCGTGTGGTCATTCGTAGTAGCAGATGTCACTGCAGCCATCATAGGCTCAGACTTCTTGTCTTACTACCACTTACTTCCGGATTGTCGTGGCAAGAAATTGGTCGACAGCCTTACCAACAGGTCAGCATCCGTTTCATACGTACCTTCAGATCAACAAAGTGTGAAAGCTGTAGCCTCAACGAAATCCGTTTTTGCACAAGTGCTAATGGAATTCCCCGAAATAACACGTCCACCTGGCCTCCCGACTGTCATAAAACACGATACCGTGCATTATATTAAAACCACAGATGGTCCACCAATTTCTTGTCGTCCTCGCCGTCTGGCCCCACAGAAATTAATAACAGCAAAGAAAGAGTTTGAGGACATGGTAAAATCAGGCACAGCTCGACCATCTAAAAGCGCGTGGTCATCTCCGTTACATATGGCTCGCAAAAAAGACAACACATGGCGCCCATGCGGAGACTATCGCGCGTTAAATGCTAGGACTGTACCGGATCGATATCCTATTCGACACATACATGACTTTTCACACAACCTTTCTGGGGCATCCATATTTAAGGCCTATCATCAGATACCAGTCGTCGAAGAGGATATTCCTAAAACGGCCATCACTACTCCATTTGGCCTCTTCGAATTCCCTTTCATGACCTTCGGTCTTCGAAATGCGGGTCAAACCTTTCAACGATTTATAGACGAGGTCACACGGGGTCTCGATTTTTGTTTCCCTTACGTTGATGACATCCTAATTTTCTCACCCAGTGAAACTGTCCATAAGGAGCACTTGCGAATCCTCTTCGCTCGGCTTCGGGATTATGGTGTAGTCGTTAACCCTTCCAAATGTGTTCTTGGTGTCCATGAGACTACTTTCTTAGGATATCATATCAGCCCAGAAGGTACTCAACCTCCACCAGGTCGTATTCAAGCTATCTTAGAATTTCCCCCTCCAAAAAACTGTTCAGGGCGTTCGACGATTTCTCGGCATGCTAAATTACTATCGCCGCTTCCTTCCAGATGCAGCAAAATACCAAGCTCCGATTATAGATGCTTTAGTGGCCACCAATGCTAAGGGTGCAAAACCATTTTTATGGACACCCGAGCTTTTAGAACACTTTGATGCCTGCAAAAAGGGTCTGTCCAAAGCCACCTTGTTACAACATCCAGTTGTTAACGCGCCTCTTGGACTATTCACAGACGCATCTAATGTCCACAGTGGGTGCTGCAACAGAACACTACACACATGCTTGCAACAGAAAGTCAAAGGCGAATGGTGCCCACTTGCTTTTTTTAGTCGGAAATTAACTTCCCAACAAGCGCAGTGGCCAGCCTATTACAGGGAGTTACTGGCAGTGTACGAGGGTGTAACACACTTTCGACACATACTGGAAGTTCAACACACAACCATATACACGGATCACAAGCCGCTGTAATACGCATTCTTACAGCGTCGTGAAAAACTCCCACCAGCGCAATTAAATCAACTATCTTTCATCAGTCAATTCACCATAGACATCCAATACATAATAAAGGGAGAAGAAAATGTGGTAGCAGACACGATGTCACGGATCGAAGCTATTGCCCTCGAACTGGATTACGGAGCACTGGCCGCGGCTCAACAGTCAGATCGGGAGTTAGCCAACTTGCGACAACAAGGTTCTAGCATGCATCTCACCGTAGTTGTCATGCCTGGTACGAACACCTCCGTCACTTGTGACATTTCTACTGGCAGGCCTCGTCCCTATCTAACACCAGCATTTCGCCGAGCCGCTTTTAGTCGTTGTCACAATTTAAGCCATCCCGGCGTAAGAGCAACCGTTCGCTTAGTGACGGATCGCTACGTATGGCCTAAAGTCAACGCCAACTGCCGTCAGTGGGCACGCACTTGTCTTGACTGTCAGCGTAATAAAGTTACCCGGCATACCATGTCACCACATGGCGATTTTGACGCACCTACTGGGAGATTCAGACACGTCCACATTGACATCATAGGTCCACTGCCACCATCCAATGGCTTCAACTACTGCCTTACCGCGATCGATAGATTTACGCGTTGGCCAGAAGTATGGCCTATGACCTCGATTACTTCAGAAGAAGTTGCAGACACATTCGTATCGGGTTGGATATCACGTTTTGGCGTCCCGAGTATTCTGACTACAGACCAAGGGCGTCAATTCGAATCAGCATTATTCCGGCGATTAACGAATTTATGTGCAACCCAGCGAGTCAGGACTACTCCCTATCACCCTAGCTCAAATGGCATAATAGAGCGGGTTCACCGACAACTCAAAGCAGCCCTCATGTGCCACGGCGATTCTTGGGTTCGATCACTTCCCATGGTTCTCCTTGGCATGCTTTCCGCCTTCAAGGAAGATTTAAAAACCACAGCCGCTGAATTGGTTTATGGAGAACCACTTAGATTGCCAGGGGAATTACTAGTCTCTGCCTCAGAGACAGATTTTCTTAACGACCCCAGTGACTTTGTCAGCCAACTCCGTAAAAAAATGTCATCATTGCGTCCGGTGCCTGCATCTAGACATTGTCAACCTGCTTCTTTCATCTTTAAAGATCTCGCATCGGCAACTCATGTTTTCCTCAGAGATGACGCTGTAATAAAATCCCTGCAACCTCCATACACAGGTCCATACAGAATAGCGCATCGGGCTGATGATGGAAAACCCGTGACGCTGGAAATAAAAGACAGAAAAGTCACTGTCAGTATTGACCGAGTTAAACCGGCTTTCTTGGATCCCAGCAGCTCAACTCCGAACTCCCAACCTAAAATTCTGCAGAGCCCAATATCTCCTCAAACATCTTTTGCTCCAACGCCGACTCCCAAAGTACCTTCCTCACCATCCATTCCCAAACCAGACCGGGCACCTTCAGCCCCAGCACATTACGTTACTAGAGCTGGAAGAAAGGTTAAATTTAGAGAAATTTTAGATCTGTAATGAAAAATTTGTGTTCATTTAATATTTGTAACTGCTCTATTTTATTTTACTAATGTGTGTTGTGTTGTTTTACTAACAATTTTAATCTCTCCGTGGGGGGGTGGTTTGGCGTCTTGAGATGATTATCTGTAGGTCGACGCGTTTTCTTTTTCACGTTAGTTGACACTTGACGGGGGTCTTGGCAGACATCTTGGAAAAAATTGAATATTTGGTCCGTTATGGCTCACAGATTTTCATTGCAACAATAGCAGATACTGTGCCATCGGATTGCCTTAACGTCCAGTGTAATAAGTCGAACAATTTGTAAATATACGCGATTTATATACTGCAGAATATTTTATTGACCAACAGTCACCTATTTAAGAAGGGGCCACGGGATGTTTTATCGACATATCCTAAGTAGGTCCGAACAGTCGCGGATTTGTGGTCTTGGCCGCCCAAAGTAGCGTGAGCCCCAAAAGTCCATGTACACGTATTATCTGTGTCATAGAGCGTCCGTCCTAAGTAGGTCCGAACAGTCGCGGATTTGTGGTCTTGGCCGCCCTAGGCCCCAGTCCATGTAGTAAGTTCCAGCCGCCCATTTCTCAGAGCCCATCATAAATCTTGTACAATAACTTTTTTTCACGATTGGCCGCCCCTAATAACAATAGGTCCGGAACTATTGAGCCTTAAGGCAAATAACCCACTGGGTCCGAATCGTCCGCAATGGTTCTATTTGACAAATATGAATTAGTGACTACTCTGATGTATCACCGAAGACCAAAAAAAGGGATTAATACCAATGAAATTAATAAGGGACCACACGGGAGCTGAACTGAAACCAAATCAAAAATAATTTTTAAAATAGGACAATTTTTTTTTAATATTCTCACCCAGACTCCATACCATTATGAGATTATACCTGCTTATTCATCAAGGACCTTAATAAGAAGTCATCAGTCAGTAGCTGTCAGAATCGCCGGTAGTACATAATACATAATATTATCATAGCACAATTACATATATCCTTCTTCAAATTGTTCCAATTTAACCGTGCACCTTTCGGCATGTAAGGATTTTTCCTCTTGTGAAATCGATTGAAGCAACCTTATTAAGATTAGATTACAAAAGATAACAATGGAAGATTAAACAGATTATATATGTGGAATATATGTTAATCTAAGATTATAGAAATCATTTGTTGGTGGGTTTCCACAGTATTGTCTGGCATTGGACGACTTAATTTCGAGTACCGTACTTAACTTGCAGATAGTATAAAAAAATGAGCTTTTTCTTCCCGTAATCTTTGAAAGCCCCTAAAGACTCAAGGTTCATAGAAGTCGACTATTATTACCGGTTGTAATGTACGTACTCAGAAATAAATTTATATGATGCAATATTTCGCATGCAAATATTGTTAATATTTTTCCAGGCAGTTTTTTCCAGGAAGTTTACATGTAAATTATCTTTCTGTTTTATAATAAACGCAGAAAAATTTGACAAAGTAATAGCCCAAACAAGTTAATAATTAATAATAAATAATTACCATTTATTTCAAGTTACTAAGACTCATATACATCAACATTATAATTACGCTTTATAATATTAAAAAAAAAACAAATTAAAGTGACATTAATATTATTTCAATTACATATTACAAATTACCCATTGCAAATATGAAATCCTTACTAATATTATAAACGCGCGTTTTTATGTATGGATGGATGTTTGTAACTATTTCATGCAAATACTACTGAATGGATTTTAACATATAATTTATACACATATTTTTATGTATATCTGTATTTCATCTGAATGTTACGCCCTGCAGCCTATTTTACACAGACGTAGTCGCGGGCAGCGGCTAGTACATAAAACAAAATCATCCTAACGAGGCCCACTTACCTTAGTCTGTGTGAAATGTGAAATCCACAACAGCGATTTATGTATACCACCGCCCAAGGACATTTGCCACATCCGAGTCTTCCAGATGCGCTGACAACCTTTAGAAAAATTGGGCTCCGGCCACCTCACCTCGGCTCACCAGACGAAACGCGAAAGTATTATACTTCCACTTTACGCCGGTCTTCTGTGAGGTCGTGATACTTACCCGGACGAGCCTGCCCATTCGTGCAACAGCCGAGGCTGTTGGGTGGCCCTACCACCGTAACCTTCACCGATAAACACGTGGTGCTGCACATAAAAATTCAATTATTTCAGTAATGCCAGCATCAAATGGGACTTGGGCTCGGCTTGCTCAAATATTGAATTAAAATCGATCGTATATCGAATACAATAATATAAATATATTCATTTTTTGGTGTGAAGTTATTTAAGTCGTAATCGGTACCAAGGCTAGTGGGGGTCGGGGACAATAAATACACATATGATTTCCAAATCACATTTTCATCTATATTTCAGCACCACCATTAAATATTCCGCATTTAATATAATAATAATAAAATAATTCAATTTAGACAAAACCAATAAAAACAAATAAACAATTGTTTAACATTTCATTCAAATATCTATTTTGTGTAAAGGATAATAAAATAAAAATAATATTTGTCTATGATTTATAGATCCGTCCAGATTAAAAATATAATAATGGGCACAACTTCAGGAACAACCACTTAAACATTTAAAAAAAAATCACCGCTTCGGCACAATTAACTATTGCGCCTCGAAACATTGCGTTTCGTAAAATTTGCTAAAAATCACAATTAAGTAATTGAACTAAGTACGTAGCTATGCAGCTTGTTTTGCGACATTATAAATTTGCTTAACCCTAAAAGCCAGATTACTCTGTTGGGTCCTTAATTCGTCACTAATGTTTATCATCCTTGTGGAATCACGTCTCGTACAAATTTGTACATATAATGCCTTCAAAAATTCATCAAAATTCCCAAGTAAGGCTGCTATTGTATGTATAATATTAATTATAAACTACCTACGTCAATTAAGTAACAAATGCAGTATTTTTCTTTCTGCGCATATATCTAATATGAGTCTTACGACGTACTTTGTACGTAATAAGAACTGCAAAAATATTCACTTATTCACTTTTACAGCCAATATATGAGGTTCTTTTCGACCACGCATAACAAAGAAACATTATTTGCTTTTGTTACAGACAAATAATAAATAGAAGACAAACAATTGGCAAAAAGATGGTGCCGGCGGTTGGAGATATAGGTAATTAATTAACTCGACATGCACTTAATCTTATTCACTGTGGTCGATAAGGAACGTAGCGTCAAAATTTTCGAATGGGGTCCGGAGAAAAGCTATACAGGGGGGGTGAGCGCATCACAGTTGCGGCACGGGAGAGGCGCGGAGAGCGGGGCAGGCGTCTGGCTGCGTGAAGAGTCGCGTGTGGTTGACGAGCAGGTAGAGGAGGAGCGAGCCCAGCGCCGAGCCGGCCTGCGTGGCCGCGCCGCAGAGCCGCATGCCGCGCGCGCCCCCGCGCCGCGCCCACCCGTACACCCACATGCGCGCGTACGACACGCACGCGCTGCACGCCACCCACGCCGCCACCTGCCCCAACGGTCACTACCACGCTCACTACCACCACGTTGCCACATTATTCACACTGGCCAAGGAACCAGGGTAGATCGCCCTTTGGCCAACTGATTCCTGTTCAATTTTGTATTGTGCCAATAGAGATTAGCAGGGTCACTGAAGATGAAACGAAGATCATTGCTTAAAATGCGAAAAATACAATGTACATTAAAATGTTAACATTATCGTCGGCGTGACAAACTGTTTAGCTCAATGTTTAAGGTGTCTGGGCTCGAATCCAGAAAACGTAAGTTCGATTCCCGCAGCGGCGAGGAACTTTTCGCCTAATTTTATAAAAACAATTACAAATTTTAATTATTCCTATCGACGTTATAATCAACTGCCTCTGACAGATTATTATGTTCACAGTATCTTGAAACAAAGCTAAATTTTATCAAGACCTTTTGACCTTAACGCCTCGACCAAGAGCACTACGTATCGGACACTGTTTACCGAGACGCGTGTATACAAGCGTTTAATCTAAATCTCCTTTCTTTTCTTATCATATGATAATGTACGATTTCACGATGATTCGGGAAGCTTTATTAAACGTAAAATTTTTAGATATGGATTTAGCGACATAACATGGGATTCAATGCGAATTACGTCTCAACTCCAAAGGACAGTCCTATTCGTTAATCTGATACAGTGCTCCTTATCGGATAACGCAATCGTTCAAACATATACAGGAAATTAAACATTGTACAAAGGATATATTGATGAAATCGCAACAAGTGCAACAATGATTGATGCATTCAACCAGTAACAACGATTCCATTGACAAAACACGCAGGGATAATGTTTTAACTCATTGCTATACAACGCTGTTCCCAGGAGTTTTGTTAGAATACTGTCAATACCATGTGTTTTGCAAATAAAAAATCAAATCAAATGGACATCAATTCATTGATTTCTTGAATGATATTCTTTCGACTGTTATATATTAAGTTATGAGCAACACGTACATCATACCTATGGTCACGTACGTAATCACTAGCGAATAGTATCTATCCAAAATATTAGATAGCGCTTCAGGTGTTTTTCGCCTGATAAATGACGGGGCAGTTGCAATACGTAAAGTAAATGGCACTCACGACCAGGGCCTCGCCTATGGGCCGGTGCTGCAGCGGCGGCGCCGGGCTGAGCAGCGCCGTGGCGAGGATGTAGGCGAGGGGCGCCGCGGCGGCGGCCAGCAGCGCGGCCAGCAGGCGCGGCGCGGCCGGCCGCAGCCACACGCCGGCCAGGCAGGCGGCCGGGTTGGCCATCGCGCCCAGCGCCACCGCCAGGTGGTACGCGCGCACCCCGTACGGCATGCACGAGTACGACTGCACCGACGGCATCACGCCGTTCGAGAGCGCGTTCAGGCACACCATGAGCGCCATCACGAGCAGCCACGCGGGCCGCGCCAGGCTCTCCTCGGGCGCCGACGCCTCGTCGTCCTTCGCCAGGGCGGCCTGCGTCACGCGCTCCGAATCAAACGCCCTCAGGTTGTGCACCGACGTGAAGCTCACGAGGCTCAGCGCCGCCAGCGAGCCCAGCAGCAGCAGGAACACCGTGGTGTCGAAGCGCGCCGGCGGGTACAGCGCCACCAGCGTCGAGTTGTCCGCCGACGGCACGCAATGCGGCTCCCCGCCCACACCCTGCACCAGCGCCAGGATGCTCGGGATGAAGCCGCTCAGGCCCTCGCCCACCAGGTACGTCGCCAGGTACACCTCGCGGAAGTGTCTTAGGTACGGATAGAACAGCACGGAACTGGTGCAGCCCACCAACGCCGCGAAGAACGTCAACGCGAGGAAGGCCACCGAGCGCTCGGTGCCGCCCACCGGCGCCGTGGCGGTGTACAGGAACGAGTTGAGCGTGAGGGCGAGGGTGCCGATGGCCAGCAGCGCGTAGATGTAGGTGGCGTCGGGGGTGCGCGGAGACAATCGGCGCAGAACGGCGTACAGCACTAGGCCCACGTTGGCGAGCTGCACCGCCAGCGCCATGGAGGCCGGCAGCGTCCAGCCCTCGGGCAGCCGCTCCACGAGCAGCGGCAGCTGCACGTACAGCCCGTTGACGCCGAGCCACGTGCCCAGGCCCCAGCACGCCAGCAGCACGTCCAGCGCGATGCGCCGCTGCGAGCCCAACATTCTGACACGGCCTTCGCCCTCCCCCAAACACGGTGCCCTCTCCTTCTCTTCGTTCAGCCTACAAAGCGGCACAAGTCTTAATCTTCGGCCGAGTGGTGTCGTTCAATGCGCAATGAACGCCTAAGCCGTGCAGGCCTTTTCACATCGCAGTACGGCGAACGTGTAAGTGGCTTAACGCCGCTGAACGATATCCGCCTTGTATCGCGACAGTGAGGCTTATGCCATTTCGCGTGAGCTAGCGACATGAATATTGTTAACATTCAGACGCATGGTCATGCGTCCTAACGATTAAAGCAGAATGTCTTGTTATCAGATATTTCGTCTTCAAATAATCGTTATTAATCATTTGATACTCGTTTTTTGCAATAACTAATTTTCCACTCTTCACAGCCATAAAAACGTTTTGCGTGAATATGTTACATCGAAATCTGTCAAAATTTGCATAGTACTAAATAAGCGGAAACCCAGTAAATTCATTACTTAAGATTCCATATTTTCCCAAAATACTAAAACTAATTTGTCAATAGTATCTTAAGACTATCCACAATACTATTAGAATTAAAACACTGCTATTAAGTTATCAGTATTTTAATTCTAATACACTATATTTTATGGATATTTTGCGACATTGTAATTGATCTCTAATTTATCACAGAGTGTGATAACGTCGTTCATCTCCACATTGCCAATTAACAGTGATGATAAGTGCAATATATATTTCTGCCCTAATTCAAATTTTATCTGACGGTCACAAACAGAATTGATTAAATTCTAAATATTTTACAAATTAATCAATTATTTAATTTTTTTTTCTTTTAATTTAATAATATCCGTTACATTATATTAAGAAATTATATCCATTATATTAGGAAAGCTGATTGATTGAAGAGGCAAGAAGCAGAAAAGAAGAAATATCCGTAACACTAATGCTGATCATTCATTTTAAAGAATCAGGTATTTCACAGTGATATCATCCTCCTGCCCCTATCCCACCTAGGTGGTGTTGGCACAACATGTGAATGAATCATGTTGTAAGTGATTTTGGATAGGTTTAGGATAGATTTTTTTTTAACACGGGCTGCATGCCTGACGTCAACCCTAATAATCAGAGTCATCGATTTGATTAATATCGTCAGTTGAATCTCGACGATCTTAAAACATTTAAGAAACCGTACATTGCTTTAACACAATTTATATAAGTAATAAAGTGATGAAATCGCTAATATTTTTTTTGAATGGATGTATTTTTTTTTATGGAGAAAAGGGGCAAACGTTAAAAAAATTTAAGTATCAGCCTATAAATGTCCCACTGCTGGGCAAAGGCCTCCCTTTCTCTGTACGGAGGGTATCAGGGCATAGTCCACCACACGGCCCCACTGCGGATTGGCGGACTTCACATATCAACTTTTTTTTTTTTTTTTTTTTTTTTTTTTTTTTTCAATTTCAAACAATTGTTTGGAATTCAGGTTGCTGAGCTATCACGGCTCACACTGAACTATCACGGCTGGAAAATGGATGACTTTTATTAATTCATCATCATCTAATATGTAATTCTAATCAAACGGGTAATTGTCAATAGATCCCGGATCCCGGCAGGGAGAAAACTGAAAAATTCGCGCATGTGTCAACATTGGTGTAACCAATCGCGTGGACTTTCAAAATCAATATACCAGCCGCACGCTTTCGATAATCCTTCCTGTAATCCTTCGAATGCATTTTTCAAGATCATTATACCATACAATATCTTAATATATAAATTTCGCAATTGAGCACGGATAGCGGTAACTATTGACGACCTGAAATTTTATTTTGCAAACGACTGCAAAGGAATATAAATACGGTTGTAATGTGGTTGGTTCGAACCAGTTGCAGTTTAATACTTGCAAAGGCTCAATTATCACATTCTGTAGAGCCCACATCCCTTTATGTCACAACTATACTGTTCATGTAAAGAAGGGTTTGAAGGCTAGTTTATGTTATGCTTAAAGAAAATTATTCAAAATCAAACTCCAATTTCATTCATTGTGGAATTGTTGTGTTGTAGTGTGGAATAATTTTCAAAAGTTTATAAAAATAGAGAGAAAGTAAAGAGAACTTTAGTAGTGAATAGTCACAAAAATATTATGAATACTTTAAATGAAGTAAATGCATATATATCTCTATAGATCTTTGTGTGAAAGTAACATTATTTATAACACTGCGAGTTATACTTGAATAGTTTTAGTGATTTTGTTGTTTGTCACCAAGAGCAACTTTCATCAACTATTTATAGAGCAAAATGAAAATTTCAATGTTACTAGAAGATTTCTGTCCCAAATCACGACTATCCCATGAAACATTTGGAAAAAAAATTTAAATATATCTCCATAATTATATATATATACAGAACATATAACAACTGTTTTATTATAAGAACACATTATTATTAGGAATATTTATCTATAATCATCCAAAGAAGACAGACAACAGTGTCTATTTTTTTGGTATATCCTGTAAACTTTTAATTTAACCACACACAACTTGATGTTAAGATTTGGATGAAATGACATCTCTTTAAAATACATAATTATAATATATTGGTTCAAAATTACGAACCCCACATTTTTGTTGAGAATAAAAAAAAATATTAATAATTAAAGCTTAAAAATAAATAATGGATTAGCACAATAAATAATGAGTGTATACCACTGATAGAAAACCATTTTACCACCAAGATTAACAAAAGCAATGTGCAAACCTGTCCACCACAAGAGTCATAGTGCGCTGCAATGCTGCAACAACACCCGGCGCCAACTCCTCATACTGCTCTCCATCTTCATGAAGGTTGGCAACTGGCGACATTGCTACATATACTGAGTGCTAAATACCTAACTTTACACACACCCACACTACTATATTTTATGCAAAGACCAATAAGTCTAAACATTTGCTAATATTAGTACTAATGAGTTATTATCAACCTATTCATGGGGACTGTCAACATTAAGCTTTCAGTTGCATAGTTTGTTTCATGTGTGTTACATAAAACAACACTAAGAAGAAGTAGTGTAATAATAGTTCAAATTTTATTTTTCTTAATATAGAGTGGAATTCAAAACTATTTGCTAATTATAAATAGTTTTGAAACTATATTTTTACAAAAAAATCTTATCCAAATGCTGGAGTAAAACTTATTATTTTACAATTATTGAGAAGCAACCATAACAGCATAATGTTGAAAGTAAAATGAATATGAAATCATTCCGTTGCTAAGAAGTGAAAAACCGTTCAGTTGAATGTGGGAAGCTTTAAAATGAGAACAAGTTATCACTGAATAAACAATAAGACTCTTATGTTGTCTTCATCTTAAGCATGCTGATAAGTGTATTTGCACAAGTTGCTTAAGATAGATTAAATATTGTGCCAAGTCATATAAATGTCACGATTTCACCTACTTTATTAAGCCTCTTGTTAAATCATGGTGTTCAGAGTATGTTCAACTCTTCAAGTTTTATCTAAAACCATAAGGGTTATCACACATGGTTTTTCTATATCATTGAAGTTACGGCTAGGGTTCCCAAGCACACTTTATAATAACTTATCCTACTTTATTTTCGTTTTACATAGTTTACTTTTGCATAAAAATAAAGTGCACTCAAATAGACACAATGGCACGGAATCTTAGCCAAAGTCATAATTTGCGATAACAATTTTTTGTGTGTGATTACTATCACTCCAACAGTGAGTTTTTTTGAAGACTCTTAAGTACAGCGGGTGGTGTTAGTTCTATTGCTCATACAGAATTGGTTATCGTTAATAACGCGTTAACTTCTACGCAAGACATTGAGGATTTATTGAATATGACCAATAGATTTGAATGCACGATAATGCATGTTCACACATCACCAATATTGTGAATAAATACCTTCAAGAGGTTGATATAAAAAAATTACAGTGGCAGCTTGCAGCCCAGACTTAAATCCCATAGAACATATTTGGCTCAAGCAAGAGAATGATTAAGTTTGCATGATCCAAAGCATGCCAAACCGAATGCATGCAGTATGAAGCACGTATAGTAATGATATTAAAAGTTACAGTAAAGGCCCATTTACACGGTGCCAGTTTCTTGCCTGTTGTATACAATTAAATTGAAGCAATAAATAAGTTGCATGGTCTAAACAACAAATGGTCTAACCAATTATTGCGCGCAATTTATTGCATTCAATTATTGCTCTTGTATGTACCAGAAAATGGCATCGTGTAAATGGGCCTTAAGTCAACAAAAATCTAATAGTTTTTCACTCCAAATGCCTAAAACTCCAGTGTCAAATTTTTTATAATGTGATTTTTTATAAACTTAATTATTAATGTTAAAATTCTTATTGAATATTAAAAATTGATCGAAAATGTTAAGTGTATGTCTATATCTGAATTATTATATTATCAGAATTATTATATATTATTAACTATATCTGAATTAGTCTATATTTCACTGTGAAATTTACAAGTTATCACAAATTTTAATGCTTTGCCAAGTTTCTTTGCCGGTGAGTTTAATTTATTTTACAGAAATACTAAACTACATACAGATCCTTATAAGTTCAAATACAATGTACATACAATTAAAACCATTATTAATCACAGAAGAATTAAAGAGTAAGCGAGAGACACCCAAAAGTTTTCTATACCATTATGAGAACTTTTTCACTTTTATCTACAAAAGGATAGGAAGGAGGATACAAAATAATTGTTGATAGATTAGTTAAGAAACTTTCAAAGATCATTAATGTGTGCTAAAATATCCCAAAATGTTTTAAGGGAATAAAACAGTTGACTTTTATACATTTTTTTTAAACATTGGCAAACCTAGTTATGTCCTTACAAATGTACCCAATATATTAAATGGCAGTTAATGTATAATGTTTTTTTTTTTTATTTACTCAAATACACAAGAAACATTGTTTAATCCATACTATCCATACTAATGTTATAAATGCGAAAGTAACTCTGGTTGTCTCGCTTAACTCCAAAACTACTGAACCAATTTGTATGAAATTTGGTACACAGATAGTCTAGAGCCTGGGAGAGAGAAAGGAAATAGGCTATTTTAATTGGAAAAAGTGTTGTTACGGTTTTCAACGCGAGCGAAGCCGTGGGCGAAAAGCTAGTAAATCATAAAAGTGAAATAAATATACCATATGGAATAATAAAATGTCTGAACTTGTGTAGAATTAGTGTATGTACCAACTAAATACCATATGGATAAAATATAGCCTATGGATTCAAAATTATTAGGACTCATAAGTAAGAAAGAAGAGAAAGAAAGATACATTTGTATTATTCATTATTTATATTGTTTATTTGTAACCTAAATATAAAAATTCTTCTATTATTACTTCATTGCAATATGGAAGTATGGTGTGAATGGTCTGAATAGAGCTACTTGAAAAGATAAGAAAAAGTAAGATCATAATGCGGACTATAAAGGAAGTGAGAAAATCAAAATGCTTATTTGGCAAACACAAAGTTACAATTGCTATATAAATTATTAATTAACATTTTTTTATATCAAAATTCTTTTTCATCATTTTCTTTTAATTGCTTATTCATTGATAAAGTTTTAACGATAAATGTACATACTTAAACTACAGGTAAACACATTATAAAATAAACTTGAATCAGAGAAAAGAAACTGAAACTATATGTGTTAAAGTTCTACAAACAGCTAGGTAGTAATGCTTGTCATCAATTGAAACTAATCAGTTGACAATGGTCCTTAATAATGAAGTTTATTGAAACATTATTCTGTTGTCTTAGGCTTATAATGGGACTGGTTGATTCATTAAATAATACTTGTATACTTAACTATTGATCTACTTTGTTAAAAAGTTATGATGTAAAATGTTAATATGAAATAAATACTCAAAAGTAATTTCATACCATATAGGAAAAACTTACCAAAAAACATATAGGAAAAACTTATGCAATTTGTCACAAAGTAAAGATGCAGATATATAGAAAAGAGCTTAATAAATAAAAATTAAACCCTATTAAGCAATAATGTGGCAGATTTCAATAAGATGATGTAAGATGTAATTTAGGTCACTAATTAAAACAAATATTAAACTTACCTTGAAACTTCAACCATACCAGGAACTTAAAAGTTGAATAACACGGTCATACAATAGTGAAACTAAACTTGACGAAAATAAGTTACTAAGATATGTTATTTTACTTAAAAACTCTGGTGTATAAACCGTAGCAAAGAACGTGTTATTAAATTTGAATTTATGTACTGTGTTGTGGTCGCTTTAAAGTAGGTCAAATTTGCAAAATTCAAAATACTGTTACATACATTTGTTTCTGGCAAATTCAAGATATGTGATCGAAGGACGTTTCAACGTTTGCACTTTGCATTGACATAGCACGTAAGCTATACTATTCAACAGAACGTTTTTCGCTACTAATTTTCCTACATTCAATTAATTCCTATAATGAAACTGGCAAAATTATATAGAAACTATAATGAATGTATGTTTACAAATTTCTATTCAATAAGTTAAGTAACTTAAAAATGTTAGGGAAATTCCTTAACCTACTGGCCAAATCAGATGACCAATTGTTGACCACAATGAATGAATGAAAAAAGTAATCTGTCACTGTCACTTATTTGACGTTACTGCTAGACCATAAAAAGTACTCAGCCTAACTCATAGAGAGAAACGATTAAAACCATATTGTTTTTTCAAAAATATTGATTAATTTTTATATTTCTTTATCATTGAAGATAAAAAATAGTGCAACTTAAATTTTATCTAAAAATTTAAGTAACCTCTTTTAACTTACAAATATTTTCGAATTTATTAATATTGTTTGATATGCGAGTTTTGCGCGATTCACAACGCACCGCATGTGAGTGCTTGAGTCTCTATATGTCGTGTGGGCAATTGGACATACCTACTCCAGTTTCACTACATATGATCGTCATATGGAAGATCCCTATTGATTTTTGTTATTGAACTCACAACAAAGTTATTATAGACCTGTATTCAAAATTGTTTTTCAAATACTGAATCTACTTGGCATAATTTATTTACGTTTGTGTGTTCCCATTTTCACGTTGATAAATCGGTATCAAAATCAATTAAAAAATTAAGGACTGCCCCATCTACAACTAAACCTCCTCGTAAATTCGATATAAGGAGAACTGTATATTCTAAAGTTACGTATGGTAATCTAAAAAATGAATCGCGCATTTTATTTGGATAAGATGACACTAGAAAACCTGCGTCACAAGCATCCATCTTTCGTTGTTTCTACCGCTGCCTCCCGATTCTTCATATTAGGTATTGCAAATTACCGATAAACACACTTTCGAGACAATTATGCCATTTTCAAGTGATTCTGCTGGAGGCATTGACTTTATAGGGGGACACAACATCTGAAATATTTTGTAAGCGTTACCACCGGTGATGTTAGCATGTAGGCAAATAATCTCCGGCCTTAAAACACAATTCCAGCCTGTTCAACTAGGCTTTGGAAGCAAAGGCTGTTATGAAGCGGCTGTACATTACTGCTCGAACTTCTTTATGATTTGGATGTACTTCTGAATGTTGACCTAAGGAATGCTTTTAACTCCATTGATAGAACGACTCTGCTGAACGAAGTGGCTAACCATACACCAGAAATATATCATTATGTTTGGCAATGTTACAGTGAAAACAGTAATTTATTTAATGAAGACAATATTATAGATTCTGCCGTCGGCATTCTGTAGGGAGATCCCCTACGACCAGCAATATTTAGTTTGGGAATTTATCCAATTATTTCAAAATTAAAACCTAAACTTAATGTCTGGTACCTAGACGACGGTACTTTGGGAGGTAAAGTTGACGATATACAAAGTGATGTATCGAAATTATTGAAAATATCGGTCTCGATTTAAATGATTCCAAATGTAAACTTTTCTTTTCCGAAAACATTTCTTTTTCTGACAAAATTATTTTGACCCAAAATTTTAGCTCTATGATATCAGGAACTAGCTGCTGGCCGCGACTACGTCTGCGTAGAATAGACTGAAGGCGTAACATTCAGACAGAAAGACAGATATACATAAATATATGTATTTAAATAATAGCCTATGTGTTATTCTGATGTATAAGCTATATTATTGTAGTTTCATTATAATCCATTCAGTTGTATTTGCGTGAAAGAGTAACAAACATCTATCCATACATACAAACTTTCGTCTTTTTATTATTAGTAAGGATTAACGTAGTCCGTTCAGATTCACTTTACCTCTTAGGTGCTCCTTTGTTAATACCAGTAGAAATTTCCGTAGTGTTACTTTACTCTATGGTTAATACCAAGTTTGGAACCTTTTTTAAAATTAAAGTAAAATCAATTTTTAGATCATGTTAACAAATAGTTTTTTCTAAATTCGCATTTTGCGCTTACTATTTTGCGACATTGTGTTCTTATACCCTCTTCACTCGAGTTTAGTTTGAAAATGCGGTGATTTTTTGAACGAACTGATTATCATCTTAAACGACACTAGAAAAAAAAAAATTATCGCTTAATGAAATAAGCTGGACAAAATAAAAAAAAAAAAAATAAATAATTTATGTAATAATATCCTTAATCACAATTCGGAACTTTCCTATGCCGAGGAGGCAAAGATGTCTTAGCTATCTATCCCTAACGAATATATTCCACTGGAATTAAACCTACAAAAACAGTGGGATGTTCCTTTGGTGCAGAATCTCTGCACCAAAAGAACATCCCACTGAAAGATATGTTTCAATCTTTAGAAAGTAATTTTGTGTGTGTCCGTTTCCTAAGTGTCTCATCTAAAGAATCGAGTTACTCGTATTTGGCTTCACGCTTTACCATCAAGTAACTTGGGAACATCACTTGTCGATGAAAACTTACGCATTGCTGTAGGAATCCGTCTGGGGGCCCCGATTTGTCAACCACACCAATGCCCATGTGCTTCAATGTAGACAAATTTGGCCTCCACGGGCTTTCTTGTCAAAAACACGTCGTGTCGCCACGGTTCCCTGAGCGACATCATCCGTAGGGCTCTTGTTTCCATCAATGTCCCATCCATTTTAGAGCCCTGTGGCATTTTTTGCGACGATGGTTAGAGGACCGCGACGGCTTGACTCTGATCCCTTGAGGGAGGCAAAGCCCTTGCTTGGGATGCTACTAGTGTAAACACTTTGACTGTCTCTCATCTAAATGGTACTGCGGTCAGGGCCACGGCGGCATCGGGGCTGTAGTGGCGCAAATATGAGGCGTTGTTTTTTATTGTTTTTTTAGAATATTTGGGTCCGTGGGGTCCCCGTACATCGATGTTGGATAAATAAAGTGTATTTAAAAAACTCAGAACCGTTTAAAAGTTATTAAAGAAAGTCGATTGTGTTCTCTGACTTTTCTATTGTAAAAATTGGTCACTATTAAAAAAAATCAAATTGCTATAATCGCATATGTTATCTTATACATTTATATACCAAATCTAATTGCGGATACAATTAGTCTTTTTACTATAAATTAAGTTTGCATTGTGATATTACCGTTATTAGTTTGTGCATATTTAAACAAAAAAAAAATTGATTCGCCTAAACTATTTATTCATAATAGGGAAATATTAAAATCAAATATTTAGATATAGATATTACACACAAAATATATTATAAATGGCTAGAACCGATCAACTAGACAACGTACAACTTATATCGATCTTTCCCTAAAACGCATTACAAGGAACAAGAGACAAGCCTTTTTTTTACGATAAAATGAACGCAGGTGGCGGAGGCCGAATTGAAACATGTGCGTACGGTTCGACAGTTATTTTTAATTTAAAATTTCAAAAAGCAATTACAATAATCTCCGCATGACTCGTCTCATAAAGCTTTACACGTAAGGTAGTATCTTTAATGGTACATAATAAATATAACAAAGAGTGAAAGTGCCGCTCGCCACACTCCGTAGGCGCCTTACTTCTTACTTCTCCTTGTCCGTCTCCACCTTCCTGCCCAAGGGCACCGCCGCCCTCACCCTGCAACAGCCAACGCCCATGCGTGCTTACAACACAATTATACTGAAAGAATTCTGAATGAATGAAACAACTTCTGTATGAGGCCAGTCTACTATTGGCTATTGCCACTTAAAAATTGTCAAGCGCGCAGGTGGTTCACCTGATGTTAAGCGATAACCGCCACCCGTTGACGACGTCTACAACAAAGGGATTATAGACTCAATGATAACCTTTGAAAAGTGGCCCGGGCTCAACAAACAAAATGGGAACAGCAAAAGCTGCTGCGTGGCCTTGGGCACTAAGCACAACTCTTTCGAATTTTTGAACCACACCAGGAAAACATGTTTTTTTTAGAAAAACGATTTAAGATGATTGTTTGGATAAAATTAGTTGTATCAGCAAAGTGAATACTAAGTAAGAGGTAATTAATTCAAGGCGAGAGTAAAGTCACTAATTATAGGCATAAAATTCATTACAAAATCATAAATATATATAAAAAAAAATTAGATAAAAGGCAAATTAAATTGATAATCTTGATTTTTTAAATAAATTTCCATCATCAATTAATTGCCCATAGTTCGATTTAAATAATAATTAACATATTAAATAAATCCGTAGAGAAGTATACAAAGGTGGCGGCAACCTGGGTTATGATCAGCATATGACCTAATCGATCTCTCAAATAGAGAAATTGAGCCCAGTTACGATCATGAGGCAGAAAGGGCGCACTGACTTGGCGGTGATCTCGTTGATCTTGGCGCGCGCCAGCTCCAGGTTGGCGTCCACCTGCGCCTTGTTCATCTCGTACGCCTTGGGCAGCGTGAACAGCGCTATCCAGCCTGCGAAACACAAACGGCACTGCTCAAACCGCTGCCGTACTACGTACCAAACATTTGTACATTTTTTTATAGCACATTGCCCTTACTATAGGAAAACCTTATCCTGTAATGTAAGAATGTCCAGTCCAACCCAGATGCCAAACGATCGTCTGTGGGTCACACAAATTGTTGTCCCATGTGCGAATCGAATCCACGACCCCTGGCGTCCAAGTTAAACCTCGGCAATTACGCCACGGACTCATCTAATATATGAGTATTTTTTATATAACTTTGCTATATAGGTTACTTTCAGTATGTATTTTTAACAACATTTTTAAAACCTTGTATAGATAAATAATTGAGGGAAACCAATAATTTGTTATAATAGCTTTGTGTACCTACGTAGAATTCAGTGTATTGTGCGAAATTGGCGTTGTCTCTGGTAGCAGATACCTCAAATGACTACATAATATGCCTAGTACGAGTAGGCAGTGCCTCCAGCTTTAAACAGCTCTATCAAATTCGATCAGTTTATCTTCCCATTGCAAATTTTATTAATAAAAGAATTCGTCTATAGTGTAGCAATTCGAAACCTAGAGTCATGTTAAGGCTGATTCAAACAAAATTCCAATTTTAGTAACAAATTAAATAGTTCCTGAAAGCAGCTGTGGCCTATTAGAGTCATACAATGAACCGATGACTTCTCCATTTGTATCCTGTTTCTTTCATGAAAATCATAATCAAACTATCTATGACTGAAATGTTTTTTAACGCGTACAGTTGTAAACATTATCATGTTTTAATGTTTAAATCTTAAGTGCAGAGATTAGCACTATAAAAAACTTTAAAATTTATAAAATGCAATGGCGACATCTCTCGTTCGAATTATCGTTGTAAAACGATATTCGAAATTGTTTGTATGCTGGAAAGGATATAACAACAGATGCGCCAAGCATTGCTTCAAATGCTAAAATAACAATGTAGAAAGAAGGCGTTAAGATTTTCGTCGTTGTGGCAATCAGCCGTTTAGCTCAGTGGCTAGAGCGTCAGGCCGCGAATGCCGCAGTCGTGGGTTCGATTCCCACAGCGGCGACAATCTTTTCGTGCTTTTTCTACATGTTTCAACATTAACATGTATTTGCAACATGAAGTTTATGAACCGAGCCGTGCAACAAATATCGGCAACAAGCATGATAAACGCGACGCTTTCGGGAAGGATGTTTGGACTGTTCCGCCGAGGGGGACTAACCGAGAATGATGAGCGTGATGCCGTTGAAGCAGGCGCCGACGTAGGTGAGGCACCAGAGCAGCACCCCGAACTTCAGCGAGTCCACGAGGTCCTCCACCAGGAACAGCCTGCAACATTATTTTATGCGTCACAGAAGCAATTTTATGATTTGGACGTATCATTTTATTCATTTTATATGAGCCGTGATAGCTCAGTGTCCGGCCGCTCGCCTTTAATTCAATATACTCGAGCAATCCGAGTTAGATCCCCGGTGACGGCACCAATGAAGTTTTTAACTTTAAGCGCTGACTTATCACGTGCTTCGCGGTGAAGTTTTCCTTCATCGTGATGAAAGCTGCATATTTTCGAAATAATAACAAAAAAAAATTTTCGAAGATATGTGAAGTCCGCCAATCCGCAGTGGGGCCGCGTGGTGGACTATGCCCTGATACCCTCTGTATAGAGGAGGCATTTGCCCAGCAGTGGGACATGCACAGGCTTTTACTTTACTTTAACTTTTATAATTTTATAATTATGTGAATTTAAGAAATGTGAATTTCTACACATATAATGCTCTATAAGTTACCACAAATACAATGGTGCAGGTCTTTTGCGCGACGCTAGGACACATAGGCTCTACATTTAACGATAAAAAATTGATAGTTTTACATTAGAAAAGTAGGCTAAGGACAAGTCGATCAGAAGGCTACTACACGTTGTTTTTCTAAGGTCGGGCCCCGGCTACCTCACTCACCAGACGAACGAAGAAGTATAACACGTCACTAACGACGGTCTTCTGTGAGGTCGTGGTATTTCCCCATTCGTGCAACAATAGGGCCCTAAGATAGAAATCCCATTCCGCTGGTGCGTGGTGTGGCGCCAGGTGCGTTACCTGCGCAGCTCGTGCGCGGCGGCGTTGAGGTGCGCGGTGGCGGCGGCGGCCAGCGCCTGAGCGCGCTCCGCCGGCACGCTGATGTCCTTCTCCAGCAGCCACCTGCGGAAGGCGCCACCACAAGGGTACAGTGCGCGAGCCATGTGATAGTTAAAAGCAAAACAACAGTTCTAGGTAGTAAGAGGTTACTGCGACACATGCGTTAATTCACCGTTCTGATACGTATTTTCGCCGCTTGAGTTGGCTCAAGCGACGGAAAATACTCGAGAAACTCATGTATACACGTAAACATATCCATCTTTTTACAAAAAACATACCACAACGCGTCAGGGCCGTGGTGTCACTCTGGCTGACATTTAGACTGGCTAGAACCAGAATGTCCTTTCTTTGTAGATATCTTATTTTATGTATTACTTTATATATAATAAAATAAGCGATATCCACAAATAACTGAGTGTGAACAGTTTCAAACATTTTGTAAAAGCTACCCTAATGGAAAGGATCTAATTTAATGTCGAAGAATACATTGACTACAAGGATCCCCTGCCTGTTGCTAATATCTATCTAGATATTAATACATGAAGCAAAAACTTTTTAAGGGAGATGAAATTTCCCACACTTAGTTTATATAGAGAATGAGTGTACAACTAATATTTGTTTTAAATTGTTTATATAAAATACATTAAATCCATAAAAAACATTAATCACACTAACATGCATTATTCATTACGACCACTAGTTATACCTAATTTTGTAACAGTACTTATACTATTTAAAATAAAGGTAAGACCCCAAACTTTCTTGCCGATGTTAGGTCTCTGTATCGGCCTAATTTAGTGAAACGATATTAGGTTATTGACGATCAATAAGAGCTTACAACAAGCTTATATTGATTGCATTGTAATTTAGACTTTGACTGCGAAATATATTTATTTGCAATGAAAGCTGTATTTTGTTCCAGTCATGCGATAAATACCGTATTGTTATTATTTTTAGAACACTTGCGCTCGCTTGTTGTGAATAAATAAGGTCATGGAAATGGCTACATCAATATCTTATTGGAATTCTAGTTAGCTAATTAAGATGAGCATCCAACTGACAACAACATCTTAATTGTAATGATCAACGATGTGTATTGTAATAAATAAAGTTTGGATTTTGTTTATTCATCGAGAAGACTTTTACTATGCCCTCCTCATCGTTCAAACTTCTTACACTCTTCTTTCTTTATTCAGTCTTTTTGCTTTTGTGGAATGCACCTCTCGAAATCAGGTTGGCCAAGAGTCGCTATTCTTTTAAAAGCAAAGTTCGTGAGCATTTGCTTAAACAACTGTTAGCAGAATCAGTTCGTCCTTAATATCTGTCCTTTATTTTATATATTATTATATTATATTTATTTTTATGGTATATGTTACATTGTGGATATATATATAATGTTATCGTTCCCCGTTTCGTTCTACACGTTATATCTGTACACCTACCTCGATATCTCTACACCACCCTAAGGTTGACTGGTAGAAAATGCCTTTGGCAATAAATAAGACTTTTGGTGACGGTGAAGACAAGTGCAGTTGTTCTAATCCGAGTAGCAGTTCCCTTGTTGCAGATGAAAGAGCAGCAAGGCAACCTAACCAGATGAAAGTCCTCAAAGAGCCCGCGGCGACGACGGCTCGCTGCCACAGTTTCACTTTCTACGCCGCCGATGAGGCATTTTGTACTGTTACTTTCGATTTGCACGTACTTAGCTCTACATATATTTTTTTTTCCATCGTAGATCGGAGAGCGCGAAAGTCAGAGAAGGGTAAAAACCACTCACTACATTTTTCCTTTATATTTATAAAACACCCATGACTAAATATAATACACAATCCTTGAGCAGAGAGGCTTCACGGATTACACTGATGTATTAGCCTCGGTCATAATCTTTGTTTACGCTAAAGTAACTCTAGGTAAAACCGCATCGTGCGACTCAAAGCCATACACGCATTAAAGGAGTGCACACTTCGTGTAAAAAAATTATTAATGGTGCAATAATCGTCCGACGGAACGTAAATACACTTTGAAGCCAGTTGCGGTGCAAAGTGTTCAGGTAAACAACAAGTGCTCGATAAAATCCAATAGCCGGCGGCAAACGTAAACAAACATATTACCCTAAAGCTTATAAACGGACTCTTAAATAATTTTTCGCATTAAATCTGCAAAATCTGTTCTCACAAGCCAAGAGAGCTGTTTCGCTTACAACGAGGTGAACTATGCAATGTTTCAAAAGAAACAAAAAGAGGTGTGTCGGTACTAAATTACGTTCACATGTAAGAAAATAATTATGCTATTCTGGCGTAACAAAATGAATAAATGAAGACCACGAAATAAGTGCGTATCGTAAAAAATCACTCTCATCATTTTTGCTCTCACGCGCAAGTAGCATAATTAAAAAAAAATAGGTATGTAAGAAAATAAGTCTGAATACAAATGTTAATCCACGTTAATCAATTGGCAAAATATTAATCACGTCTAGTATTTTATAACGGTATGTTTTATAAATTCATAATTAAAATTTAAACTATCGCTATTCTGATGGTTCTCCAATAGTAACGTAGCGTGTTGCTTTATCGGCCCTTTGTGTTTTACTAAACGAAATATGTATTTGCGCAGATGTGAACGGTGAGCACACGAGGCTTCGCGTTTTAATTAAAACTCTCTTCAAGAGCAAATTATGTGACGCGATCGCGTTGGCTTCATTATAAGGTCTTTCATACGTTCACGTTAAGATCGTATTACATATCATTAATTTCTTTATGTTGTATTTGGCTGTTCACCTGATGTTAAGTGAACACCCGTAGGATTGCAGATACGTTGCCACATTATAATAAATTGGGCCCCGGCTACCTCACTAACCAGAGGAAACGAAGATGTTTAAAACTTTCACTTTACGTTGGTTTTATATGAGGTCGTGGTATTTATCCGGACGGACCTAAAGATTCATGTAGCAGCATAAACTGTTGCGTGGCCCTACCAAAGTTGAATTTTTCGGAGGCTTTGCACATTTCTTACGTTGCCGTCAAAATTCGGCATTGCCTGTACTAGGTTCGATTTACGCGCGACAATTGTTTTTAGGTTCATATTTCTATGAAATAAAAAAATAGTGGACGGACGGTGCATCGTAGGAGGCTTCGGAGACACCGATGTAAGTAATACTTGACGCGCGGCGTGCCTCGCTCAGGTCGATGACCCGGCGCGGCGCCCGTCGACCGTCAGGTATCAATTCCGTCATTTTATACGATTCAAATTTAGAGAAGCCTCAAATTACGTCACAGCAAACTTCAATCCTCAGTAACGTCAATAACATTTTCTATGAAGAATTTTCGAGAGTACTACTCATTGTCTCTTGTTAGAACCTTTTTATGAGCTCATTTTGAAGACTTAAATATGACAGTTTCTATGAGAAGTACACAATTGAAAAATTAGAAAAAAATTTGTTCAACAGTAAAGTTAATATTATTTATGGCTTAAGTTGAGGCAGAGAAAAATGTCCATTTTGCATGATCTCCTAAATCATAACAGGCGAGTTGAAAATAATTAATTTTAAAAAGATAGATTTCCAATCAGTTCAGTCAATTGGGACATAGATTGGGGATCAGATTGAACACAAACTTTTTCATTCATAATACAATAATAATACTGTACACCATGCAAATGTAAGGTGTCCAGGCCAGAGCAGACAGAGAGAGACAGAGAGGTGATGTTCACGTATTATCCGGCTACAGCGCCGCTAAAAGAGGGGCCAATGGCTAGTAGGAAAATTGTATCAGATTAGACACTGACTTGAATGGGTGGCCATCGTTGGTCTTCTGCACGGCCTGCAGCACGTTGCGGTAGATGCGGAAGGCGACGGCGGCGGCGAGGGCCAGCAGCGCCGCGTACGCCAGCACCGAGACCACCGAGCAGCTGGCCAGCGCCACGAGCAGCGCCAGGCCTCCGCCCAGCGCGGCGCCCGAGCGGGCCGCGCACCGCCAGTAGATCAGCGACTCCACTGCGCACCACCAAACAGAGATCGTCGACACGTGTTCACACCAACAGCGCAGTAGTCCAGTGCGTTTAATGTGCACGAGTCCCCCTGTTCCTCTCCATTTATTATTTGTATGGGGGGAAAACAAGTGATTAATCAAATAAGGGACAACATGTAGTTACTTTCATACATCTGAGAAATAAAAATTCAATTTTTGGTACGCGTGGGCTTGTATACTTGTACGCGTGGGCGCGTCGCGCAACTGTAGAAATCGGTAGAGCTTCAAAACCGTCGAGTGAGGCCCGTACTTATGAGAGCGTGGGACGGCTTTTGACTGGAGAGCTGCTTCCGCGCGTACGAGCTGTCTCATCGAAACGAGTACGTTGGCTAAGTCAATTAGCACTGAAACTGAGGTATTAACTGCAGCCCCGTCAAGTGGTGTTGGCGGCGTTGTGGGTCTTCGCAGGGCCCGCGCACTGCCCTGCGGTGTCGATGACATCTCCACGTAGAAACCAGCCCCACGAGTACTTACACGCTCTAATGTATATAACAGAGCATTGTGCAGCGCCAGCAATCGATGGGCCGATAAGTTTGTCTTCTACGCGAAATATTTGTGTCAATAGTGATGTTGCACAAAACGCAAATTGTGCTGAATCGAATGATGTTAAGTATTTACTACTTACGACATAAACTACTACTACTAAGCTAGGACTAATAAAATATATCACAGGCTCAACCATAAGGTAAAACATATGACGTCATCGAAAACACCAAAGAATACGCTTAAAAATTAATGTGCTTTCCGTTAAGTTGAACCTGTTTTGGGATTGTTTAACTGAAGGGCCTACAACGACGAAGTATTATGAATGAAGTAACAGTAAGAACAGTTAAAAACTAACGTATAACTAAATGAACAAGTTATAGATTGTTGACACGAGAGTTTTTTTAATTTAAAAACTAAGACGCAATCGAAAGTATTTTCACAAAGGAACGAAATAGCACTTGCTACCACTTTAAGACAACTCCGAAGGGAAAGGCGCGCACCACGTGAACGTGACAGAGCCTCCACGTCTACAGACTATTTATGACTGAAAGCGTTAAAGCCGAACAAAGATACGACACGACCTAGGTAGCTGGCGACGGGCAGAGGCTGCCCGTAACTTTCCACGGGCACGGCGAGGCGAGGTCCATACGGTAAACTCGGGTGCACAACACGTCAACAAGGGCGTATAAGTCGTGCGGACTGCTTGCCGTCGATGCGAGACCAAAGGCAACAGCTCGGAGCAGCATTTGGAGCGTGATACGGGCGCAGTGCGTGTCCCGGGGCGCAAGGATTAGAGGTACCTGGTCCGCGGGGCGGCAGTTCCGTGTACTGTGCGTTGTGGCGCGGCGACTGTCTGGGACGCGCCATGGCGGCGGAGTGAGTGAGCGAGCGAGCGGCGGGCGGCGCGCGGCCGCCGACGCCACGCGGCCGCTCCACCACCACACGTCACCTACCGTGGCCGCGGTCACCACGCTACCGTCCGCCGCGGCGGACTGTCCGCAAACACGAGCAACCATAGCGCCCAGAGATTTCACCGTGCGAAGCCGAAAACAAACGTGTCCCAGTTTTTCCCGTACGGATATAAAATATCGAACGACATCGATCAGGCGCAATTATCAGACATGCCTTTAAATAAGCCATATTTTTAAAGAACCTAAGGCGACAATTTGATAAATGGACAACCCCTTTAGTTAATGACTTGACGATGGAAAAGAATGGAAACTGATGCCATGGTTATAAGAAAAGAAATATTAAGTCCAAAGAACGAGAGCATAACTGTAACGTCAACCCACAAGCGAAATATGATAAGCGTGGAATTATACTTTTCCAATTATTATAAGGATTGGCCAAGATTTGCAGATTGCTTTAACAATAATATACGAAAAATAAGAAACTTTCAAAAGAAAATTTCGCCGAAATTTGGTGGTGACAAAAACGCTGACGTATTTTTCCACACAATGGTGTGACAAGTGCTCCATCGCCTAGTGTCCGTATTTGGTCGATGGCAGCGTGGTGCACAGAGGCGCGGCGCTACGTGCGCCTCCTCGCGATAAACCCGAGATAAGCATGTCGTGTGGAGAAATGCGAAAGGTCGCATCTCGCAAAAGGTAATTCGGAACGATTGACGCCGATTGAAAGCAACGGACAACGGACACACAACAGCAACACATGGCCGCCACTCGACTGACTCATGGCCACATTTTGTCTCAAGGACGACGACGATGCCCGAACGCACCTACAAATATCGCCTTCGATACATTTTTAATTTACGCACGTAAGAGGACCTGTCCTTTCTAGAGAGAAATATTGTCCTCAGCGCCAATACATCTCGAGGAAACGGCCAATAGAAGACAACACGCATGCCTACAAATGTATTCATTCATATATCTATTATAAAAAAATAATTAAATTGTAATACATGTCTGTTGTAAATTACAGTTTTTCTGATTGCTTATTTTATCAGTAGGTAAATGATTAACTAGATTTACATTAAAAAAACCTATTTAACATTTTCATCGACTTCTAATGTGTCTTATCTCTATTTTTTTTAAACTTTTTTGCTCGACTTATCTTTAATGAACTAATTTTCTTAGTTTTACAGCATACATGTTCCGGTTGTGTTTATTTTATTTAGCGATAGATTACTAATAGCTAATACCGAACGTGGAACTTTTTTACGTTAAAATTGAACTACATTTTCACATAAATCAATATTGTCAATAATCTTATTAACATGCAATGAACACATTCTGCATACAGAATCTCAGGGTCTTAACAGAAGCGAACATTGAAACGGGACATGAATTAAATTGTATTAAATTTTCGAAGAATGCGCTCTCTGACTTCCTCTTAAGTTTTACGAATTCGTCTTTAACATATAAGGAATTTTTTGCAATCGAAAGTGCACGGCGGCATGTGTGGGGGGGAGGTGGGGGCGAGGGGCCGTTGCGGAAACTGAAAGTTGGTCTTGTCGTCCGCGGGCCTACTGGCAGCCGCGGATTGACTGCAACATTATGTGGACGCGCGGATGATTGCCAAAAGATTCGGGCAGGCGCTATTTTTAGACTGTGGCCTGAGGGGGGAGGGGTATAGGCTCGTAGCGGCGGGGGCACAGTCGGAGCGGGGTGAGGGGACCGGGCCAGGTCGTTGCCACCGCGGCTATCGATCGCCGCCGGATAAGGCACAGGGCTCACGGTGTGAGTCCGCCCTGCGCCCCCCACGTGAGCGCCTGGTGCCCTAGGGGCTTCCCCAAATTGCTGATGCTAGGAAAATACTATCTGCCACCACAACAGAAAACATATAGGTCAATTTGGCTGGGAGTTTTCGAAATTAAACCTAACACCTCTAGTTCGAAATCATTACATATAACAATTTTCAGATGTCATAAAGGCAAACTTCACTTATCTTCAAAAATTTTTTTCTTAAACCGTTTTTAATTTTTATGTACCACAATTGGTGATGCATTACCAAAGTTACCGCCTTCGAAAATTTCCAAAATGAGAACATTTAATTTAAGATCTGCTAATTGGAAAACTTCATGAAAAATGATTATTCTTACAAGAAAATTAAAACGATGAAAAATTTAGAATATTATTAAGAAATCATGAAATCGTCCAGGCAAGTGGGATAGTCGTTTCTTCAGCCTCTCACAAATGCCACTCAAGACGACTTTCAAAATACTTCAAACATATTTTACTAACCTATATATCGATGCGATGTACTGCGGCTAGAGCCGATGTCGCAAGGGTCGGGGTTCCCCTAACCTACCCTACTGCAACTCAACCTCCCCCTTGCCCCCCCCCCCCCCCCCCCCCCCTCCGACCGTCGCAGAGATTCCCTCCCGCTTCCGCCAGGAACTAGTGATCTAGTGCACAATGTGGCACTGTGTATAGGATGGACAAAAAATATATACATACCTAACATTTCATAGTTAGGTTAGGTTAAGGTTTCGAGGGAGAATAAAAGCCAGTGAAGAATAAAAGAAATAACTTCGTCTTGTAAGTCGATGACTCCTCGGTACTAACTCTTTGCCATTCTATTATCTTCCAATTTGTGACTAGAAATGGTCCTATGGTCAGGATGTGTAAATTTTATAATGGAGTATGTTCTCATCAAGACACATTCAAGAGTAATCTGCACAGCTTTAAATCATCTCTTCAAAATATCATATCATCTCCCTCCTTGTCATGTACAGGCACAGCAGTTGAGTATGTGTGTGTGATATATTTTCTTTAACTTTAATTTTATTTTGACAAGTTAAGACTACATTTATTAAATTTTAATTCTTTAGGCAATAATATTTTTATTTTATCTTTACGATTAGTGAATGTTGTGTTTAGTTGTAAGTGGATTGCACATTAATGTGTTTTTATGTTCTCTGAATTACTTCTCTGTTTTACTTTGTGACCTGGTAATAAACGTTTCTGCTTAAAATAAAGTATTTGCAATTTCCAATCTCGTAAGCATATCTGTCGGCACGTGTTGCTCCGCCGGCCCCATCAGGCCTAAAGTCCTGGACTTGTTAAACGGTAGCCGATCGTGTGAGACCGGAGAAAGGCAATTTGCGTAATAGTTGCGTAACAATAATCACGTGAAATCAATTCCGATGCGGTTCTACAAAGTACGGAAATTGCGAATTAACACGGTGAATAATCTGAATTCAACAGGAGAAAAAAATGTATCACTTATCTGTTTCATAGCAAATGTACAGAATGATATTTTTGGTACCCTAGTTATAAGTATGTTAGTGAAATTTGTGTTTCTCTTCGAGTCTGTTTTTATTTAGATTAAATCTTTTTGTGTATACGAGTGGAATGCAATTTTATCTTTGAAGCAATTGGAAATGATTCAAAAACAAAACAAAAAAAATCTTTTTAAGCTCCTTCATCAACGTAAATAGTAAAACTTTCTAGTAAAGAATAATAAAAATTATTAACTTTTTTAATTATTAGCTGCAGTGTCTTTAAATTTTAACGCTCAAAATTTAACAGTTCATTTGTGCATATTTTTGTTTTAAGACTGACCTCGACCTGACTATAGGTTTTACTTTCATAAAACATTTGCCTTGACCGTATAACTTTTCCTCAACCTGCAACAAGTATTTCTGTTCACGCTCATAGTATCGTAACACCGTTTTAATAACTCTAAAAACGTGTTTAACATCATTAAACATTATATTTATTCAAAGCACTCTATTTATTATGAAACGGTGGGGAGCGGAGTTTCCTCATCTACTTGAGCGGCTCGGCCCCCACCGCCCCAGATGGCTGCGCATCTCTCTACAAAAACCGATTATTAAACTACGCAATGGTGTATATAAGACATAATAATATACTAAGAGGCTGAATGAGCGTAGTCTCTTTAATTTTCGAGTATTGTACGACTTACGATTATCGTATTCAATTCAATCAGACAAGTCACAATCCCGCGAGGTTAGCTTTGTTATTTCCGCGTATACGAGTAGGGACAAAAGAGGTAGGTAGCTCAGGTAGCGTTCCCACTAGTATGGATACGGCGCGAAGATTGCGCGACGGTTAACGCCATCTAGTGCCCAAGGACGTGAAAAACCTATGACACAACTCAACAAGGTAGCAATAAGCATTTAACGTAGCATTTACGACCTTCCTAATTTGCATTGCACCGTGTGGGTACCAGTGATGAGTCATACATCGAGTAGTAGTGACGACATTGCTTTACATAAAGGGCCCATTAATATATTTCTTCGTGGGTTTTTCGCATAGCTTCTTATTTACTGACCCATCAGAATAACAAACTTCAGAGAAGTGAATGCATTGAGTACAAGACGTTTTACGGACGATACGAGTAAAAAAAGTCACGCAGAAGGGAAAGACAAACGATCTTGCAGACGGCAAAGAAAAATGAAAAATGTAGTACAAAAAAATTAAAGGCCCACTAGATTCAATTTCAACTTCAGCCACTTCACGTAATACAATAAGTAGGATGCGCAATGATTTGACCACGAAACGTAAATAATAACTTGTGTTCATTCTTCATTAGAGCCAAATTAACCTAAGACACTTAGCAGCAAACCGTTCCACTAGGTTCGTTTCGCCGTTTCCGAAATAAAAAACAATCGCGCACACAGAGTCCGGCTGACATAGACAGACTCTCTCCTCCGAAATGACTCACTCAATGCATGTTTGTTTAGCTCCGCCCGACACGTCCGCTTATCTCTTATCACTACAAAATCCCATCCTAGCGTGGTGCTAACCTGATTCTATATACATAATGAATAGTAGTATACACGTAATAGAGAACCATAAAACGCATACTCACCTATAGAGACAGCATAAATTTGTTGTCGCTAGCTCTAATTTTAAATTAATAATTGTACAATGTTGATAGATTTGACCACGCGGAAACAACCAATGTAAAAAAAAGAAGTATTAACGGAACTCGAAAATAAAACTCTGAAAACGTGTTATTTTACAATTTGAAACACTCATTTGTTTCTCCAATGTGGCGTTCAGAAAATTGTGTCTATTAAAATTTCGCTCAAAGTTCTTTTTACGCTTTTTGCTGGGTTTTTTTTAGTCGTACAACAACTAATTTACATTGTCGAAGAAATTACTCGTCTGCAAATTCGTTAGGAATTGTAATGAGTCAAGTACAAAACATTGCACTAGGTTACTAAATTATTAAAAGCTTGATTTTACTGAGAACCAAAAACGACTGCTGTGGAACGGTAGGTGGCGGCTCGTAAGGTTGTAAACAAGTTTAATGGAGGACAGTCATTGGCAGTATAGAATAAATAGACTAATAACAGGTGACAAACCACAGGTGTAAATCTAGTCGACAGAATGGCTCTTTACTTTTCCCGTAGAAGACTTGCCGACGAAATTTAACAAATTTGCTTCTTTTTTCAGCAAATTGATTATCAATAAACTCTACTACCGTTTCGGGAAAAAGCCACTGACCTGAGAAGAATCGGCGAAATAAACTCGGCGAGATAATTTATTTTTACATAATTTTGAAAAAAAAAATACAAAAGTGTACAATATATTAAATTCCAATTAAACGGCCTGGAGCGATCAATTCAATTCATTTCCAAAGTGTGTCATGATTCAAATAATCACTAATACTATACTAGCCCTTAACACACAAACGTTCTTTTACAAGTTTTTTTGGATTTAGCAACAAATTCTTTTTGCACGTTTTCTGGGATTTTGTTGGAAAAGGGTATACATTGTCCTATAAAAGATTTATATAATCTATGCAATCTAGATGAGGGTAGAATTAATTTGTTTGTTCATAGTAATTATAACATGTACATTACTAAATCTTGAAATTTGAATGGGAAACTCATAAAACCTCCCGGACCTCGAAACTTGCGGCTTTTTTATTCTCCAAAATTAAAGAAAAGCTTAGAGGTTAACCGATGGGGAAGAATAAAGGTTCTCGAGTGGCAGCCTCGTATTGGCTATCGCAGTAAAATGATTACTTAACAAAATTCACAAAATGAGCATGACAAAAGTACCTAAGAAATCTAATAATGCAAAGTTATAGATATGTTTTATTGTATAGGAGATAGTACGTAATTAGTCACCGCTCACCGCTAGACTAAGTTATTCACTTAGGTCATGATTGTCATGATTTTGTATATTGATTAATCGCTATTGTTATTGGACTCTTGAATATAATTTGTGATGACTATTCCAACATAATAAATTTATATTTTATCATCAAAGAAAACGAAATTTCCATGAATAGGTACATTGATTATTATTACAAAAATGAACGGGCAACGGACACGATGCCTGAATCTTTTCTCTAGCGAATTATTTGGATAAATATTTGAATGTGATTTATAGATCACATCCTCCGTCACCAAATGCAAACCTAGCTTCAACAATTACATACATAATTAGCAATCCGGTGGCGTTCCCGGTGCCATGCGCGCAGACGCACAAAAAAGCGCCGCGGACGGCGGGCGCGCGCCAGCGGGTAAAAATACCACTGCGCGTTCGCGTTCGCTAATAGAGAAGGGCTCGCGGAGCACGCGCCTAGTGCGATGCGTGTCTGCGAATCGCGGGGTGCGTTTCGGGCCAACAACCCTCACAGCTAAGACAACAAAGTGTTCGCGCTAAGCGGCCACAAATACCGTTCGGTATGGGTAACAAAGAAAACAGAATCTTGGCCAATGCATCAGACGTTGGAACGGAATTCCGACGGCCAACGCGTCACGGGGCTTCGTCGCGGACGCGGGCTCTATTCCGGGCGCGTGCCGGCGCGGCCGCATTGGCCATTCATTGACACGACAACTGCTCTGCGACTCGACTTTTAGGGATGCGTTATTAATATACTTACTAATTCTTCAGTCGTGCATTAATCTGCTTGAGAGCCTAATTACCATCCATCGTTTATATTTACAACAACTGTGAAAGCTTTCTGTTCAGTGACAATGATTCTAACTACTTGTATGAATTCGTAATAATATAAATTTCCTCGACCGCTTGTGTGGAGTGGTCTATATCTCACGGCAGTGTGTGGAGTGGTCATGTACAAGCACGTGCTACACATGTGCCGCACAAACGTCGTAATTTTCTTCCAGTTACCAATTACGAGACTACTAGGCCGGGTCTAAAGATTAACCTTCCTCCTTGTTAATCGGGCGATCTGTATTGACCTGACAGTTTCAATAATAAAAGTGAGAGTTATTAGTAACGACATGCATGCCTCATAGGGAATGAATCATTTATTGCAACTATTACGAAATTAACTACGCGGTGAAAATATACTAATATGATTGATTACTACAGTGAAGATGGATGCCAAGAGACGATGATAATAGTTTGTACATTTTACAGGTTGCCATAAATTGAAGTGGCGAAACAGAACCATGAAGTATGTAACGTCTAAAATAAATTTTCAAAATCTTTAAAATAAATCTAACTATCTGGACTCAAGGCACCTGAATCTAAATTATCGCACGCACATGTTAGGTCTTGTGATAAGAGGTGTATTATATTATAGGCCTTTGACATATTACATACGTTAAGAATTTGTACTTCGGTGACTAAATATAATTGTCACAAACCGTTGGGTCAGCTCCGCGGAGCGTGTTCATAACACGGAATCTTAGGACGGGTCGAGGGTCGAGTGTTGGTGCCTTATAACCTTCGGCACCACTGTATAAATCCTTCATAATCGATAGAGCTCCACCGCCGACCAAAACAATACTTTTCAGTACCAACGTGCCGTTCGGTATGGGAACGCCATTGTTTCAAAGTTGTACATGTAATTATTATGGTATGCATTGTATGTTCGTTCATAGTAGGTGAAATTAATTTGCTTCAACGTTTCTTTTATGAGCCGTGGTAGCTCAATGTCCGGGCGCTCGCTTTTAATTCAATATACTCGAGCAACCTGAGTTCGATCCCCTAACATCGTGGGGAAACCTGCACATTTTCGAAATAACAATAAAAAATATTTCTAAGATATGTAAAGTGCACCAATCCACAGTGGGGCCGCGTGGTGAACTATGCCCTGATATCCTTTATACAGAGGAGGCCTTTGCTCAGCAGTGGGACATGTGTAGGCTATTACAACGTTTCTTAATGAATTAAAACACAAAAACCTACGTTTCTAACGTATGTTTTGCAGTATCCGAGGAAGCCTTGAGACATCGCAATGACAAAACACTAGCTATATTTTATTCAATATTATTTTTGCAATCAATATTAGGAATTTTTATTTTAAAAACACTGCTATCCGTCGTGTATTTCTGACGCGACTTCCGTCATACGTTTTCATATAAATGGATATCTACTTCTTGTCACGTCGTTCGTCTCATGTCGTTTTAAATTACTATTTTTTTGAATGTGTGTCTTGTCTCGCGTTTATATTCATTATTTATTTGTCGACTTCTAGCATTTGTATGAATGCATTCATATTTCACGTTTGCATCTACCTAGTCTAGACTAAACTTCTAGACAAATCTAACAGCAAAAGAGCTCTTTACACGATACATCTTTCTACACTATACAAGTAGACAATTTTCACTCGTTGCGAAACGTGTCTTGTTATCTGTGACGGTGGACGCGAGACGCGGAGGCCTGATAATGATAATGATAACGGCAAGTGAACATTAACTCTTCCAGGCCGCTCTCAGTGCCCCGCTGGTCTGGTCGACGCGCGACATGTAACTAATGATGTAGGGCAACGGTTGATAATGTCGAATACATAAGTGGGTTTTACAAATGAAAGCATTTAGATTACAAATAGTATTCGCATACTCTTGCTAATAGTTCTAGTTCGATTATATAGATAAAACTATAACAAAAAAAATCTTCACCAGAAGTATGTTAAAAAATCAGCCCTAGGGAACCTAGTACACTAAGAGAATAGAGAAGCAACTCTTACAGTGTTTTAAATTAAAAAAAAAAACTATCGTATCATTGTGAACACGCGGCATGATATATTTTTGTTGTGCTGCGCCAAACAGTACAAAGATATCAGGATGACATAGCTTTTTAAGCGTAGATACTGTAGTTCTTTAAAAGAAAAGTCATCTTAAGCGGGGTAGCTGTTGACCTGGATATTAAGTGATCACTGCATAATGGTCATCTGCTACACACGCGTGGCGTGTAAATAAAAATTATTTCCAATAAATTCAACTAAGTAATGTTATAAAGTCTAACGCCATGTCCTGACGTCTTACAGATTCATCGAGCGATATGGAAAAAACATACATTAAAAAATTCATCTTGTACAGATTTTGAAATGCTTGTTTATAAAATTTACCAATATTAAGAGTGCTGCATTCATCACCTCACTCGCTCACTCACTCTCATATCTATCAGGTCAGCGCGATGGTATGACTAAAGTCAGTTTAAAACATTTCTATTGTTTTTGGAACACATTCATGACATTAGGCAGATGCAATTTATAGGGTTACAATATCTGCAAGTGATTGTGATCACTAGGACTGGAATCCGAGTGAAACATTTATTTGTTAGGTTTTATTGTAACGGCAGTAAGCCGCAGGTGACGGCCGAAACCCGAGCCATAAAAAGAGCTAATGTTACACGGCAGCGGTGTCAAAGGAACACAATGAAGTTAAGTGTTGCGTCAAGTCCAAAGTCGCAGAGCCGAGAGGTGCCTGACGTTGCGCGATTGTCGGCCTAATGGCCAATGGAATAAAGGCCACAGCTGTCTTTGACATATCGAATATCTGGCGAGGCAAGAAAACAAAGACCAGGCAACCTTCTGCCGTAATTAGTGAGCCGTGATTTTGTTTGAGTCAGCAACTCAAACAAAACGCGAGCCTAATTATATTAGATAGCTGGACACTAACTACTCGCAAGGACCAATCGTTATACGAATTTGAGTGAAATAAACTTTGGACGTTTTATGGCATAAGAAACTATAACTTGAAGAAAAACAGATTAAACAAACGTCAGCTTAGCGTAGTACGTATTGAACACCATCAATTTAAATAACTCGAGCCATGCCCGATAATCAAGTTTTGGGATACCCCCAACGTTTTGAAGTTTTAACAGCGAGGTGTAAATGTGTGATCAGTGATAGGTGCGTGTTAGCCAAAGGTGCTTGCGAGATCGGCGGCGACGGGCGGCGCGGCTGGCGCGATAAATGCAGGCAGGGCGGCCTGCCCGCCGCCACCGCCGCCACATCCTTGGCGAGTTCCTCCTCCGCCTCCTCGTCCTACTGGCTTAGACTTAACCAGCGCGACGTTCAATCGTCAATCGTCAAAACAAGAAGTCCCGCCTAGCTCGCGGGACAAGATTAACCGCGTAGGACGCCGCGTCTATCTGGCAACGGCTATAGTTATTTATGTTTGACTCGAGACAATCATCTAAAGCGGCCGGGACGATCATACGGGTGAGTGTGGTCTGTGCGATGACTGCGAGCGAATGAGTTGGGTTAGTGGAGCACGAGAAGCGTCAAGGTGTCAAGGTTGTCACGCCGCGGGGCGGGCGGGCGCGTGCGTGCTTGTAGTCGGCCGGGGGCGCGCATCGATCGCCACCCGCCACCGCTGCCTTGGTCACCACCACCACCACTCACCTTCTGGGTGCAGCCTCTGCGGGTCGAACCAAGCATCTGCAATAGAAGGCGGCGCGTTAGCGGGTTAGTCGCGACAGAGAGTGAAGCGGCCAAGCGAAGCCGACGCGGGCACTCACTAGGGTCGAGGACGCTGCATAGGGAGGGCCCGGAGTCCGGCATGGTGGCACTTTACGTAATATACGGCTCTTCACTGCGGCAGACATACGCGCGCCGCACCCGACTGTCGCGTCGATACTGGGCCGCGGCGCAGCCCCGCGCCTCTCCTTGCGCACAGCGCATGCGCCCCCCCGCGCTGCTCCCCCCCCCCCCCTCCACCCCTCCTCCTCCCACAGCAACACCACCGACCCCACGAGCGCAGCTCCGCACCGCAGTGACATCTCATGGCGTCACTCACATTAGTTAGTTACATTGGGAAATTGGCAGGGGTGCTGTTAGTACGCTATTGCGTTGCGTTAGTACAAAAAGCCATGGCTTTACCCGTCACCTTAATATCGTCCCGTGTACGATACACACATAACAAGTAAAATTCGACAGAGATAACTTACATACTTTAGGTCGGGCGTTGATGTTTTTCGCGTCGATCAACTTGGGTTTAAGCACCAAAGTTCTGTGCAGAACGGCGACACTTTATGTAGTACTGCGACTGGGACAGCCATGACTAATGGAGCCACAAAAGGCTTCCAGTCTCACGTCTGAGCGAATAATGTCCGAGTGTGAGCTAATGGCGTAAGGGCAGCGTGTTTGTGCGCAGCAGCAAGGCGTGCGGCCGTGAGCTCGGTGAGTCAGTGGGCCGAGCGGCTCAGCCGGCGACCTTGGAGGTTAATTATCGCCTCCTTCAAATCGCGACGCAAGTTCATGGCTAGCATAAACGTTGTCTCATTTCCACACTCGTCAAAGAAATGAAAGTACACAAGGGAAACGAAGGCAGGATTCTGTTGAAGGAACGAATAAGAAAGTAATCCAGCTTATAAGTTATACGGTCGCAAAAAAATTCCATCACAAAGTTTCATACGCGAACCGAGTAAATTAAAAACTGATACAAGAGTTTCTGATTTGTGTCGCACTAATTGAATGGTAAACATTAAAAGGATATCTTAGTCGCTTATCGATAAGCTTATTACACAAGAGTATGTGGTGAGGAAGGATCAACAGCGATGTACAGGTTTTTGTATAGATTGTTTTCAGATTATCCCAATTTACCTACATACTTAGGATAATGTATGTTGCAGTTCGCAAATCTAAGACTAGTTACTAAATCCAAATTAAACCCATTAAGTTATTACATACTATTGAATTATTGGCAGCAGCTGCGAATTACGAAATTAGCATTTATTGTTATAAGAAGTTTGAACATGTTTCGAAGCAATGTTGCGGGTTTGTAACTTATCTCGTGCTGCTGACGTGACTGTTGGAGGGGTTAATGATTAATAAACGATTATATCGTTTGTTGTTGTTATAATTAGTGCTGTAACCTACTGTTATCTATTCATACAGAGGGTCTATTTTAAAGCGTTATACATAGAAGAACACTTGCAAATGTATCAGTCATGATGTGTTGACGGAGTTGCACACATGATGCAGTTTTGTTCAATGTGAAAATAAGTAGTACACACTAATTTCTACGACATTTAGAGGATATATTGGTTTTGTATTATATAAATAAAATTGAATGATCACTCACGAATTAAAAAGATACTTTTGAACCTTATGGGTTAAAAATATAATGTAAAAGGCTGAGAAAGGAATGAAATCTTCGTTTATTAAATATAAATTAATTAAGACTGACAAAAGAAACAGAGTTCGAAAGCACTGGTCGGTGACATTTTAAAAAACTGGCGAATAATAGAAAATAATAAATAACAACGACTGCCTCTTGAACTCGGTAATCCTTGACGGGGGGCTTAGCGAAGAAACACGACAAAAATTCTGTTCAGAAAAAATAAGACATTGGGTTTTATACCGATGGGTCAATCGCCTTATAATTACGCGTGCATCGATCAAAGACGGAAAGGAATTTGTTCAATTTTCTGAGTGACAAAATCATCAGACACGGGAAAGGCATAATAGGTGGACAACAAAAGAATAGATCACGCTATAATACTGCTGTGAACGAAGTGACGAAAGCGTGATAAAAATAGATCAACGATAGCGCCCTGTGACATCAGCGTCCCAGCGCACCTGAGCACCTGTATGCAGATGTGTCGAGCGCTCCGCAAGCGGCCTGCACCAAACGGGCACTCACGGGAACCAAGCCTTGGCCTTCACCACGACACGAGAACCTCGGCCGAACATCTCCATTATGTTAACATGGGAAAAAGGATTTGCCCTAAACGTGAATAAGGCTACTCTTATCCTATCATTAGTCAGGGGCATAATTTTATCTTTGCTTAAACTCATTGATGATTTCCGGTAGAGAAGCTGCAAGCAACAGCAAATCTCAGAAATACTAAAAAAAACGTTAGTAGATATGTTGAATTAGTTATTAATATAACATCAATAACAATATTGTCACTAATTTTCCATACAACCGTAACAAAATCTAGGTGATAGAAAAAATATTGACATCGTAATGAATTTACATTAGCAAATTGGCTCTTTGTACTAAGTCAACAATGGCACGTCACCGCGGCGTCTCTATATGCGAAAAATATTTTCATTTCGATAAATGAACGTATTCATACTAAATTCAAGTTAATTTCGTTTCTCGTGCCAACACAAAGTAATAAAAACGTCACATATGTGATGCGTATCGTATTAACAATCGCGTGTGGCTGTGTGCTGTGGTTTGAACAACCCTCGCCGTTAGAAAGGGGGTAAGGAATTTCCCATGAATCACCAAACGATCCCTTTCCCGTATCCTTTCGCACGTTGAATAACGTGTCAAATGTTACTTTCAGTCCAATGACAAATTCTTTGTGAAGATCAAACACTATGTCATTTAGATAAGCCATAGTGCTACACAATAGTGTTCTTATTACGACGAAACAAATTCTGAACAGTCAAACGTATACAATCATGATCGTTTCTAAAGAAAACGTATCCCATACGAGAACCGCAGACTTGAAATCAACTTTCACAAATAATAAATGAGTACATATCAACGATAGACACAGAGGCCGCGTACAATTGACATGGACCATATAAGGCGGTGTCTGGCACTTGAAAGTTTCCCTGCAGACGGAACAGACGGCGGCAAGGCCTGGCTCGGCGATCGATCTCGCCGACCACCCCCACGTCCCCCGCACCCCCGAAATCCACCCCCGCCCGCCCTTTGCTCAAGGTCTGGATTATTCCGGAAAATCCTGGAACGGTACACCGTTGCCAAGAATACATATACCAGTATAACATATAAAGAACGACCAACATATTAACCCCGTTTATCTAGTACAACGCAGGCTGCTAATGGTGTTGTTTACTGTTTAAGTTATTATTAATTATAATTATGCATTGAATTATAAGGGAACATCCGGCACACGCTAAGCGACCTAGCTTGTTATTTTCTTAATTTTTTTTTTGATGCAAAGTTCACTTTCCAGGAGCGTGTGGGTGGGGCATCCGGCTGCAAATCGGCAGACACCGCTTCGATCTGTGACGCAGCCTGCGTCGTTGCGGGTTTTTTGACTGCATGTGGAATTTATATGATCGTTTCTTTATTCATTTATCCGTTTGAGAAGCCGTGGGAAGCTAGGAAGTTGTATTCGACGGATTTAATAAGAATGACGAAATCCTGGCGCAACAATTACGCATCTAAGCAACGATATAGTACGCATAGATATAAATGTTGGTTGCCTTAAAACGCCCCTAGCCGCTATGTGATTGATTAAAGGAAAATGTACTAAATAGGATGGGATCCTTATCACATAATACATGAGAAGTAGTTTTTAATATGTTCAAATGTAAAAATGTACTTAATGTAGAGTTTTTAGAAGACCTTACGAAAACCATAATAAACGAGCGACACATGTACGCAGACTAATCAACAGGAGCATCCGCAGGAATCCCTGTATTTTAGACATTTCGATAATTATTCTTGATCACATTAGGATTCGTTTAAACATTTTCAAAAAAGCCATTAGTGAAGCCGACTTGAGCAATCAAAGTAATGCTCTATATTTTTTATTTACTTCAGGCAAAATATATTGAAACAGGTCTCATAAATCTGAATCGGAATCAAATCAAATAATTTATTCATCGAAATAAGAAATATACATTTCATCTATGGATACTCATTTTTTTAATCTACCACCGTTTCGTAATGAGGTTCCTCTAACGGCGAAGGAATTCCGTAGGTATCCTCCTTTTTGTCAATTTTTTTCTCAAACAAAAATACATTGGTATGCAGTACAATTTTTTTTATTTAGAAACAGCTTAGGAACGATCATCTCATTCCCAGGGGTTATTATCGTTAGTGTACTCTTTTACATTGTAATAACCCTTTTTAAAAAGTTTTTCTTTAATCAATTTCTTATACTTGTTGCAGATGATGTATCCTTCCAAAGAGTTGACAGATTTGCATTAATTATCACTGACCCGAATGGCAGTCAACAAAGGATTGCATTTTGTAGATACACGCATACGCTTTTTACGTCAGTGCAGCAACGACTTAAACATTAGAGCTTTTCATAATAGTCTTTAAAATAATAAATAAAAACCTGTGTGAAAACTTTTCAAGCATACTTCAGAGTCGTAACAAATGTAATAGGTATCGGGAGAAAATACAATTTAATTGTTTATCGGTTAATTTAATGATATGTCGAATGTATTTTAACTATACGTTATCTATTTCACCAACAGAGATGCATTGATCTCGGTGAAAACGTAGTGTGTCGATAAGAAACCAACGATGTTGGACTTCAGAGGTCGCGCGCCGGCCGAACTGATGCGCGGGTAAAAATACAAACGCATATTACTCTTTGAAATATGCGGAATGCAACACTAAAAATGTGTTATTTGTCAAGGCCAACAATGTCAAAGGCACCATGATTTGATTCAATGTAGAGAGATGGCAGTAAAAAGCTTACGTCATTCATTGCGCATGGAGTCGATAGGCGATGCATTAATTATAGGAAAATGACTTCATAGCGCGCGAGTCACGCTTCCGACCGATTGGTGACTCTCCATCCAATCCAAATAAGCCAGAAAGCGAGGGCCGGAGCAGTCGGTGTGCGCTTCCGGCCCTTACGTGACTTACGTGTCACCGTGTCGGTGGCGGTGCCGGTGCCGGGGCCCATGGCAATGCGGGGCACAACACAGCGGTCGGTATAAAGTTCACGGCGCGTTCACCGAGGGAGTCCGACGGCGCGGGAGCAGCGCGTGAGTTCGCGTCCGAGGAGACGCCACTTGTGAGTGGGCCGCGCGTGCGGCCGCTAAAATTAGCTGGGTGCCATCGCACCGCACCGCACCGCACCCCCCGCTGCCCCACCCGAGCCCACCGACGCCCCGCGGCTCCACACCAAAGCACGGACATCCCACGGGCGCCGCTTTCATTTCGGCCGCAATGCATCCACCGTTCACGGTGATAGGTACATAAAAATGGTAGTTGCGACGCATACGTGGCAGTTCCGAGAGCGGAGCGATCCCAGATAAGATAACAGCGAAAGCTGCAAGCAAAACTGATATAACCGGCTGCGCGGAAACAGCCACCCTGATAAGAGTGCGACGCTCAAGTTTTGACCAGTTAATGGCGAACGAATGCCGGACGAAAAGTTTACAATATCGCAACAAATATTCGCTGAACCCGATAGTAGCGACCAGCTGCAAATCCGTTTCAGTCAGGCGATTTCTGTTTTTCGGTGAATGCGCCAAGATTGGCGAGCGTTTCGGGCGTCCTTCACTTCTGCGCACGGTGAGAGGCTCGAGGCCCGTTACCAGCCGGTCAACGATCTTGCCGCTTCGCCACCTCTGGCTCTGCCGACTGTCTACCACCTCACCTCACCCCGCAACGCCCCGTAACACCCTCGGATTAGCCGTGAAGAATAGGGAACACACGATTATTTCGAAATATTTTTTGGCTTGGGAATCAGATCAAAAAATGTCAAATCTGAACTTAAAAATTTTACGATTTCAGTAAATGTACACTTAATATCTACTATAATACCACGGCCGAATTATTTGATCATGCTTCTACCTAGATAAGTAATGAGCAGATAGAGGCGCTTAATGCGATCTTAAGCTCCCGCTAGTTAAATTTTTTTTATAAATTTTCACGCTCTGAAGAGCTTACAGTTGCCTTTGAAAGCCGCCATTGTTCAGGCAAGCTGCACACAAAAGCGAGCGAGCTCCGCGCCGATGAAGTCACCCCGACGCAAATAGAGGGCAACCTTCGTGCAATTGCGAAATGCCACAATTTTATTCATGCTTTTCGTACGTCACATTCCCCGATTGTGAATGCATGTGAATTATGCTTAAAAATTGTAATCGGCGAAAATGATGACCAGCGAATCGTTCTTACCTAATCCCATCTGGCAGAAAATGACCTCGGCCTCGATGACGTGTGCAGTGGGCGCTCGAACGGGCTCCGCCTTGACGGGTTCAGGTGGCGCGGGCTTGGGCTGAGGCGCGGGCTCCTGGTGCGGCTTCGGCTCAGCCGCGGGGGGCTCGTGTGGGGCCTCCGTCTTGCTGGTAGCCTTTCCCTCGGCCCGTTTTTCCACAACAGGCTCGGGCACCGATGGGGCAGGACTCGGAATTGGGACTGGTGCCGGGGTGGGAGGCGGAGCCGGCGTCGCAGCCAGGATGAGCGTGGGGTCGCGAGCCGGCGCCACCGCCGCGCTGGGCTCGAGAATAGGCACGCTGCTCTTCTGCTGCGGCGGTTCCGGGCGGTGCAGAGGCGATTCGCCGGCAGTGTCTGCGTCCGATTCGCTGTCCGTAAACTTGTCTGCAATATGGTCGGCTAGCTTGTCTGTGACGGAAGGAGCACGAGGCGTGTCCACAAATTCATCACGCTCCATGTCGAGAAAATTCTGTGAGGCAACTCGAGCAGCGCCGTGATGACTCGGTGATTCCCCGAATTCGTCGCGCTTACTTTCACGATCCAGGTGTTCAAAATCATCAGTAGAGTCTTGTTCCCGTTTAAGAGCTGGCACCGCCTCAGCTGCTGGAACGGTGTCGCCACTCGCTAAGCCCCCGAGTAGATCGGCCTCCATGACGGCGAATTTAAAATTTTACAATATAATATTGTTAAGAGTAGAAACGAAGATCGATAGTGGGTGCGGTAAAAGCGCGAGAAGGGTGTGGATACGGAGGGTCCTGCCGTGCCTCCTCTACGTGACGTACTGAGGTCTGCGAAGTGCGAGCCGTGCGCCGGTTGTGCTACTGCACGACGTCACTCAGCACGAAAAACGGTATTACTCATCGCAAAACAGCCTCACCGATGTAGCGGGGGCGGAACTTTTCGCCGGTACTGTTTGAATACAAATAAATGTTTGTGTTTTATATAAAGAAAAAAAATCGATAGTAATTAACAATTTTGGAAATACTAACTTATATCGTTTAGATGGATCCTAGAAAGTAAAAAGAAATTACGACAAAATTTATTGACTTAAGTAAATGCTGTTTTACCGACAGTCTTTAACATTTACGCACAGATAATTTATTGTTACGCTAGTCCAACTGCTCGTTATTGTATCGATTCGTTACTTATCTGTGATTTTTTGTTTAGGCATGATGCTTAAATATCACATTAAATTATATTTTAATTGTTAATAATTCGTATTGCAGTGTATCTCCGACGTAATTATAAGCTACTCAAATGTCCCCCCATGTCATATAGGTGTCGTAAGAGACAACTGAGAGATTTCCCAGTAATGTTTAGTGGCCTCCGATAGATGGCGCGATAATCATCTCGATTTTTTAGACTCTAAAATACTCAGGTCTATAACGTCACGATTGCTACCTCGCTCACAAAGGGCTTAGCAACTATCTCAAAACCCCTAAGTCTGTGGAGGAGGATTTTTTTCAGCAGTCGACACAGGCAGACTGAAATGATAACGAGTGTTAATATTTGTCGATAATTATTTCAACATTTTGAACACGCCTTCATGATTTATTTTTAGATTTAGCGATGTTTTCCAAAAACAATTAACAAGTTAATCCCGCTTATAAAAATATATTTATCATTAGGAAAATTTTTACATCGGACATTCATTACCAAACATTACTTATTGGGATATAGTGACCTCTACTTAATGTGAGGGACAAGATGTCAATTCTGACAACCTCAAAAGAATATCGATAAAACAGTATACTTTTCCTGATATACAAGCGCTGCGGCGCTTTATATTTATACATCACTGTTGTTTATTGTTTGGTGTACGTAATTGCAGCGCTTTTTAGTTTTCAACTAAAAATGGTGCTATGATGCAGCGGTGATTGGGTGTGAGCAGCTCGCATGCTGTCAAGTGCTGTCATTTCATTTGTTTTTAACCGATTGAAATTGAATTATAAGGATGGCGGCGGTTGCAATGAGAGGTTGTGTTAGATCGAGTGATACAGAATTAACGGAAACATTCGAATGTAAAAGTTATGAAGAGAAAACAGTTAATGGGATAAATAACGGTCACAAAAATGGTTACCTGAAGACAGCAAATATAAATAATGGCGTTGTTGTAAGTATAAATATATTGTAAAACATACAATTATAACCTTTAAAATAAGGTCTGGTGGAACTACCGGTGTTGGTTCCCGGCGACACGCCCGTGGCGCAAATTGTAACCAGTAGCCTCTTGACCTATTGTTATGGTGTCATTGGGTACCGTGGCCTTGAGTGTTTTAGAAATCAAAGTTAAGCAGTAGCAAGGCCGTAGTAATAACGCAGCTGATTAAGCGTACACTTAAAATTTATCAACTGTATTTTTTAAAACAATTCCATAAATAAACAGATTTATAATTTGTTCATTATTTGAATTTCTCATATTATTATAATAGTTATGTCAGGAAAATATTTAAGTGTCGCTTTTGTATTTATATGTAACTTGTATCATAATAATATTAATACGTGAATTGTCAAATTAATCAAAAAATTAAAAAATTATAACCAGTTATAATCGCAAAATACTGAAACATTATTGTCTTACACATTAAAACATTATTATCTGAATCCTGAAAGAATTTGGAAATGATGGGAATCAAAAATTCAATAAAGCAATGCTATATTTTCTATGAATAATTTGACTAGGATTTTTAAAGAATTAAGAACTGTTATTGAACTTAATTTCTTTTTCTTAACGTTTTTGCTTATAAATTTGGTATATAGTTTTGTATAAATTAACAGTGATAAGATTTTAAAACAATGTAGTATGAATTATGTATAATCAATATAACAAACAAATTAACAAATAATTTAATTTAATTTCAAATTTTCAAAAATTTGATTTCAAGTTTTCATCCTTGCATCTCAGACACCTTTAAAATAAAGTGTTCTTAAAAATCATAAACTTAAAAAATAATTTCTAGAAATTATATTGTGTTCTAACTGACTGATATTTTTCTATTAGCTCTTATGTATTATGCAGTTATATAACTTATTGGAAAAGTTAAGATGTTTGTCCCTCTGTCCATTCCTAATTTTATAACAATATAAAACTTTCAACTGTTGAATGTAGGACTAACATGAACTAGTTGCCCCTTGATGTTAATTGATAACTAATGTGGTTTTGTTCCATGTTTTGGTTGAATATACCACATATTCTCATGTTTTAATACAACTCGAAAAAAGATTATAATTTAAGGTATATAATAATGATTAAATGTGGGATTAATTGTCCTCAAACTTTTTATTTAAGTGAGTCTATACCCTTAAATAATAACTTAATTAATACTTAAAAGTGAAGTGTTGTTGTGTTGCTGTTAGGTGAAAGTGTACATAAATTGTTACAAAATATAAAGATATTAGAGTTTCATATTAATTAACAATTTATTGCCCCCATAAACAATATGGGCCCACACCAAGCGAATTTGCATCTCAAGTGACGGGTATCGCATATTTGGCCCACTATACCTTACTAGTTTTATACGTAACTGACCCGGCAAACATTGTTTTGCCATATAAATTATTTGTAGGTTAGAAAAAAATGTCAACATTTGGGGGGATGAAAAATTTCACGAAAATCGGTCGCACCGTTTCGTAGGAGTTCAATTACAAGCACCGTGACACGAGAATTTTATATATTAGATTATCGCATTATGTATTAAACGCAACACATAGTATAGTACCAATGCCAGAAGCAGCAAACCGTCGCTGTCGTAGGTGGCAAGTAGGAAGAAGGAGGGAGGAATTTCAGCGCGTAATTGACCGATGAGTCCTATTTACCAAGCCTTGACACGTGTCACGTAATGTGACCAGCAACAGAGTTTCGTAATCTTGGCGAGGCGTTCACGTGAGACCTAAAATGTTCGATAATGCGTTCGAGATGGTACAATGCCATCTACATTTTAAATTATCAACAAAACAACGACCAATTACTCGTTTCTCCGCTTTGTCTCCACACAACTTACAGCTTTACTATAATTTTGTTCGTAAACTTATTTCAGCTAGCTGCATAAGTTACAACTTTTAATTAGTGGTGGTCATGGTATGCTTTTAAATAATGAAAATAAATTTTCTTTATGTATAGATGCCTCCGATACACCCACCCCTCCACCCCCGCTCCCCCAGACGTTGAATTGCCTATTGAAGCCCTCCGTAGTGCGGCGCACTGCGGCAGCGGAACTACCTCCCGGATATTCTATAGCTCCGGATGAGGCTTCGATGCAAGTGCCACACTTTATTCACTAGCAAACAAAACTAGTTTCTACCCCGTCTAAACCCATCCATGCTTCATATATATAACTAGCTGTGCCCGCGACTTAGTCCGCGTGGAATTTAAGTAAAAAGTAGCCTAAGTTACTCCTTATTACATCAGCTATCTGCCGGAGAAAGTCCCGTCCAAATCGGTCCAGCCGTTTCAGAGATTAGCTGGAACAAACAGTCAGTTAAAAATGTAAAAAATGTTATTTTTATGTATTTATAAAAAGCGGTTATATTAATATTACTAACAGACACTCCAATTTTTTCAAAGTCAAAGTATATTTATTCAATATAGGCTTAAGCTCTTATTGAACGTTAACAAAAATTCTACCATCTTTTATCTTATTCTCTATTTATTTTATTTATCTGTATAGATATAAATACGTACCTTTCTAAGGGAAGGCTTAGTTAGCTGTAGGGACTGAAATTTGCGTGGTTTTTAAATAGATACGTCAAACACAAGAGGCTGCAAGTTTTATTAAAACTACGAAATTAATAATTTAAACATTTTGTGAAAATTCCGATGTTAAACTATTATATCGGAACTAGCCTTGCTATAAAATGCAATTAAACATTCCTTCAAAGGCTTTTTATCACATCGTGTAAAGTAAGTTTCCGATAACTGAACGCGCATGAATTTCATGTTATTAGCACCTAATAAACCTGAACGAACGATTACTGGGTCCGCGAAATTCGCCCGCTGGAGACTGGCTATGCTGTTCTAACATAACTTCTTGAGGGTTCTTATTCAAATGTAATGCTTACATTTATTAACTCCTCCGGCTCCTTTGGTATTTGTTACACAATACGGTGTGAGATTTAGGCTTAATGGTTCAATGATGATGTTATGCATTTACCTATCTTGTTATTTTACCATAACTTTATTGACTCGTATTTTAATTTTAGTACTTTAGACGTGAAATAATCAAGTCAACAGTGATTTGTATCAGCTTTCAGTTTGTTTGCTGCGACACTCTTACACCGTAGTATGACCAATAAATGTGTTTTTGATTGTGTCTGATGTATACGGATACACGGGATCGCTCTGCCACGGATCGGTGATTTGCGATGATTCGGAATCTAATGGCGGTGGTTTATTGCTCATTTATGTTGTAGCAACTATTGAATTATCTGCTTACCTGACCTATATTCCGTTACTGTTCAATGCCACCCTACAAGGGTATACCCTTCTCGCTGACTCACGCTCCAGTCGCCTGACCGCACTTAGCGCTTATCACCTACCTCGTGGACGTCCCCGGCTCTGCGGGGGACCAGGCTCACTCGCACGTGGGGATGGGTCGCGGCGGCATCCTGCCTTGCTCACGTACTGTCGCCCTTTGTATCGGCTCTTAGTGTTCACTTGCAGCTGATCGCCGGCTGAGGTCTGTACAGTCCCGAGTTTATATTCAACTTATTGACGACATGTACTTCAATGATTTTTTTATACTGTTATCCTTATTAGTAGTATACGTTATTCAATAAGAATTTTAAAGGTAAGTAAGGAAAATTCAGTGTTTATTTTATTAGGTACAAGTTCTTAGAAGTTTTTTAGGAATATTAATTTCAGAAAATAATCTTATGTCTTAATAGTAGTAGTCGAATATACTTAATATAACGTCGTCGTAATAGCAAAAATGTTTTCAAATACTCTTATTTTGTATTCCCCTTATTCACCAAATAATAACTTTACATGAAGCATGTACATTCATCAGACGGAGTATAAGAAACTAGGGTTAAGTGAGTCTCGGCTTGATTTTATCCAGCTGACAGTAGGCTCTTATAAAAACTGACTTGGCATCTAAGCTGCGATCTCAGTGTCAATGCCTTGATCTAGTGTATGAATTGAAATTTCTTGCTCATGTCTTAAAATCATATTTGAGCGCTTTAAATATGATTTTACTTTCAAAGAATCTTATCGACAAATGGAACTACTTTCATTATTAGGGTTCCGTACCCAAAGGGTAAAACCGGACCCTATTACTAAGACTTTGTTGTCTGTCTGTCCGTCTGTCACCAGGCTGTATATCATGAACCGTGGTAGTTAGGCAGTTGAAAGTTTCACAGATTATGTATTTCTGTTGCCGCTATAACAACCAAAAAGTAGTGGCTTTCAATACGATGTGATAAATTGGAATAACTATTATATGATATGCTGTTGTTTTCCCGAATAAATAAATAAATGAATAAATAAAACAGATTAAAAAACATATTTAAGTGGGGCTCCTATACAAGAGACATGATTTTTTTTTTTTGCTGTTTTTATCGATAATGGTACGGAACCCCTTTGTCTGACTCTTACTTCGCCGGTATTTTTTACCGACAATTTTATAATTAAAATATTTAAGATATTTCTAATAAGAAATTTTTGTTGTTTATTTTTTTTTATGTTCTCTTTTAATAGCTACTGAAAATTCTTATAGTTATTCTTGTCTTAATGATGTCTGACTTGAGAAAACCTACATTTGAAGATAAGATTCAATCTTTGTCTACTTATGTCCACCTTTTACTCATCTCAACCTTTTATAGTCTGTCATATGTTATCATCTTAATACCATCGCCCTTTACACTTTATAAAATAATTTAAATCAGTACGGATTTTTCTACTCTCGTTTTTTATAATTCTTTATCGAAAAAACCTTTAAATTAGGTACTTAAAGTTCTATACTAAGCGTTCGGTATACAAGGAATTGAATACTAGGTAAATTTGTCGAAATATTAGAGCAAGATTTCCTCCCGTTGACGCATCGCCCACAATTATTATTATACAATGTATGAGGAAATAACAAAATTGTGACAAATGCAAAATACCATTCTACTCCAAAACACGCGACATAAAATTATTGTCAAGGATAAACAGTAAAATAGATGAGTACTGTAGTTGATTAATAATATAGTTCTTGAGTTCTAAGAGTCTTTGCTTTATAAATTATATTAATAATCAAAACTCGACGAGCTAAGTGCATTAAACATCGTAATAGAAACTTTTTGTTTTGTTAATTTACGTATTTCATTTTTCTATTAGTTTTTTTACAGGCTTTTTTATAAATTTTCTTTGTTGGGATTATTCATGCTATTCAGAGGGTCAAAATTTACGTTTAATATTGTTCGCTTTATCGTCTGTTGTTACTGCTTAAATATTTGCGAGAAGTTTGATCGTATGTTGGTGGATTAACCGATTAAGGAATGAGTGGAGTTGCACGTATCATAGATTGAGTACTACTACAAGGATACGTCATAAAAGCCCGTCTTTATTTTTACAAAAAAAATAATTTCTATTGGTAATGGTTTTGACATCTGAGAACGCATTTTCCTCAGAGCTGTTGATCTAAAAGAGACGTCACAATTTATACTCTTCACATGTTTAGAGTCCACGCAAGAAATCGTGAATGGTTGTTGTTGCAGAAGATGGGCGGCAATTACGCGGGCTTGCCACCCATGGACTGGTCGCAGTACGACACATTCCCCGGCTCCTTCGAGAAGTGCTCGCTGCTCACCGCCGTCCTCACACACCTCGGCCTCTACGTGCTCATGTTCCTCGGCTTCGTCAACCAGCTACTCTTCAAACCGAAGGTCGCCACCGAGCGCAACAGGGAGGTGCGTCGTAGCTTTCATTTTAACATTATTGTTACGTTTAGTTATTCGCGTGCATTGCCTTGCACACTTGTAAAACTTTGTCGGAATTACAGCTTTTTAAGGAGCGTACAATAAATGACAGCTATCTATCGATACTAATATTTTGAACAGGCACTAAAGGTTCCCCGTCTAATAGCAAAAGTGCAGTATCGTTTTGGACGTCATATTGCGATCCCATGAAACCGAAGAATCGTATTATGGCTGACACAACATGCCGTACAGGCTTTAGAGATCGTGATAAAGCGATTCTGTCCGTCGGAGCGCGACGTCCAGCCGCAGCAGCCTTTGTTCCGCTTCTTTGATGCGCAGCATTGAACTGTGCAATTGAACGCACTTGGAGATTGATCGATTAAACAAGGACGCCTGTACTTTTTGTTCCAACGGATTTTAGTGATGTAAGTGACACAACTAGTGGACTGGACACAATACCTTGGGGTATAGTAGGGCTGTACCTCGCTTATCTCATTTATCATTTTCCGGACGAGTCTCACCCATTCGTGAAACAAAACAAAAAGTCAGGCATTCCACCTATCATATTTAATTTGCATGTCGTACGTACATACTACGTACGTACATACTGCGGACACGTTGCCACTCACATGTTCAGGAATGGCCAGTCCCGCTTGGGAAAGCGATACGCGAACGTCTCTATCTTATCTACATCGGTATTTCGTACTTGGCCGCACACCGCACGACACGTGTCACTATGACGACCGTTTGCTAATTATTGTTTCATTAAACCACCGTATATTTCACGAAATGGCTGATAGATATTGTCAATGTAATTCATCAATCGATATATTAATATTACTAACTATATTAAACTACTTTCGTGTTATTTATCAGTCAACATATTATTATAAAAATATAAACACGTTTTCATAAATCATTTTCATTTTCTGACTAATTCGTGATATCAGCCTTCGTGGAATGTTATACAGTAAAACTTTACTTATATCCTGACCAGAACAGACCGCCATTGGGTATATACCCAATGGCGGTCTGTTATATAAGTAAAGTTTTACTGTGAAGTTTTACATTGGGTATATACCCAATGGCGGTCTGTTATATAAGTAAAGTTTTACTGTGAAGTTTTACCTTTTAGTAAAGTAGGCTTCGGTTACCTCACTCACCAGAGGAAACGCACGCCGGTCTTCTCTAAGATCGTGGTACTTCCCGGACTAAGCTATGACCCGGACTACAGGAAAATTTGGCATTTATATGAATGCTGGACAGCAAAACTCAATGAATGCCGATTCTCGCTCAGTATCCAGTGGAACTTGCTCAGCCGCTATCACTTTAAAATAAATGATTGTTCTACTTATCACTAATATTAAAGTAATAAGTACGCACACCAGTACAGAATATTGAAGTAAATAAAAAAAAAGGCAAATGTTTCCCGACCTGGATACGAGTGCAATTCGCTTTGGCGGGAGGCGGTTTAATACTTCACAGTTCTGAGTTGCTGACCCAATTGAAAATGGGTCAACTTATAGAAGTTAAACCGGTCCCTATAAATTTTAGAATGGGACGACGCTTGTAAATACAGAATTAATATATAGAATTAAATGTTCCTGTTCCTGAACCTAAGCTGAGTGTTTCTTTACCATAATAATTCACTTTGTACTCATGAGTTACTTGGAGCTTTATCTATTACGCCTACTACATTGAAGCTTGGGGTATGAGTATGACTGCCTACCTTCTTTTTGATATGTGGAACTTATAACATAACCAGATTTTTCCAAGAAGTAAAAGGAGACGTTTGCAATTCGACTGTCCGCTGGCGTGTGTTAGAAAGTGCTGAAGTGCGCGTGACGTCACTCGCTGTGCATGCGCTCTGATTTCTGCCTCGTGACGCCTCCAAACGGTGCGGCGCATGACTTGATACTGTCTTTACGTATTTTGCCTAAGCTACATCTGCTAGTTACATCTATCACCCACGCATCTTCTCTTTAAAAAAATAATAAAAATCCGTAAAATTGTCTAGTTTATCGGTATGTAGTATTCGCGTAAATGCAATTACTTGATCGGAACTTTCTTGTTTCTTTTCGGCTGTTTACGTGCCCACATAAAATGACCACACCGCGCCATCTATTGTCCACAGATGTAAACACGCTTAAGCCTATGTAAGTATCCTGATTTTTGGGTGAAGCGCAAGGTTAGTGCGTATCGTGACACGTGCACGTATATAAAATAGACGCAATGTTGTCTTATAGTACCATTATTACGATAAGTAATTGTATGTAAGTTTGAGGTAATCTCTAAGAAATAACTTGTTATAAAGAGCGCAAAACTTAAAACCGTTGAGTGACTTTGACATGAATTTGGTGAGTTATATGTATAAATGCACCATCTTCATTTGTAGAACTATGAAATATTTAAAAACTGTGATGATAGACAACCTTCTTCGCGACTATACAGCAATATGTTAATGGACCACAGAGAGCTATTTGGACTACTTTTTTTATGTGAAAAATTGCCAATCGAGCAGACGGACCTGATGTTAAGTGAATACGGCCGCCCAAGGACATCTGCTACACCAGAAGGTTCCAGATGCGTTGACAACCTATTAAAAATTGGGCTACTACGACGAACTAGGCAGTCGAATGTCTCCAAGAACTGTAAATTACGAAATGACTGAGACTCACTACAGCGGTATATTTAATTTATCGTCCGTACAAGTTATGTCAGTAAGCGTACGGGGCGGGGATGGAGTATTTAAAAACTGAACCGGTGGTTCCCCGTAATCTTTTAGCGCGGAAACACCCTTACGTTTTCCGTTACACTTTATCTTAATCTAAACATGGAGCAACAATTACAAATTGTTTCTGTTTCAATGCTTCATCTTTAATTCATATATTTTCATTTTTATTTCGTTTTATTCATACATGAAAAACTTACAGCTAACATACAATGATTAAGAAATATATCAATAAATTTAAAACGATAGCCATTCACAAGTTTTCACTAATAAATAGATCATAAGAGTAAAAACTTGGGGTAGGTATAGAAGTAAGAAGTACAAAATGAATATAAAAGTTATCACTAAGTCAAACATATAACACGAGAAACTTAAGTGTAAAATATTTGTTGGCTAATAGCTTCTTGAGCTGAGAATCCCTGTTGTATAAACTTCACTCCGTCCGAACTGGGTCACACAGTGGTGGTCAAGGGACGCAAGGTTGCTGGACTATATATGGCCCAGATACTGGCCAACAGCGGCAACAGTAAGGTGGGCGCTCACGAACCTCCGCTAACTACGACTAGTTAGCGACGACCTCTCATATTCATTCGGTTTGCCTAAAGGAACCTTTAGCTGGTATGGGTAGTTGTTTTAAACAGCCAAGTCGTTGGTGAGTTGGCGTAATGGGATATCGAAGACACTAATACTATATTATTGGAACGGGAAACACTGAACTGTGAACAGACTGTTCTTTCATAGAGAAACAAATCGCCACGAAGAATGCGAAGCAATTATTTGATCATACGGAAACCTAGACACAGAGACTTGTTGACGTAAGAGAGCTCAGAGATTTCAGATCTGTTAAGTCGTCACCGACCACTTAGCCGCCACTGCCTCCAGTAAAGAGCAATTGTGATAAACGTCCAGTACATTAGCGACCTACTATACGCGATCGCGTTACTACAATTAAGACTAGTACCGTCTATAGGCACTACCTAATGCCACCGGCTTTGAGCGTCTTGTTTACATAACTTATTTTAAATATTGATATTTTTCCTTTTTATACTCTAAAAGATTGAGTCATAAGTCTTACCAAAAGGCAAAAAACCACCTTCATGTTATTTTTACTTAGAACAAGTTTAATTTTCATACCAGCTTTCATACGCCAATTAAAAGAATCTTAGTGCGAGCCACTGTTCGAGCTTATTTTCTTTCAGATGGACCTAAATGACCTAGTATCGTTTCGTTTCACTCACGTTAAAGACGTGTCTCCGCTATGGGGAAAGGGCTGGACTCCTTGCCGAGATGGAAATTTCCAGAACGGACGCTAACAAATCAAAAACGCACAGCGCCTCTCACTAGCGGCACCTTGTATGCTGAGTTGGTGAAACGAAGGAACGTTTATTTATTTACACCACCTTGCCATGGCCACAGAAACAGCTACAAATACAAATTACTTTATTTGCAAAATATGAATTTATGTAATTCGAACGGCGGAAATCAACAAACGAATAAAAAGTATAATGTATTTTTGTAACTGTAAAGAATGTATTCCCATTAGCCAGTAGAACCTATATTGCTATTTATTAATGTATCGAGCGATTCAGGTATTCCATTTATAGGCCAAGAAAGGCCATCGTTAAGATTGGCCGCAAACAATAAACTGTAAGCGGGCGGTGCCGCGTGTTGCGTTTCATTTACGATCGCAGGCAAATGAATTACGCACGTAGCCTTGTAATGAGTGCTCGTGCAACATTCCGCACGCGTAGCCCCTCACTGAAGCGATAACTGCTCCATACCCCGCCCGCCCATTGGCTCTACGCATGTCGTGCTACTGCCGTTTTTATTTCTAAATCGTGTGAACGTGTTTTTAGTAATTATAACGATTACCCGTTTAGTTTACGCCCCATTAAACAAACACCACATTTGTTAGGTACATCACATTAAAAATATTATACCAGCGTGATTATAACATTTCCTTGTCTCATTAAATGAGCTTTGGCTTTAGCTAGGCCACCATGTCATGTTGTGTCTTTTCCTCTGTTCTTTTTCTTCGCTTACCTGGCCCTACCACAGTTTCTATTATATATTTTATTTATGTAAGATTTTATTTTTATTTTTTACTAGCGACCCTCCCCGGCTTCGCACGGGTGCAATGTATTATACACATGAACCTTCCTCTTGAATCACTCTATCTAGTAAAAAAACCGAATCAAGATCTGTTGTGTAGTTTTAAAGATCTAAGCATACATAGGGACAGAAAGACAGCGAGACTACTTTGTTTTATACTATGCAGTAATGCACAGTAAAGAGACATTTACATTTCAAGTGACATTTTACCACAGTCACTCACTTGTTTTGCCTTCCCGAAACTCCTCCACTAACACTTAAACTTTATGGTATGGTATTAAAGTTCAAATTGACTTTTAAGTATTATTACGGATCTTTTGTATGGGAATATAGAAAAATTTTGTTTTTAGACTTTTTCAGGCAATTTTTTTTTTCTTTCAAAAGAACCTTCTGATAAATAACAAACACAACAAAAAAATTGAATCGGTTGGGTGAGTCGGTTCAGCCGTTCACGCGTGACAGCGTGACCAAGGGAAATAGGGATTCATTTTTATAATATAAGATTCATAGGGGATTAACTGCAACTTGAGACAATCTTGTTTAGACTTAACAATGTTTAATATCTTCGCGTAGTCTACGTCGAGTATAAATTAAATAGAGTATAATTTAAATCGAATTATTAAAACAAATATAATTTAGATTACGTGTATGTAAATTAAATAATAACCCCTAGTGGAACCCAGATTTCATGGGAAGCTATGATATGTAGCCTCTAATGGCAACCGCCTGGCTTCTTTTTCTAGGTATGAGGTTACCCATCTGAGTAGATCTCCATGAACTCCATTCTGTTATTGAAACAGTAGGAAAATTGTTTGGCCAAAAGCTTTTGGGTTTATATCTTACATCATCTACCCGATAGCCATGATCCATTGATTCTAATATTATACCTAAGTAGCCACACAAATTTGAATCTGTAGATCGCCTACTTACAAATACATGCTGCTGTGGTATTATTAGAAAACGCACTAAAAGGAACAAAACACGATCTATTCAAACATCTCAGGAATAATTCATAATTTAGATATATCATGTTAATTACGAACACCATGCTTATATATTGGAACAATTATGGATTGTTTCCAAGTCCCGGGCATATACCAGATTTTTTTGTAACATCAAGACTAGAAAAATATTGACACAGACATCCGTTATTTCTTACGAACTCATATTTGTATTAACATTCTGTTTTTGCAAGAATTTAGTCACTCTTTGATACTCCTATTTTAAATATTCATGAATACGAACAACACTTCCAGAAATCTATCGAATCATATAAATTCTTAGGAAAAGAAATCTATTAAAAGAATAATGAAATTGTATTATTTTACTTGAATGTTTATTAGTACGACTGCAATTTGAAATATTAATTGCCGTTATTTCATTATACATTTGGCTCTATTTCATCAACCAGCTTCTCCAAAACACCGAAATTCCAACGCCCAAACCAGTTACCAAATCTTACCTTAGGTTAGATATTAAACCATGCTAAGAATTAACGGTGTTTGCGTTTCAAAGTACAAGCTCAGTGATATCCGCTCGCGATCGGGCATTGATCGGTAACGTTGCCACTATCGTATCACGCTCAGCTGCCAGCGTTGCAGTTGGCATTGATAACGGGTGGCGCGACATGGATGATTCACCTGCACCCGTCGCTCCCCGCGGATTCAACGCGTGTTCACTGCTATCGACGCACATCTATGCGCATCTACGCGCATCTACGCTCGCGATTATCATGAACTGTTCAACAGTTTATAGATGTTACTATCACGTTTGTAGCTATTAGAACGCTGTGCCTTCAGATACTTGTGTGGTGCTCGTTTGTGGCTGCGAGCTCCGTGCCTGGCCTTCGTTACAAACTGGCCGCTCCTAATGTGGATATTTTGGAGGGCTCTTGAATCTCCGAGTTTTATACATAGCTCTTCAAATTGCATTGCGCAAAATTAAAAGGCAAAACATGCCTTCCTTAGCTACAGTAGGTTCATTTCATTCGATTATATCAGTATAGGTTATTAGTCAAGTATTGGCGAGTCATTGTTTTAATTAATAATGATATTTAAATGCATCATAACCTTGTCCTTTTTCTTTTCAAACCCAATTGTATCACTCCTACAAATGATTACAAACTAGAAATTACGTCGTTATTTAAAACTTCTCTAACATCTGAATCGACATACTCGTATCTAACCATATAGTTATAATGTCGGGCGGTTTAAATTTCCGCGTAGTGGGCTATCTTATCTCACTTTGATGATATGTATCGACATACTGTTGCCAGTCCCCAAGCCGTCAGTTTTTGTTCTCAATTACAGAGTTATTGTTTATAGGTACGTAATCTGGCTCACGTTACTCCTAGGGCAAGAAGTCCATTTGTTAAACGTGGACTTACATACTAGCTTTATCGGTTCTGAGAAGAACTGTTGGTGTTAATCTTTAAAACATAAAACAGCGATTCGATGCTAAAAATAGGTAGTCAATTTTGTGGCACTGTGAAGAAATGATAAAAATTTCTTTAGCGAAACAAATTTAAAATGATTAAAAATATTATCCTGTGTGCCAGTACGTTCTGTTTGTAAAAAAAGACATTAAATGCAATTTACCATAACTATATTGGTTTCGTTATTGTTCGTAACGAAGACATCTGCAGTAGAACCAAGATAACCGATATAGCTCAGAGGATTAGCAAGCTGAAGTGGCGATGGACCGGCCAAATAGCTCGTAGAACCGATAACCGTTGGGGAAGAAAGGTTCTCGAGTGGTACCCTCGTACTGGCCATCGTAGTGTAAGACGACCTGTGCAAATGGATGGATGGATGGTGGAAGTCGATGGATGCAGGTGGCTCAGGATCGTACTTCATGGCAGTCTGTGGGGGAGGCCTATGTTCAGCAGTGAACTCAAACAGGCTGAAATGATGATAATGATGATGATATTGGTTTCCAAGTTATTTAAACTTGGAGTTATAGGTAAACGACAAAAAGTTGTAAGTTGTCATGGTAAACTTTGAAATTGTTGTCGCACATCGTAAAACTTCACTTGAAGAATTGATCTCGTCATTTCCAGTTGAGATATTAAATTATCTTTAAAGAAACGTATATAGTGTTATATATAAAATTCTCGTGTCACAGTTTTCGTTGCCATACTCCTCCGAAACGGCTTGACCGATTTTGATGAAATTTTTTGTGCTTATCCGGTATCTATGAGAATCGGCCAACATCTATTTTTCATCCCCCTAAATGTTATGGGTAGTCCACCCCAAAATTTGTTTTTTTATTTTTAGACAAAATTTTTAATTTCTATTTTTTATGATACAACATACAAAAATACATACAATCCTCAATTTTCACCCCTCTACGCAGACGTAGTCGCGGGCAGCAGCTAGTAGTGTTATAAAGGCGCCATGTCGTCTTAACACGTGTATCAGAGATAATCGACATCTGGAATCACCTAGAGTATTATCATTTTCCAACGGTGGTAGGGCCTCGCAACAGCCTCGGCTGTTGCACGAATGGGCAGGCCCGTCCGGGTAAGTACCACGACCTCACAGAAGACCAGCGTAAATTGGAAGTATGACAAATACTTTCGCGTTTCGTCTGGTGAGTGAGGTATCCGGAGCCCAATTTTCAAAAGGTTGTCAACGCATCTGTAACCCTCGGGTGTAGCAGATGTCCATGGGCGGCGGTTTTCACTTACCAGGTGAACCGTCTGCTCGTTTGGCAACTTTTCACATGAAAAAAAAATCGTATACTTATTGTCTACTTACACTTCTAAAATAATTCGGGTCTAAATACTGATTTACAGTGGGCTATAGGGTCAACTACTTTTAATGGACTTGTCAGTTATGACTTCCCTATTTTTTTAACTATTTTGATTACTGATCCCATATTTGAATATTGTTTTGGGTAAGGCGTAGTAACATCATACATTTAATCGTGTCTTAAACCTTTGCAACCGATTTGTACTCCATCTTTTGTAAATAATTATGGAAGGTGAAGACTTACCGTTGTGTGACTTGTATGAAAAAATTGCCAGACCTGGAGGTATGTCACCTTCGAATAAAATGGTTTCTAATTATTCTTATAGAAATAAATACAATGGAAAATAATGGTAAAACGTGTCTGTTTGTAGACGACGTGAATACAGGGCATAATTTCGTACTTATATGCATATGCGTTGGTGTGTTACAGGGCTACGCGCCGCTGTACAACTCGTTCGAGCAGTTCTTCTCGCGGTACGTGTACCGGCGCGTGCGGCACTGCTTCAACCGGCCCATCTGCTCGGCGCCCGGGGCCGAACTCACGCTCAAGGAGCGCTACACCAACGACTACAACTGGTCCTTCGGGTATGTAATCTACACTCGATAGCGGCTCATCGCTTTAATCGGTGGTCAAGGATGGTTGGTTGGTTGGTTGGCTTCATAGATTAGGCCATCTACGAACCAACGTCACGCTGAAGCTTGAAACACGGTATCATTAATTATTTCCATTGCGATGTCCAGTCTGCGTTATTGACGCCCTCCGTGGCGGTTACAGTTTCACGGGCACGGAGCGGCGCTGCATCAATCTCGGCTCGTACAACTACCTGGGCTTCGCGGAGCCCACGGGCCCCTGCGCGGAGGCGGCCGCTCAGGCGGCGAGGCGCTACGGCCTGGCCATGGCCTCCTCGCGGGCCGAGCTCGGCTCCTGCCCCGTGCACAAGGAGCTCGAGGAGACCACCGCGCGCTTCCTCGGCGTAGAGGTGTGTGCGGGCGCCGACGCCCTGCCGTCTCGACGACCGCTAGCTGCGCTTGCAGATGTAAATGCACACGTCGGCCGTTGCAGGCGGCCATGGTGTTCGGCATGGGCTTCGCCACCAACTCGCTGGGCCTGCCGGGCCTGCTGGGCCCCGGCACGCTGGCGCTGAGCGACGAGAACAACCACGCCTCCCTCATCCTGGGGCTGCGGCTGGCGCGCGCCACCGTGCGCGTGTTCCGGCACAACGACCTGCGCCACCTGGAGCGGCTCGCGCGCGAAGCGATCGCGGAGCGCCGCTGGCGGAAGATCGTCATCGTGAGTGTCGCTCCCGCCGGGTAGGGTGGGCGTGTGGCGATGATGGGCTGACGGTCGCGTGGCGCGCAGGTGGTGGAGGGCGTGTACAGCATGGAGGGCTCCATCGTGCCGCTGCAGGGCGTGGTGGCGCTCAAGCGGCGGCTGGGGCTGCAGCTGTACCTGGACGAGGCGCACTCGGTGGGCGCGATGGGGGCGCACGCGCGCGGCGTCACCGACCACTGCGGCGTCGAGCCCTCCGACGTGGACGTGCTCATGGGCACCTTCACCAAGAGCTTCGGCGCCGCGGGCGGATACATAGCAGGTGAATGCCTGTCTGAATGAGGGCGACGGACCGACGGATTACGGGGGCCCAGTGTGCAATGTTAAAGCGTGTACCCCCAACGGGCAGGGTCCGCGCGGCTGATCGCGTGGCTGCGCGCGCACGGGCACGCGCACGCGTACGCGCACGCGCTGTCGCCGCCCGTGGCGACGCAGATCGCGGCCGCCATGCGCGCGCTGCGCACGCCGCAGGGGCTGCGCAGGGTGCGCACGCTGCGCGACAACACGCACCACTTCCGCCGGCGGCTGCAACAGATGGGCGTGGTGACGCTCGGCCACGCCGACTCGCCCGTCGTGCCCATGCTGGTCTACACCTTCAGCAAGATGGCCGCCACCGTGGAGCGGCTCACGGCGCGAGGCATCGCCACCGTCGGCGTCGGCTTCCCCGCCACGCCGCTCTACAAGGCGCGCATACGGTGCGGCCCCTCTCCCCTCTCTACACTCCTCTCTACCTCTCTCTCTCTCTCTCTCTCTCTCACTCTCTCTCACACTGACACCCCGTGCGCAGGTTTTGCCTCTCGGCGGCGCACAGCCGCGAGCAGCTCGACCGCTGCCTGACCGCCATCGAGGAGGTGGTGGAGGAGTTGGGGCTGCGCTACTCGCGGCGACGCTAGCCCCGCGCCACCACCACCACCACCACCACCACCCAGCGAACGGTCCGTGTGCGGCGCTCGGCCACCGTCCGGCGAGGGTGGCGCCGGGCCCCGTCGGTGCGGAGAGGCGCAGGCCCGTGAGTAGCCCCCCGCGGCCCCGCTCGCCCGCGCACCACCCCCGCCCACCTCATACGCTTTCGTCAATAAATTATTTTCTCATGTCCTGACGCTCTTTTATTTCAATCACGGTAATTGACGGCAAATCGTCTAGACTATAATGTATAAAGCATTACTCCAACACTCGCCACATGGCTCGTTTCAATACACATCTATTAAGTACAGCAATCGAGATGATACGCTGTTGAAGAGAAAAGTGTTACGCTGTTGGCTGAAATAATAAGACAGCAGACGCTTTGTCGACGTGTATTAAAGATCTTACACTTTCCTTGAACAAATCAATTATTTGCATTTAATGTTACAAGTCTGAACATTCTTGTTTTACTTTTACATTATGATAACAAAAAAAAGTATTTGTACTTAAAAAAACAGTATCCCAGATAAATAATTTCTAGGATATGGGTTCACCCACTACCACCATGATCTATCTTTAATAACACTCGGTACTTCCGCTAATATATAGGTACAATAATAATCTAATACAAGTGTCACCTAAAGTCTTAAGTGTGACACTTCAGCAGTGGTGAAAACGAAACTAGCACTTATTTTTTTTAGGTGTCCCTTAAAGTTAGGAATCGATGGTCGAATTGGGCCATAGCCACGTAGACATAGATAGTTAAAAATAAAAATATTAAATGTGTGTGTTCAATAGATAAAAACCCATTAACAAATTGTCGTAGTCTGTGAGTAAATCATAGACTGCACAATAGACTTCAGTTTTTATCACGTAATGATTATAAATCAAGATACACAATACTTTAAAGCCATTAGGCTGATCACTGGTGTTATTAGAACACAAATTAATTAAATAGTTCATTAAGGAAATAGTGTGTCACCTCACGGGTGGTAAGTTGCTTTGCTCGTTCCGGTAGCCGCTAAATGGCGGGCAGAATCAACCGACGGATCAACCCATGCCCAACAAGCTGTCAGAAATGATAGAACAAGCAATTAATATTTCTGTAAAATATGACTTCTGGTTTTATCCAGAATGATCCAAATATATGAGTATGAACGCGCGTAAGAAGTTATACTTCTTTAGCGTAACAATAGAAAAATAACAAAGAAATTGTCCCCAGTGCAATGTTTGTTTTTCAAAAAGACATTAAATGCAATCGATAACGGTTCAATTAAATGACTTGTTATTATAGTTGAAGATCAAAAATTGTTATTTTTTGCCATGGCAACTAAATCTGTCGCTTTTTGTCTGTCGGTGTGAGCACATCGTAAAAATTTTACTCTCATATTCCGAACGCGCAAAAGATGTACCTTGTAGGTACATCTTTCATCCATCCATCCATCAAAAATATTTAAAAAAATTATGTGTTTTATGTTTGCTTCATTATTTAATAACTGATCAACCACTTCTGGTCACAATATGAACCACGTGGAAATTGCAAGAAATTATACTATGATAAAGATGACCATGGCATCTTTGATTATACACCTGTCAAGTATATAATCAAAGCATGGTATATTTTAGTATAAAACACCTAAAACACGTCATGCTCCAGTGGCTGGAATGTGTGACAAGAACAAAGCGGTCTGTCCGACTCCAAATGTCATGTACTTTGCACACCAAAATGCCTTATTCCTTCTCACTACTTTAAGCAATAAATAGGCAAGCGAGATGCTGTTATAACTAAACCTGATGTTAAGTGATTACCGGCGCCCATTATTATTAAACACCTGATTTGCACTTCCCGAGGTCTGCGGCCTAGGCAGAGGTACTTCCCCAGATGAGTCTACCCACAGATGCAACAATAAAATCTGCTGCATACCAAAACACTAAATCGACGGGCTTATTTCATTTCACTACCGGGAAATTCCTTTATAAAAGTATACTCGACTAGGTCTCGGCTTATTCCGTTAGTTACTTGGGAATTTGTGTTTATATGTATTCGTTGGGTTGAGAACCAAAGTGTCTTTTATGAATTCATATAGAAAAGTGAAAAGATGGTGCATACACAGAGTATATAACCATCGTATAATTATGTATTCGAGACTAAAAGGAGGATTCTTTTGGTTCCGCGGGTCAGTATGAATCAGCTCAACATTCGGAGGAGGTGAGTAAGCGCGATATGCTCGCATTCCTGTGACGAAATGGCCGGAGCTATCGTCCGCGAGGCGTTTGTCATCGCGTCGCTTATCGATGGCGGCCGATAGCGGCGATAAGGGCCGGCGCCGGACTCCGTGGCCCTCGCGCGGCCGAAAACAGCGCCCAAATCACTGAATCGTATTCGTCACTGTTGACACTAATCCGAGCGGCCGACATTACTCAGTGGCATTAGGTTATCGGTCGCGGGCGAGATCGCTTCTTCCCGGCGGCGCGCCGTGGTGTTGTGACAATATTCACGCTTTGTGCGGAAGTGGCTCTTGGGGCCGACGCGATGCGCGTGTGGCGCGCTTGGTGCGCGTTGTGCGCCTGCTGGTGCGCGCTGGCCACCGCCAGCGACGACCATCCCGCGGACGCGGTCAGTGTCATACAGATGAGGTGATGTAACTTTATTACTATCGTTTCATTAAAAGGAACTGCAATTTGTTGTTAATAGTTACTTGCTGTAATTGGGTTAATTGGGTTAAGAGGGTTTGGAACCACTGTATCGCTCGCGAAACAGTGGTTCTTGCACGATTCAATTCAAATTTCAGATCTAACGAGTAGGTAAATGCTTAATACGTTGACAATTGCAGGGTGCAGTATAACGAAGAGTATGTCTTGTTACTAAACAATACCGTGGAATATATCTTGGACTTCATACCGGTGAGCTTCTTACTTTTGGTTTTCATTCACTGGAAATTGAACACCTTCACGCACATACCCACATAGACACACAAAACTTCAACAAAAGGAACCGCTAAACTGCGACGGGATCATGTAAGCGTACTATTTCTGGTAGAACGCAATACACGTGCGCCGCCACATGAGATTAGACGCGAAGACATTCATTGGTCAGTTATCGGAACTCGCTAGTCAAAGTTCAGCGCGATTCTCGCGATATCTCGGCCGGTCAGTGGAGGAATCGATGCACACTTCATAAGACACTGTGAGGTTCCTTAGATGTTTACGTAATCGTTATCACGCGCTTTTTGTTATTTACTATTTGATAATTGATAGTTGGATAAATTTTCCGTGGGCGAACGCACCGTGTTTCAGCCGGCGGTGGGCGAGAGCGAGGGCGGCGGGGGCGCGTGGCCCGCCCTGCTGCGCGTGACCAGCGAGGGCGGCGACGCGGCGCAGCCGGTGCTGCTCACCGCCCGCCAGAGGGCAGGTAACGTGCGGAGCCCAATGCGCATAGCCCCATTTCGGATCAGCTGCCTCTGAACCATTGCGGTGCACCAGCAGCTTTTAGGACATTTATTAGACCTGCATTCGATTATTCTGAATTCCCGGTAAAATTTCAGCAACCCACTACTTTTATATAGCAAATAAAAGAAAAATTTAAACGATAGGGAACTATAGAGACATATCACTTACAAATTAATCAACAAGTAGAATTCGGTAGTCACCTCTAGTTTTCGAGAAAAAACATAATTAAATCTTGTTGTTTCTACTAAGACAATCCACCATTTTACTATTGTCAACATTTTCACATTTAAAAAAAATCGATATTAGCATATTGGCTGTATCAATATTTTTGATGACTAATTGTATGTCAAATTTAAAACCAAAAGTATTTCCCGCTCATTTATATTAAACAAATATGTATATACCTACATTATTGTATTAGTCTTATTTTTTAATAAAAGTTTATTCAAATCGGAATCAAATCGTTCAGTACTTTTTAATTTTTTGTGTTATTATGAATTCTTGAAAAAAATTTAAATGTTTTAAGTGTGGACAAGACAGTGTTTTACGGAAGGTTTTTAATGTGAAAATGTTGACAATAGTAAAATGGCGGATTTTCTTAGTGAAAATAACATGATTTAATTACGTTTTTTTCTCGAAAAGTATAGATGACTATCAATTTTTTTTTTATTGAATACTTAGTGATATGTCTCTATAGTTATGTGTCGTTTAAGTTTTTCTTTTGTTTGCTATATAAAAGTAGTGGGCTGCTGAAATTTTACCATTGATTTTTGCGCTATTTGAACTTTCTAAAAACTTGATAGTTGGCAAATTTCTAATCGTTTAAAGAAGAAACAAGGTAGAAACTCAGCTGTGAAATATTATGTTTTCTTTTGATGAAATGACATAAAGTGAAATTCGCAATATACAACGGCCAGTTACAAACTAGTGCAAAGCACATAGACATTTAGGGGAGATTTGATCATTTCTCTATAAGCGACTGACTGGATAGACAGTGTGAAATTGGAATCGAGAGGTTCCAGCAGCCCGAGTCACGTTGCACGTTGCAGGTGCCATAACGTGGCAGCTGCCGTACGAGGCAGGCGGCTCGCTCAAGTACGAGTTGCAGCGCACGCTTTGCCCCGACGACACAGCGCCACTCGACGCGGACTCGGACTGCGGTGAGTCTGAGTCTGCCCCCCTTTGCCATTTGCTTTGCCAAATCATAAAGTCTCACGAGGAGCTCTCAAAATAACGAAGAGCACGGTATAAGGAACGACGATGACCGTTTCCGCCCTGAAATGTTCATAAAATTCATGTGTTTATGATTGAAATTTATTATTTCAACAAAATTATGTCCATTACCTATAGTTTTTTTTTAAGTGATAACCGCCGCACAACAGAGAAGACTGTTGCGTGGCCCTAACACAATTTGTATTTATTCATACACGCTACAAGTTACTGTAACAGCTGTTTTCGTTAGTTGTTTATGTGTGAACTTCGGATGTCAGATAAAAGAAATTATCATATGTCCGCACTTCTTTTTCTAACAAAGCTATGCATGTATGACATAAATGCAATAACACGAAAGTGAAACTGTGAGAGGGTGTAACGGTTTTCATGTAACGGTAAGAGACGGGCGTCATAATCGGCAGAGGGGCGCGCGGCGCCGCGGCCGAGGGGCTCGTTCTCGCTGCACGCGTCGTCCTCGTGCGGGGCGCCGCTGCGGCTGCGCGTGGGCGCGCGCCTGCCCCCCGCCTGGCAGCTGCCCTTCGCGCAGCCCCTAGCCATCGACGCCTCGCAGGTATATTAAACTCAAAGATACGCTCGCGAACTATACAAGGCTAGAGCCGTTGCACTTCTTGACGAGACTGCCTATTTGTTTCTGAACAACTTTACCGTGGCTGTCATAGTAAAAGTACACTTCTTTTCTATGTATACGTAAGATTAGATTTTAAAAGACGAGGTTCGATTGTGTGTGTTGCAATACGTTAACGAAGCAATGTGGCGCTCGGGCGCAGATAGCGCCGCAGGTGGTGTTCTACGAGTTCGCGGAGGAGCAGCAGAGCGTGCGGCTGGTGGTGGAGTCCGAGGACGAGCTGTGCGCCTCCGTGTCCGTGCAGAACTACTCGGTGAGCGAGGGGCCGCCGACTGCCACACGGGGCGGGGCACGTGGTGGCAGTGAGTGGTGACGGTGGCCGTGCGCCTTGTTGCAGTGCCCCATTGCGCAGACGCTGGAGGAGATCAGCACCGCGGGCCTCAGGATGACCGTGCAGTATTCCGGCGCAGTGCAGATATCGGTGAGAGAGCTACTTTTTTCCATTTGAGCGTCTCAGAGTTGAGTTGCAATATTACGTGCGAAGCAGTTGATGTTTGTTATAGTAAACTAGGCCTTGTAGAATTCCAGGTTAAGTTATAATTTTTAATTTTGCTTATTTTGTACGAGTAAAAAATCTTTTTTTCAAGTTTCTGCCCGATTAACTTGTATTACTTGACGAACTCAATGAAATCTGGCCAGGGATAGTTTATGTCAGATGAGAAGCGATGGTGGCACCATCTTAAAGGCGAGACAGAGCAACGGGAATCCGGTCGATGTTGACATCCATGCGAGGGGTTCCGAGACATTTAAACGAACAGCTCGCTAGCCGTCCGTGGCATGGGCTCGAATTGACATCGTCCCTGGTATGCGGTGCAGCGGCGTGAATACCCGCGCGGGTTCCTGGTGGTGGCGGTGGTGCACGGGTCGCGCGCGGCGTGCGGCGGCGCCGACGAGGCCGAGGCGGCCGACTGGCTGTGGGCGGCCGCCGTGCTGGGCGACGGGCCGCGCCGCGCCGGAGCCCACGCCGCCCGCCGGCCCCGCAAGCGCTTCACCGTCACGATCGAGGTCCGCTTTGAGCTGCGCCGTGCCGTGGCCCTGGCCCGGCGCAGCTAACGAGCGTGCGTGGGCCGCAGGCGGCGCTGAGCCGCGCGCACTACGCGGCCGCGGTGGCGGCGACGGCGGCGCTCTTCCTGGCCTTCTACGTGGCCTTCGGCGCGCTGGTGCTGGCGCAGCGCTGGCCGCCCTTCGGCCGCCTCGTGGGCCCCAAGGCGGTGCTGGCCCCGCCGCCCCCTCAGCGCCCCGCCCACGCCGCAGGTGCGCCCCCCACGGTGGAACAGCGTTTTCATTCCGCTATACGTACGACCACTAGTGGGAGCGAAACGTGGTTTCATTTAACATTTCACGCAATATTTGCAGGAGTGGAGGCGGGTAATTCGCGTCGGCACGGTCGTCGTCGCACCTCCGGTACGTTTTACCTCGATTTACGTTATAGCCACCGTTGTACGTAAAGCCCAAAAGATTATTAGGGCCTTCGAAAATACCACGCTGGTGAGTGAAACGACAACGTGCTCCTAATTTAGTACAATAATGTTGTAACAACTATACAAAAATCTACGAAATCTCAACAAAGCTCAATATTTGCCTGTAGGATTTAAATTGAGTTGTCAATTGAATGTCATACGTAAAAACAGTAAAAGGTAGGCGGGGAAACTTTTACGAGCCACGTTTATAAAGACTTGGGTCCGCCCTCATTCCGCAGTGGACACGTTCGACAGCAGCGACGGCAGCTCCTCCGAGGAGGAGCAGGAGCCAGCGAGCGAGGGCGCCTCGCCCCGCGCCGCCCCCTCCGCCGGCCCCTCAGCCGCCCCCTCCGCCGCCCCCACCGCCGCCCCCACCGCAGCCCCCTCCGCCGGCGCCAACGGGCAGGCGGTGGCGGCCGACGACTCGGTGCGTGCAGTAGGTCGAATTGTCGTGCTCGTCCGGGAACGAACTATAATTATTGAGACGTCCACGAGTCGCGGTCAAATGAAGCTTGTCAATGTTCATTCTCATTTGATTTTCTGCAAAGTATTCTTGCTTCCCCTTGTCGCTCGCAATACGCAGAACTATCGGTATTACGAATGTCTACGGTGGTGGTAATCACTTATTGGTTCGAGAGCCTTGAGATTGCATTTGAGATGGAGACGGGCCGGCCAGGGTCCGTTCGGGCTGCCGTCGCGGCTGCGGCTGGCGGCGCTGGCGCAGCGGCGGGAGCGCACGCTGCGGGCGCGCTCCGACCGCTACCTGTACACGCTGGCCACCGTGGCCGTGTTCTACGCGCTGCCCGTCATCCAGTTCGTGGCCGTGGTGCAGATGGTGAGGCTCGCAGCGGCGGCAGGGGCGGCAGGGGCGGCAGGGGCGGCCCGTCGCCGGCCCGCTGTAGCCTCCCCGTCCGCAGGTGCTGAACGTGTCGGGCTCGCTGGACATCTGCTACTACAACTTCCTGTGCGCGCACCCGGCGGGGGCGCTGAGCGACTTCAACCACGTGCTGTCCAACGCCGGCTACCTGCTGCTGGGCGCGCTCTTCCTGCTGCAGGTGCGCCGCAGACGCGCCAGGCGCCGCCGCCAGCCTCGACACCAGGTGCCCGCCCCTCCCTCCCTGCAGCGGGTCTCAGCCATACATGGCTAGGCTCGAACCAAGTCCCTGCTTAAGCTATGTGAATTGTGTCGCGAACGTTAAATGTATAATAATTGATAATCTTTTTGAAAACTGTTCTCTAGTTATGTAAAAACACCCACAGTAACTGTTTGTTGCCGTGTGTTTTCTGTTATGAAGATGGTTGTGCATCTGATCATCAGGAGTACGGCATCCCGGCGCACTACGGGCTGCTGTCGGCCCTGGGCGCCGCCATGATGGTGGTGGCCGTGCTCTCGGCCAGCTACCACGTCTGCCCCAACAGGCTCAACTTCCAATTCGGTTGCCTTATCATTATAATACATATCCGATTAATTATTATTTCGTAATCCCACTTACTGTGTAGTGCTTAACAACCGATGTACCTACTGCATGTAAAAAAGTCTATTGTAGAGTATTTTTTTAGATCATGTTTCGTAAATGAAAGTGGCTTAGAAATCTTCATAAGATTCGAAAAATCAATATTTCCCTTTACAGAAATCATTCTTTTGGTTTTAAAGGGAAAATTAAAATAAATTTCGTATCGAAAATTGTTTGTACATCGGTTTTTTTTTTTTCAAAAAGGGATAACCTTTCGGTGTTTCACTGATCTAATCTGCGAAAGTGTTGTTCGCAATTGTGTGGCAACTGTTGCCGGTCCGCAGACACTGCGTTCATGTACGTGCTGGCCGTGCTGAGCATGGTGAAGATCTACCAGTCGCGCCACCCCGACGTGAACGCGCGCGCCCACTCCACCTTCGGCGTGCTCGCCGTGCTCATAGCCGTCGGTACGCTGCACCCGCACCTAACACGAGTGTATGCACTGCTATACGCCAATGACAATGAGGTGACCGCCACTTCGCCCGGCAGTGGTGTGGGGCGTGCTGGGCGGCGGGCCGCTCTTCTGGGGCTTGTGGACGGTGCTGCACGTGTTCACATTCCTGCTGCTGTCGCTGCGCATCTACTACGTGGGCCAGTTCCGCCTGGGTACGGAGTCCCGCGAGTTCACGCTCCGTCCCGTTGGTAGCTAAAGCTAAGCCGGGCGGCATAAAGTACCGTGATCCGTTCGCGCAGAGAAGGAGAGCCTGCAGGAGGCGGCGCGCGAGCTGCGGCGCCCGGTGTACAGGGCGCGGCTGGTCATGCTGCTGCTGGGGAACGCGCTCAACTGGACATTCGCCATTTACGGGTAAGCAACCCTCGGAGCGTCGCCGAATTGGCTGCGCAATCGGGTGCGTTAACCGGGCACGTGTGGCGCGGCAGGCTGCTGCGGCAGTCGGGCGACTTCGCGGGCCACATGCTGCAGGTGCTGCTGGGCAACACGCTGCTGTACATGGTGGCGTACCTGGCGCTGAAGCTGGTGCAGGGCGAGCGGCTGCGCTGGTACGCGTGGGGCTGGCTGGGCGGCGCCGCGGCGGCCTGGGCGCCCGCGCTCTACTTCTTCCTCTCGGGCTCCTCCGACTGGGCGGCGGCGCCCGCGCTCTCGCGCCACCGCAACCACCACTGCATGGTGCGTACGCCTGTGTCCTGTGCCCTCAATTCGAACATGTGTCCGAGCTTCCGGATTGGAAAGGACCTGGTACTTACATCATTGGCGAATACATCACACACCTTCCATTTGCCGACATAGTCGGCATGGTAAAGTCGCAACTAAGACCTTGGCACGATGTGTCAATGTAGTCAATTGGGAGATATCTCCCAATAGATGGGTCTCAAGAAGTAACTTAAAAGATGAAGTTCATATCTTATGCCCATGTCACGCCCATACCAGTTTTTGTTGCACGTTGTTCGATGTCGTTGACGATATTTTTACCAAGGACAGTTGGTCTGGTAAGGTATGTCCAACTTCGACTCAGAGGTCAATCGACAAATCCACCTCAACTGGCCAGCATTCAGATAACTTCGGCAAATCTTCTCGTACAATATCCCGCAATCAATAAAGTCTTCAATACCCATATAACTGAGACGTGGTCCTTCACTGCTGGCCGTATGAGAAAGCTCAAAGTTGCTCAAAAAACTATTTAGCGAGCTATGCTCAGTACTTCTCTGTGTGAATTTTTTTTGGCGGGCCGCACATAATCATTTACGAAACTTTATTTACAATAAATATTAGAATATAAAATTAAAAAAGTAAAGATTTCATATACAAATTTTAATGCAAGGTAAAAACAAGAAAAGAATAGAAAAACGAACAAAAAAAATTTCGGTTCAGTATGTACTACCATTTTATTATAATTAATTTCATAACAATATATTGATGGAAGAAATTCGATAAAATAAATTCAATTTTAGAAATGCTTGGCGGGCCGCATAAACACGTTTAACGGGCCGCGTGTTGCTCATCCTTGAGCTAGCGCGTTTACCATTTAAAATTACATTAGGTGATATGGTAGTCGAGCACTGGCACACTTTTGGGGAAAAAAATCTCACTTACTAAAAGGTAAACCGCTCGTTCAAATGCTATCCAGTTGCTTCAATTTGAAATATAATGCACAGGGTACATCTTTGTTAATATATTGTCATGTACAGAGAGTAAAGAAGTCACAGCGATGCGTGTGATTGCAGGTGATGCAATTCTACGACTCACACGACTTGTGGCATATTCTTTCGGCGATGGCGCTTTACTTCTCCTTCAACGCCATGCTCACTTGGGACGACGGCCTCTCCGCTGTCAAAAAGACCGACATCGCCGTCTTTTGACACTGCATTGTATCGCCTCCACCTTTTGTATTAAACTATTACATTTAAAACCATATTGTTTCTCTGTTTAAATTTTCGCTGAATAGAAAAAAATTATCATAGCTAAGTAAAAAAAGTAAAGTAACAGCCTATAAATGTCCCACTGCTGGGCAAAGGCTTCCTCTATTCAGAGGCCATAGTCCACCACGCGGCCCCACTGTGGATTACCGGACTTCACATATATTCGAAATATACATTTTTTTTGTTATTATTTCGAAAATATGCAGGTTTCCTCACGATGTTTTCCTTCACCGCGGAGCACGTGATAAGTCAGCACTTAAAGTTAAAAACTTCATTGGTGTCGCCACAGGGGATCGAACTCAGGTTGCTCGAGTATATTGATTTAAAGGAGAGCGCCCGGACACTGAGCTATCACGGCCCTTCATAGCTAAGTGTGTTAGGAAAACATAGCTGAGTTAGGAAAAAAAATTATTAAATTTTTTGTTAAATATCACTAATTTTAAGAATATTGGGCAGTATTAGAAACGAATGAAAGAAAGATGCATGTGGCAGAGAATGCGCGAGAAGGCTACGTTCGATGAAGCTTTAACAGACTAAGGACTGAAAGCGTGACCTTTGACTCAATATTTTGCAAATATTAGGTAATTAATGTCAAGTGTGGATGTTAATTAAAAAGAAATATATCCGATTCTATTAACGATCTCTTCTAAAAGAATTATTCAAATAAGTAGTAAGTAGTTAAAGGTTAACAAAACAGCGGGAATTGGAAAATCGAAACGTAATGTTGAAATGTCAATGACGTCACGTCAGCGACAGTCGCGTTCTCATTATTTTTATTTCGCAATTTCCAGAATAGCTTCTCCATTTTAGTATTTAGTTATTATAAAATCCACAATAAAGTATTAAGACAAAATCCATCGCTATGGATAATCAGTACTACTACAAATTAATGGCGAGTTACCTTTCGAAACGTAATTGCGACGAGTCTTTTATGCGATACTTTTTTGGAAAAAATTCAACCAAAAAGTCGCCAGAGGAGTTGGAACGTGCCGACGAGCGTAAACGTCGCCTACAACGAGAGCGATCTCGGCGCTATCGAGCCTTAAAGAATGCCCGTCGGCAGCACGAGGGTGGCCGTGACGGTTCTGAAGAAGCGCGCGCTAAGCCGCGACCAGCGCCCGAGGACGACCTCAGCGACGCTGACGAGCCCCCCACGCTCTGCGACTTAACCTATGACGACAAGTGGCGAGAACCCGGTGCCTCTTCAGATTGTGCTTCTGATGACAATTCAGCGCATTCTTCCTCGGAACTGAAGGAAGCAGCTCTCTCTGGTAACGTGTCCCTTAACCTTAAAGAGTTTCTTAGCTCTCCTAATGCAGAGCTAGATTATCCGACTGTTCATAGCCTTATGTTCCATTGGCTGCAGACGTAACATTCCAGTTTTATGCATTATAGCGCATCAGGCGCACCATGGCGTGGGCTCATATTGTATTCAAAACAAATGCATTAAACTCTTAGCCTTATTCTTAAAAATGGTCACATTAAACAATTAAGAATTCAATAAGATTCTATACTCCAATAAATTAAAAGTGCAACTAACATGTATTATAAAATCATAGTTCTAAACATATCAAAAGCTAGGGTTGTTGCTTCGGTACTGTACAATAATGTCAAGCTATGAGAACCGTCCTGCTATAATTTATAGAGTGAAGTTATCTATTTTATTCATATAGATATATCAAAGTGTAAGCTCTAACTGCACTTGATCATGATAGTTTGTACTGTCATGCTAAAAACAAAATGATAATCATTTCAATGAATTGATGTAAGTTCTTATACTGGAAAATAATGGTAATTCGTAACAGTTACAACAATTAACATGAGGTGACAGTATGTCATATTTGCAACTTTCATGTACTTCTTATGAACATGGTCAAGGTGAATACTAGTTGTTAGAATATTCCACTAGACAATAAGTTGTTGTTAAGTTGCCATATCCTAATATTTAGATACTCAAGTATACATATATTATATATGCATATAGAAATGGATAGAGTATATATACCTATAGTTTGTGATATGGAAGAATTTACATTTTGTGTGAAATCTACAATATTAGTAGTAATACGTACTTAGGGTAGAGTAAGTGGCACAGGCGTGTGTATGGTTAAGACAGGTGTAACCTGCACTGCTCACCATATCAATGCATTGTGTAGATTGCACAACATTCCTATAATTCATTGCAAACAATTAAGTTGTATTGTACAGTAGATAATGCTACTATGCCTTTTGGTGGTTTAAGTAATTGACAATAGGAGATGAATCATTATCAGCTAATAAGTTTTTAATGAAATTAAATTACATACTGCTGCTGTACATATACAATATTATTGTTGCACTATCTCAAAAGTGGTTGTAATAATTACATTGGATCTCTGTTTTTCTTTTGCCTAAATAGTTTGTATGTTAGTTGTAAGTGTAACTGCTATCTTCCAGTGTCAAAGCTTCCAAAATAGGAGTGATTAGTCTCTATAGTTATAAATTAAGCTAATGCATTTAATGAAATACTCAATTTTGTAGAAAATGCTCTCTTATTATTTTTCGCAAATTACTAAATATACAATTTCCTAGTTTTAATATTGACCCGAGCATTTGTGCATATAAAACATATACTTTTGTACCTATAATTAATAAAAATTTAAAAACTGGCTAAAAGCTAAGTGTTCAATTGAGTCGGAATCATCTTCCCTGGGCTGCAACAGTTGAAAAGACCTAGAAACTGTAGCCCTATGTCCCTTCGGATGGATTTAGGAAGATATTATGGCTTTGGGTTTTATGAATTAATGTTTTTATTTCTTTTTCTCTTGTTTTTTGAAGAGATTAAATTGCATATAGTCTTATTCTGTAATGATTGCATTCTCTTGATACAAATTGTTTTAATAAACATACAAATGATACTAACCATTTTCTTATAAAACCCCCATGTTGAGATGGAGTTTGTTAAAAAGATTCAAGATTGAAGCATGGTATTTCAAGTAGATTCAAAATCTTAAGAAATGCTAGAAAATAAAAATATGAACCGAACAGATTTTTCTTATGCTAAAAGTGTGTCAATAGTGCTTAGTTCATTTTTAAGTTTATTTATATGTAAACAAACTTGATCTTATATGTAAGGATTCTTTATTAAGCTATCCTTTTTTGATAATTTACTAATGGAGAGCACTAATTTGCTTAGAAACTATTTTGTCTTAATTATGCGAACGAAATGAAACAAACTGGAAAAACTCTTAGCAATTTTAAGTACTTTTAGCGTCATATGCAAAAAATTGGTAACACATTTTGGGTACCAATATGTGCCTCATATATGAGATTGGGAGAGATGTGTTCTGAAATAATTATGCTCACAGGCAGTAGCTGATTTATTAGCAATTACTCTTTTAAATTGTTACTTACAACTAAGCATAAGCCTATTGCCTTAGTGTTTTATTCAGTATACAGCTCTCTCTTGGAGGCTATGTGCCTTCAAAAAAATGTATAATTATGTTGCATAAACATAGTTTAGGTACTGTAAGGTAGTGCCATATTAAAGAGCTTCCTATTTTTATTACTTGTTTTATTAAATTATTAAATAGTTGTAAGAACCTTAAACTTTTTAAAAAATAAGACTACTTAGTATTCCCATTTTTAAAATATGAAACTAACAAAAAAAAATAATTTTGTCATACATAACATTTGTTAAATTATACATTTATAATACATGTCTATAAGTCATAATATTATCGTATAAATATACTTCTTCTCAGTAGAAACTTATTGTAAATAAAGATTTTGTAAGATTTAAGTTACATCAGTATGCATAATCAAGTCACTAGCTTAATTTGGATTTGTATCACCCACCAAATGGTTGTGTCAATGCCAATGCCCACATAAAGTTTATGCTAATCAGAAATTCATTAGCAAACTAAAACTATATTACACAATGACAAAATAAATCACAGCCTGCATGTTCTAAATAACATTTTCTTGAAAAAAAAAAAACTTACAAATATATATCACAAAATAACAAAAACTAATAATTATTACAAAAAAAGAGAAACATAGTATTAATTTAACAATTAGGTGACATTGGATATTGATGATTAAATAAAATACCAGCAATATTTTTATTTTTTTTACGATCAGGCATTATAATCCGACTACTTGTTACTTTGTAAATGCGAAAGAGGGCAGCAACTACCAGAGTGGAAACCCTCACCGTAAACGAAGCGACGCCGAGAATTCTTACGTTTTTTAACTGTAAAAGTTAATAAGGTGAGTTAATGCGCGACGTGCGCGGCACAGTGCCGCGCGCGCTGGCGCCGAGCCCGCGTGGGCGCCTTCGCTCACGTCGCTGACGCATTTGCACAGCCGCCGCCAATCTCTTGAGTATGAGATTCTGCACTATGTACAAAATCACCTATGTGTCAAGAAAGAAAAAGGTACATTTGCTATAACATCTTTTTGAAAAAATGCTTAATAGTATTCTAAACATGTATGTCATGCATGAAAGCATTATTTGGTCATTAGTGCTTCACTCTTTTTTTTTAACTTTTATTAATTCACTATTTCAATGTTCACCCGCAAGCACATTTTTAACAGACACTGCTAATGGAAACTTCACATTTCCTTTTAGCTTTTTATCACATACTCCTGCAAAGTCATCAGCATTTAGTGAATAAATCATTGCTCCTCGCAATTCATGCTCTTTTATATACCTAGCTTTCTGTATTGCACTTAATGGTGAATCAAATGAAACCCATTCAGAATCCCTGTAAAGGTAGGGCACTTTTGTATCTGGGTCTTCTTTCATAATAACTTCGTCTGTATATCTTGCAAAGAAATTGCAAATATCTGGATAGTTTACAAAGCCTAGACCTCCGAGTATCCCAAAACCAGAGGCCGGACTGCCTACCTCAGTGTTATTTACATTAATCAATGTAAAAGAATGTCCATATGTAGGAATACCAACTACAATCTTATTCCTATCTAATCCCTTATTAATGTACATTTGTACTGTATAATTAATATTCAATGTAGCCATGAACATCTGCTCAGACTTTCTATGATATAGTGGGGAATTCAAGCCAGTAAATGGAGTGTACTTAGAAAAAGTATGGAAGTCATATGTCATGACATTTACATAATCTACATATAAGTTAATTTGGTCAACATTATATGCAACATTCACAATGGTTTCTTGTGCTGCAACAGCTACTGTCAATAAATAATTTCTTTTTTCCCTAATATATTCCATCCTTATTTCACGAAGTAACTGAGAAAAGTGTTGACATTCCCGTTTCCCTTCCTGACCACCAGCAACATTATGAATAGAGGGAAACTCCCAGTCTAAGTCAATACCATCTAATGAGAAATTCTTCAAAATATCTTTGATACTTTTAATAAATATTTTTCTTGAAGCATGGTTTATAACCATATCTGAAAATCCATAATCATTTTGTGCGCCACCAATTGACAAAAGAATTTTTAATTTAGGATTATTCTTCCTTAGCAAGACAATCTGTGATAAAGATTCATATTGTTCATTCTCTAAATATATGGTTTTATTTTTTATCACTGCAAAACCAATGTTTATATGTGTACAGAGATGTGGATGTATGTCCAAGGGCATTAGTTGATTTGATCCATGTCGGTTTGGGGTATTGTAATAGCATGACACAACTTTTTCACTATCAGTAAGTTTACTCATCTTTGGCAAATGATCATGACTCAAAACTCGAATTGGCTGTACTCCGATCTTTTGTATTAAAAGAAACAAAGTCAAGAACAATGATATCAACAAAGCAACACCAATCAGTGGTTGAGAAAACGAACGCGTTGAAAATATTCGAGACTTGTTTTTATGTATTGTTAGTATTTTATTCTCATTCGAAGAATTTAATGTCACATAATGGCCATTTAAATTATCTGTTACACTGATATACATATTTTTAGTGTTTTGGAATCTTAAACTTTATATTATTTACTTTTAATATTAAATAAAAATCTTTGTCTGACGATGTTCTAATCAATTCAATGATAGATTTAATTGCTAACAACACTACACTATAGAAAGCTACACGTTAAAGTAAAATTTGTAAGTCACACATAGATAAAAGTAACGTATGGAATATTAACTGTAACAAGATCATCGATTGAAAATGAAAACAAAAGAACGAACGAAAATAAGGCCAAACCAAAGGTCATAAATAACATATCGTGTATCTGTGTAGTAGTGCATTCCGTTTTAACATCTAACTTTAAAAAATGTCATTAAATTTTAGGCTTTTTATTTGATAGCTCCATAAATAAAGCAGGATAACGTACTTTTAATACCTTTTTGATACTTTCGTTAGTCGTTAGTTACTCAAACGTTTTTTGGTTTTTGCTAAATACATACATTTAAAATAGTTTTATTTTTAAGTCAACATTTATGCGTGTTTTGAATTGTTTACAATTCAGTAGGCTTTGTAAAGCATGCTTTAAAGACCTTGGTTAGATTTCACTCTGATTGAATTATAAAAATGGATTTTTGCTGTAACTATATTACTTGATAATAAGATCAAATAATTTTTTTTATTAAATAAATCATGCAAAAAAAAATCATACCCTTAGATCATGAGCGTAACAAGATTTGTAAATATAATAGTGACGTTTTACTTTTAGTCTCTTTGACATTGAATGTATGACAGTTTAGTTGACAAACGACATTATAGCATCGAACGATGTGACGGATTAAAGTAATTGTACGTAGATATTTGCTTATTTACAACTTTCCAATATGTGATCATAAGCACATTTTAACCTTTCAACTGTGTATGTGGTACAAAACAATCCATAAAGTCCTTGGGTAGTAACTATGGATTGCACACATATGAATCATTACGAAAAACAGCTGTACACTGTGTTTAAAACCTTCGACGTAGATAACGAGGAAGCCCTAGACAAGTCCGCTGTATTAGAGTTGTGTGACGCCTTGCAGCTCGAGGACCGTGGCGCGGCGTTGGTTGACTCGTTGTTTGAGCGGCGCTCTGGACGCGTCACCTTCACACAGTTCCGGAACGGGCTGCTCTCCGTACTTGGCGGAAACCAGCCCGCATCGTTGTCTACCACCACTACAACTGAAGCCACAAGCACTACCACCGCTACCGCTAATATCGTGACACCGCATATCGACGAAGACTCTTCGAACCGAGAAGTTGCACCAAAGTTTGTTTACGGTTCAAAAAAATACGGGCGCCGATCGCGACCGCAACACGTCGCTCGTGACGAGGTGCCGCGCCCTCGCGTTGCGTCCGATTCGCGGCTAGAAGGTGAACGCTCCAGGCAACGTATGCGGTGCAAACGCAGTGCGTCCGTCATGGAGAGCCGAGGGTCAACAGGCAGCGAGGACGCCGACCACACTGCCGCTGGTGACCTCGATCATGACAGACGCGTAGATCGCGAACGGGCATTGTCCTTGTGCCGCAGCCTCCAAATGACCGGAATCGATAGTCGACTCGTGGATGGGGTGTTTGTAAACGCGCCTGCGGATGAGATCACCGTGGGAGAATTTTTTGACCGTCTAAACGCGTCCCTCACCACATCGATAGCTGCATCTCTGGATGGGCCAGGAACGCCATCACGCGATGCCCTCTCTGGCGCTGCCGAAAACGAACTAGAAGATGCGATATTGAGTGACACCATAGTAGAGGCTTGGGAGCGAGCCGGCGTGCAGCGGTCTCGCCGGTTGCTCGTCGAGTTGGGCTTTGCGACTACCTCTGTGCGAGCCCCAGATCTGGAACGTGCGCTCGATGACGAACTTCAGGCATTCACATCATCACCCGATGGTCAAGCGGCCGCCCGAAACCTTTTATTTTTAGCTTCGCTGGCGTTTTTCCGATTACGATTGGAGCGATCCCAACAACGTATCGGCGCCGCTATCGCCGAGAGGGATAAGCTTCGCGTAGATCTCGCGGAAGCGAACCGGCGCGCGCGTCTTCTAGCTCAGGACGTAGACGAGAATCATGCCCGCATCGAGGCCGAGCTAAAGGCTAGTTTGCGGCTCGTGGAGTCCCGACACGCGGAGGCAGCCCGCGGCGCGGCCGCCGAGGTGGCGGCGGAGCGGGAGCGCGCGGCCGCGGCGCACGCGCGCCTCCAGGAGGAGGTCGCCCGGCGCGCCGACGTCGAGGCGCGGCTGCGGAGCGACGCCGCGGCCGCGCGCGAGCGCATGAAGGAGCTGGAGGGGCGCGCCGCCGCCGCCGAGGAGCGGGCGCAGCAGGCGGAGCGCGAGCGGGCGCGCCTCGCCGCCGAGAGCCAGGCGGCTGAGGAGAGCGGCGCGGGGGCGGCGGAGGCGTCGCGCCTCCTCGCCTCGCGACTCGAGGCGACGCTGGACGAGCTCCGCCTCGAGAACAAGGCCCTGCGCGACCGCAACGACGAGCTGTGCGCCGAGCTGGAGGCGGCGCCGCGGCCGGCGGTGGCTCGTGGCGGCGATGCCTCCTGGCGCGACGAGGCGGCGCTCGACGCGTCGCTTCCCATTGGCGATTGCTCCCAAGTAAGACAAGTAACCGAATAATTGGTTAAGTCCCTTCTCACTCTCGACACAATTGTGCAATAGATATATTTTCTTCACAGGAGTGTGATACCTCATCACCCATAAGTGACCAAATCGCTCGGCGCGATGGGGATCTTAAAAAAGTGAGAAGCTTAGTGGCCAGTATTCAAGATTTATCTTTGTCCATGAATGACAAATGCCAATCATGTTCGGCCGTCGGTAGAATAGTTGCTTCAATGGAAACGCGCGATGATGGAGGTGGGGGCGGGGGCGCGGTGGCGAGCGCAGAGGCCGCCTCGCAGACAGAAGCCTGTCGCTGTCCAGAGGCTGCGGAACTCTCGGAGACACTCGAGAGCGTCAAACGGTCCCACATGGAAGAGAAAGCTCAACTGATGGGCGTAATTAGGTACCCAAGAGTTACTGTACTTATATTTTTTATGTCGTGCGATTTTAGTTTAATAAGTTTACCGCCTATTTTTCAGCGATTTGGAGTCGTCGTGCGAGCAACTGAAGGTGGACTACGACAAATGCGAGGAGTACTGGTCTGCAAAGTTGGACGAGGAGCGGGAGATGTTCAACGAGGAGCAGCGCGCCGGCGACGAGAGGCTGGCGGAGCTGGTGGGCAAGATTGGCGAGTACGAGCGGCAGTTCGCCCGCGCGCCCCTGCCCACCATCGAGGAGCGGGCCGCGCTCGAGCAGCAGGTCACCGCGCTCGAGGAGGAGTTCGCCGCCTACCGGCGCGACGCCGAGGCGCAGCTGGCGCGCGCGCGGCGCCGCCTCGACGAGGCGGAGCGGGCGCGCGCCGCGCCGCCCCGCGCCCCTGGCGCCCCCCGCCCCCCGTGCCCCCCGTGCCCCCCTTGTCCCCCTTGTCCCCCTTGTCCCCCTTGCCCGTCGTGCGCGGCCGGCGTGCTGCGCGCGCGCGCCGCCCGCGCCGAGCGCGCCGCGCAGCGCCTGGCCGCGCGCCTCGCCGCCGCCGACCTGCTGGTCAAGGACCTCTACCTCGAGAATTGCCGCCTGGCGCACCGACCGCGGCTGCCCTGACGCCCCGCCAGACATGTCGACCGACCCTCCCGTTGCCGATTGTAACTCTCATGTAAATATTTGTCACCATGCATTTGTCTTTTCTACTATAATTCGGCGACATTCACAATTTTAAACTTTTTTTGTCGCTGTTTAGGATTATTATTTGTGAAAATAATATCAATTATACTCTAAATGTAACATTACGTTACACGAGTTATCGTTTCCATCGTATCGTAGCTCCAAGCCGACCCGAAAGCGTCGTGTGTCACTCCATGTGCAATTCTCCCTGCAAATGCCGCGCCTGAGAGGCCGCAGAGGGCAAGGGCGAGGGAACGCGTGTTTCACGTCACGAACGGCGTGTCGCATGACTCGACTTGCGCCACTTCACGTCCACGCACTGTAGCAGAGAGTGCGCATTATTTACACTACTGACACTATAGAATGTAAACGTGCTCAGTTACTGCTACTCGTTTCATTAACATGCTTATATCGATGATATATGCATGAATTATTAATTTTAACTCCACGATCAATATACATTCCCCATGTACGCATTACTTATGCATTTTCAAAAGACAAGAATTTGATATGAAAACAGTTTATCGCTAGAAAAATATCTTTTTGTTCCTAATAATTAAAAATATTTTGTGATGTGGATTGAAGTATAAAATAAATGAAAACGAATGTATATAATTATGTACCGAAACGCTTTGCGTGACAACGCGTAACGATGCAACGGTTGCACGCGAGTGTAGTTTGTCGTTTTTTATATATATATATATATAAAACATTATTATATATATAAAATGTTATTTGTAAGATATATAAGTATGAATTGTTTATACTAGTTACGAGAAACGTGACCCCATTTATTGGATGAGATCCATCTCACAGAAAGTGCCTTGTTATCGTATTAAGTGGTTTGGTGCGAGCCGCTCCGCGTCGGTTGCGGCCGTATTGCGCCGTGTTCGAATTGTTCCGACCTCTGCACCAGAATAATAAAATTGAGCTTCGCTGTTTTCTTGAAAAGACGGACCTTTGAACCATTTGATATCATCTTGATTACATTTGGTAGACGTTCGATCTCGGTCGCCGTCCGCAACCTCTTGTAGCCGCAATAGTGCCGCACGTCAAATGGTGGGAAGACATGTTACACTACCATGTTTATTATTATATTTCTATGAAAGTTATATACATGATGTTAGTTAGTGGCGCACGCTGTGTTGCTCTACGGCATGCGAGAACTGTAATTAATCGTGGAACTTGGACTCGTTTGCCCGCTTGCAAACGAATTCAATGAAAAGACTTGTGAGATAGACGAGAGAGGCCCAGCGGGGCGGAACCTTGGCGTTACGTGTTTTTTGTTAAGAACATTTATCTGCATAATAATATGCAGCTGTGATTTCTTCGAGTTTATATATCAATTCCTCTTCCGCGTTCCTGGAAACCGACGCTAGTTTTAAGTTGACATTTGTAGGGCCAAGACCGCGAGTCGCTCGCCCGCCTTACTTATCCTACAATCAATTGTAATTAATAAAATGTTGATCAGTTGCAAAATGTTTTATTGCTTAATTAACGCCCTGGAAACCATTGGTCCATTGTTTCACCTTTCGCACACGTAACAAACGATGAAGTAAGCCAGTTGTGTGCATACTTGAAATGTTTTCGATAGTAGGTTCAACGCAAAAATCAAAAATGTGAGGGTAGATTATAGAATTTTAGCCAAACGCAGCACCACTACATCAACATAACTATATCATTGTAACCCAGACAGGGCTTTACAACTTTTCTACAAACAGTCCAGAGCTACAAGCTAAAGTTAGTCTGAAGTTTCAGAGCGGTGAATCTGGTAGTGTGCAAATATATTGGATTTGTGATAATCGACGCCGACTCTGCTTAATCCTTGCGAATATCCTGCTGCCTATTACACGTATTCAAAGTTTTGGGATCGTTATCCAAAACTTTCAGATCATGTCGATGGAAATCAATCATCAAAATGGTGTCTATGATATAAGTTTAGCATCAAAATGAATCCGAACAGTACCTAAGACATTCCACAATATCGGTAATGGGATATATGTATAGTTGCGTCGTCTTAAAACTTCTCCGTCGATTCAAAAGCGCGAATTTGACATGGGCATATTGCTATTGTCAATTAAGAAACATTGTGTTTATGTACTCCAGTACTAGTGACATGACTATCGCGAGAGAGCATAACTCAGGCCCATGTAGAAGCGTTCAAAACCTTTTAAAACAATAAAAATATATAATTTGGCCCAGAATACCTTACTATATCCACCACGATACAAATTAGTAACAATGAATAGTTGTACTTTACGCTCTTCTGTCATATACAGGGTGGCTTTTCTAAGTGTATCAATTTTTTTTATTAAATTCTGGACATAAATAATGTTAAATAAAAAATAATAAATATTTAAAATCACTCTTAAGTAATTAATTACATTAATTTGAACTTATCTCAAAAAGTGCGTGATTTACACGCAACTCGTTTATTTTACGCGCAATCATTCATAACTAAAACGCAGACAAGTTCGTGCTCAATAAAATTTTGGTATTTATGAATGACTAACCCATTGTCAACACGTTCTTTCTTTTAAGGAATAGAATAGCATTTTTTTTTTGGAAAAAAAATCTTGGTTTTTTTATTTCTATAAAGGGATTATACTACCGAGTCTGAACCTCCTGTGTACATTTGGGCACTTCTCAAAAAATCTCCCTGTATAGTATCTTCTGTCAAGCCGTTGTACTTTCCCGGGCGAGGCCTGTCTCTTGTTAACGTCAGGAAATGCCTATCCCCGAACGAGAGTCTGCCTATTTGTGGAACAGCAGAATTTGTTGCGTTTCCTATTTCACAAATACGCAAGATTACGGCACATAGTAAGTTTTATCGGCACATTTTATCAGTGGTAGAGCCACGCAAAAGCCTCGGCTGTTCCACGAATGGGCAGGCTCGTCTGGGTAAGTACCTCACAGAAGATCGGCGTAAAGTGGAAGTATGACAAATACTTTCGCGTTTCGTCTGGTGAGTGAGGTAGCCGGAGCCCAATTTCCAAAAAGGTTGTCAACGCATCTGCAAACCCTTGGGTGTAGCAGATGTCTATGGGCGGCGGTATTCACTTAACATCAGGTGAACCGTCTGCTCGTTTGGCAATTTTTCACATAAAAAAAAAGTTTGGATATAATAAAATTTAGCATAGACTTAGACCCGAATGGAGATCCCACTTATTTAATTGTATTAGGACTTATTTAATTGTAGGATTGTAACAGTATATATTGGTCTATGGGGGATCCAACTCACGGCGCGCAATGCAGTTGGCTTTAATCGTTGACCTTAAAAAATGTGTTGTAGCCGTATTTTATATATGCCTCTACAGCTTATTTTTTATCTATTTATTTATTTGAGAAGCATACAGTATATTCCACACTGAAAATTCCTCTAGCGCCATCTAGTGCAACGTTCTGAGGCCATAATTATAATGAAAATAAATTGGACACTATTTAAAAATAAACAGGAATAATGCTTGAATAAAACAACAGTTTTCAAAATTTCATTTGATGTTTAATTCAAAACAATGATACAATTAATCAGTAAGGTTTAGTATTATAACTAAATATGAGAACATTAGTTATATTAACGATACAAAACAAAATTGGTATAGTTAAGTATAGGTAAAGTTCTAGAATAGCGATACTTTCGTTTGTTAACTATTACATGAAGTAAAAGTCTCAAAAATGATTCGAGCCTTAATGAATTTAATCAATCAAGGAACCCGAACTACCGGGCCGGTCCGGCTCGACACGAACTAAGTCAACCGAATTACGGAAGAAGTCCTAAGGAGACTGTTTAACTGTATGAAATTTAACGGTTTTTTTTTAATTTATAGATATTAAATCTTTATCCGTGCCGTTACCGCGAGTTATTATTTACAAATTTCAAGGAAAAATTTAAATTCGTTTCTGTAAACCGATATACATTTCGATTTATTGGTAATTATTTACACATTGAAATCTTGTAATCAATAAAAGCGTGTTCGTCAAATAAAAATAAAAAGGACCTCCGATATGTACAAAACTAGTCGGTGCATACCAGTGGCGGACTAACAGGGGGGCAGAAGGGGCGGTCCGCCCCGGGCCCCCAAACGCCTTCATGTTACCTTGAAAAACTCTTAAACAAGGCTTTAAAAATATGCTTTGCACCTATCTAAGAGGTTGTAGTTTGGAGGCCCCAAAAATGTTATTTCTTTTAGATAAAAAACTTGTAAATAAAATCATATAATCGGGGCGTAGCTAACGCTGTGTCAGCCTTATCAATGATACGGGGGCCCGAGCCCAAGGCCTGTGCAGGCCCCGAACGGATGAAAGAAAAAAATCCAATAACTTAGATTATTAAGTCATACGTCCCGGGAAAATAAATGATATCTTATTGATCATCTCTGGACTCTTTCTCCTGCATGAATAAAAAAATAAAGTCATACATGAGTTTTGACCATGTTTGCCCAGTAACGGTCAGATGTAATGTCTATCTTTAACAGGCCATTATTCTGTATCAAAATAAAATTGTTAATTTGGTTTAGTCGATTAGCAGCAGTTAGAGAAAAATATTGTTATAAATTAAAAAAAAGCTCAATTTCTGGAGATTATTTCAGTAGAGACATGTCGAATGTGTGTCATATTAGAAATATCATAATGGATAATTTGGAAAAATCGTACCAATACTTTTTTAGAAATAACAATAAAACGCTGGTCAATATTGAGTAAGGATTCATCTTAAAGATATAAAATTAGGTAACCTTAAAAAAGTTTGAACTGCTAGAAGATGTTCGAGAAACGACGCTTTAAGGAAAAATTATTCATTAATAATGAAAATTTTGCAGCAACTAAAAAAGGCGAACGTAGCGATTGTATAATTAACACGTCTCTGCTTTATTAATAATGCTTGCAGTCTTTTTTTCTTCACTTAGAAATCATCAATACTACAGCTCTACAGCATGAAAATAATGACTTATAGAAAGTTAAAATTTTACTATACTAAGCATTCTTTTCACGAAATAATAAAAAGATGTAGAAAAACACAACTGTCTGCTAAAATAACCACGTCATGTCAGTTGATCTATATGAACACTTTCTTATAAGACGTTCTTAAAGCCTGAAAAGGTGTAAATTCATTCCATTATAGAGCTCATGAAATTATTTCGGATAAAATTCAGTAGCCTTGCATCGTTTTTCCTGTGGTAATAGCAGCATGCTTTCTATTTTTAGCCCTTCTGGTTACAAATGCAACAGATAAAAATTAATATTTCGTAATTAAAACTGATAAATCTTAAGATTTCTCTGGGACAGGAACATATATCAGATGTCACTATTTTATATAGCGGCAGAAATTCTAGAAAAAGTGAAATCGTCTTCGCCACGGATGATTTAATAAATATTTTTTTCGAAATAAAGTGGAGAAAAGTGTAAGTATATTCATTCCAAGCGAGATTTTTTTTTCTTTGATGAAAAATCTTAACTCTTCATTTGGGCCGATACATTTTGATTTGAGGGCCCGTCTAATGCAATCTACGCCACTGCTTCTAATCTTTATAATGTGTATATTGTTTTAGTTCTAGAAACTTACTGAAAATAAAAACCACCTATTACTTTATTTTTTCTATTTAGTTTTTTTTGCACATTCGTATTTTATTTTCCTCATCCATCTCTGAGCTCTGTGCATATTTATTTAAGTTGTATTTAAATTTCACTTACAAGACTTTAACCAAATAAACATAAACACTTATACAAACAAATGTGAAGTGAATAAAAAGCTTCTTTATTTAGATCAATTTCATAAAGAAAAAGGGGCCTTATTCAGCTATACCGCCTCGGGCCTCTGAAGGCCTTCTTAGTCCGCCACTTCATACATACACCGGTTCCACGTGAGTTTAGCAGTTGTATCATTCCGAAATTAAAAGGATTAATTTATTTTTGTGTCGTGTCGATGTTCCTGTTCGTTAGTGTTAGTCGTAATCTTTGTTTTGATTTTAATTGAAAAATGAATGTAGCGCCATTCTAGGAAAACCTAATAAAGAGCATATTAAATATTCGTCTCCAACTGCCCAATCACAGCTAATGTTACATGTATGCATAATCAGGAATATTTCAAAATATATCTTCTCCTCCATTAATATTCTTAATCTTAGTCACAAACTTGAAATACTACAATTTTCTTTTAAGTAATTTTCTTTCAGTCTACTGTTTGAAACATTACAAGGTTATTTAAAAGCTATTGTACTTTCGATTTTGGCCTTAATTACTACATTTTGTATGAATGGATGAATGTTATTGATATAATACTTTCTGTCTGTATTTTAAATTCGTTAACAAAACTTAACAGATTTTATTTGGATTAAAAGAAAAAATAACGATGAATGATATAAAACCTCTCACACTCCCTCACACGTAGCTTAATAATACACGCGTGTATGTCGCTATAATTTTTTACATATCACAATATTTCTAGAATGTTATTTAAAAATAAGCTATTTGATTATTGAAATAAGTGAAAAATGTTTTAAAAACACAAGATGAGTTTATTCGAAGTGTTAGGCTTTGATGATGATACAAATGCAGGCTCTTTCAAGTGTATAATTTGTAGTAGGTCCTTTACGGCCAGAGCCGATCAGAGTTTGTGAGGCGGTCCGCGTACAGTGTTACGGCCTTAAAGCTCGCCACAGCTTTACCTTTATTCGATTAATTGGCGTACTTAGTGCAAAACTATTATGTGTTCGTGTGAAGATGGTAGTTCAGTTTCGTACCATAACGTGCAAAAATTGAGTAATCGCTAAATAAAACGTGTAGATGTAGCGACTTAGTTAGATTGCGACGCGAAGGAAGCAATGCCCGTTCCCCCTCCACCAAGTGTGTCTCCTGCGACACGTATGAACCGTGCGCTCCTCGCCTCGGACGAGCCCGGAGGCGCAGGCGGGCAGGCCGGGCGCTAGAGGTACATGCCGTTGACCAGGTAGTCGGCGTCGAGCGCGAGGCGCGGGTGGGCGCGCCGGCGGCGGCGGGCGGCGCGCGCGCGGCACGCCACCAGGGCGCCCAGCGACGCCGTCATCAGCGACCCTGCGCCGCCACACATAGCCCACTTGTGCGACACACGCTCTCTTCCTCATACTGTGCTAACTGCTACTGCTAATGCCGCTCCTAATACTCTCGCGTATTTCGATTCACAACGTGGCATTGAAAAGCGATAATGTACAAAGCGACTTGGACACCTCGTGTCTCGGGCTGAAATCGATGAATTTGTGTGTATATGTTTAACGGTAGTAGGGCCACGCAGCAATCTCGGCTGTTGCACGAATGGGCAGGCTCGTCCGGGTAAGTACCACGACCTCACAGAAGACCGGCGTCAAGTGGAAGTATAATACTGTCAGGTTTCGTCTGGTGAATGAGGTAGCCGGAGCCCAATTTCCAAAAAGGTTGTCAACGCATCTGTAACCCACGGGTGTAGCAGATGTCCATGGGCGGCGGTATTCACTTAACATCAGGTGAACCGTCTGCTCGTTTGGCAAGTTTTCACATAAAAAAAATCATAAAACGAAAACGAAAACCCTACCGAGCACGAGCAGCAGAACTGCGGCTGGCGGGTGCTCACTGAGACCGTCGTGATCGTCCGCCCACGGCGAGTAGGGGTCGCGCGCGGCCACCACCGCCGCCGCCCCCGCCGCCCCCGCCGCCGCTCCCCCCGCACCGCCCGCACCGCCCGCACCCGCAGCGGCCGCGCTCTGCGAACGAGGGTCCTGAAAACGGACATCGCAGACATCTTTGAGAAATATGTAAGTACTTGAGATATGAAGCGCCTCGCGCAGTAAAACACACGTCCGTTCTTTACTCTATTTATTTGGAGACTGGCGGTACAATAAAACATGTCTACATACGTTACAGTCTTGTTCCGGCGAACTGATGTGAGTGGAAGGTCGATGATGGTGGGACTTTGGGCTAGTCGAAGGAACGAATTGTCGATCTTAGTTAGGATCTGAAGGGATTCTGGAAAGTTTTAGGTTTTGCTATCGACCGATATGAAATGTTTTCTTTACCCTCATGTCTATGATCAAAACAACGGGATGACTGAAATTACTCTGATGAAGAATGGTAAAATTGAATTATACAATCTCAGAATGTATGAGATACGTACATTAGGTGGCAAAGCCTTCTTCTTCGTTGTGTTCTCAACAGGGTCGGGTTTCCTCTCCTCCCTGAGGTCGGGGCCGAGGGTGGCGGGTGGGGCCGCAGCCGCCCTCGCTGGCTCCGGGGGGGGCAGCTCCAAGCCCTTCTTGGGCGCGTCGCGCAGCGCCGCCTGTTGCCCCGTATACAGCGCCAGCTCAGGCATCGTCTTCGCCGGCATGTACACGCCCATCTCCTGTGTTCCACGGAAAACTATACAGTCCCATCTCAGTGCGAGTTCAACGAAGTTAATGTAACATGATTATGAATATTTCATAATTTAAGGGGTCCACGATTAAAAGTTTAAATAAATATTAAAATTAAGTATATGAAGTTATGTTGTTAGGTATCGCCGAGGAGTACGAACCGGGTCGACTCGTGGCGGCACCGGCCACGCGCGCCGCTCGTCGGGCCACGGCTCCAGCCGCGAGTAGCCCCAACCGCCCACGCTCCCCACTCCCCCCAAGTTGCCTACGCCTTCTATGCCATCCTCTTCTGTAAGCAAGGCGTACTTAACCCTTAAGCTATCGTCTACCATACCATATTCATACTATTATTGTAATTTTATTTAAATGTCTTCCCTATGTGGAAGTTTTGACCTAACCTAGATGTATTGTAGTTTCAGATTATGCACAAAGATGCTTTTCTTTAATACAACTTTACACTTCTCTTCGATGTAAACAGATTTGTATATATTAAAGTGCTGACGAGGTATTAAGATGGTCTGACCGTTGCGCGAAGGGTCCGGCGGCCAGGAGCGGTGTGGCCACGGCGGGGCGAAGGGCGCGGGCTGCAGCAGCCCCCCCTGGTGGCTGAAGATGTGCGGCGAGCCGGCGCCGCCCCCCGCACCCGCGCTACCCACCAGCCCTGCTGCACACCAATGCCAAGCACTTATTAACGATAAAATCTACCACGCACTCGCATAAATTGACTCAGTGAAACACGAATAAGTAAATATTTTTAAGAAATAAATTAAAAATTATTCAAAGGATTACGTTATGAATTGATTTATTAGTAACAGTAAACTAACAGAGTGAAGGGCCTGTTCGTTAGAAATACAATGTCGAACATCAGGCTGTAAATAAAAATGTATAATTGTTTATGTAATACTTTATACAGAAAAGGGGTCAATGCGCTACTGTCTGCTCTTTGGTTCCCTTTGCTCGTTGATGTTTATGTTGTGTGTGTATATGTAAAAAGGTAATATTTTAGGGTTGCAGTAGCGTTACAAACGTTTAAGACCGGCCAGGTTTCGTCACTAATCCGAAGAAACGAAACCTTTGCGAAAGTCTTTTATGGCCGTGGCCGTTCGCCGGACGATTTTTATTCACACTATTGATGTGATAAAATAATAGATAAAAGAAATAATTATTTTATGCAACATTTAACAGTAGACCAAATGATCATGTTTTGAAGGACGCCGGATCAGAAGGTTTTTGTTCAATTCTGTTGTAAAACATGATGGAATATTTTGGAGTTTAGGAAAACAAATAGGAAAGGAGATATGTAGGTAGTTCCTAAGGTCGGTTCGTGAGAATATACAAAGTTATTATGTAAGTATCTTCATTGACCTGAGTTACTTATTCTCGATATTTTTAAAGAAAACCTTGTAATAATAAGATCCAAATACCACAATAGATGTTATACTAACATTTCACAACGCAAAGTCGTCATTGTTAAAGTATATAAGAAGAGATCGTGCGAATATTAACGTAGATGCCTGTGAATTATTATAGTACTAGGAACCCGCCTCGGCTTCGCACGGGTTCAATGTAAATATAAACCTTTCCCATGAATCACTGTCTAGTAAAAAAAAAAAACCGCATCAAGATCCGTTGGGTAGTTTTAAAGATCTAAGCATACATAGGGACAGATAGACAGCTGGACGACTTTGTTTTAAACTATGTAGTGAAGCTGCCGAGCAGAGATTTGGGTTTTGCATGGGTCGCAGTAAAAAATACTTCATCTTTATGTAGTAATTTACATTCAGTGTTACCCATGTATCGTGAATACTTAATGGCTCAAGTGGCGTTAGCTGTGATAGAAATTTCCTTTGAAGTCGAGGGTCGTGCTGGTATGAAATGAGCCCAAGAGTGGGCTGTAGTGACCGTTGTAGCGGTGCTGTGCCTGCGCGAGGCGGCGCGGCCACACCTCTCCCGCGCCCGCGCCACCCCCCTCCTCACCCGCCTCGCCCTCCAGCCCCGGAATGGCTTGAGCGGCCGCTATGCCCTGCCTGGGCTGTGCTCGCTGCGCATTCTGGACGTCGTGCGCGTCCGGGACAACCTACGGACCGGTGGTTGTTATTATGTCATTTTGATACATAGAGTAACCGCTATTAGTGAGAGGAATCGTTGGCTTTAGGAACGTGTGTTCGTGTTACCTGAGTACGCGTCACCTGCTGCGGCGACTGTGGCTGTGGCTGCGGCCGGGGCTGTGGCGGTGGTGTGGTGGGGGGCGGCGGGGGCGGCGGGGCGGTGGGGGCCGCGGGGCAGCCCAGCTCGGGCGCCTCGTCGCTGCCGTCCGCGCACTGCGCCACGCCGTCGCACGCGTTGTACACCGCGATGCATTCGCCTCCGCGGCGGCACTCGAACTGGTAGCGGCTGCACCTTCCTGCCGCCGCCACACTCACTGCTCCCGTACACACGCACGCGAAATATTAAAAATGCAATGAATCTTACGCAACAGTAGTTCATCGGATTCATCACTCGAGTGAACGTAAGCCAGGGACATCCTAGCAACACAGGGGGGGGGGGGGGGGGGCTTCTCTATGAATGGAAAGAGTGCGTGCCGTGCTATGGTCCAATCGAGCGTTCTCTTATAATCAACAGCGTGTTTCCCTTCGTGGCGTCACAGTGAGTTTTAATCAAACCGAAATTATCTTTCAGTTTGTTATCGCCTGTCATCGATTTTAAGATAGTATGCCAAATGACACGTATTGTAATTTTATTAAATGATTTAAAAATTATTGTCACCTGTTGGTGATATCCGCACTAAAGTAAATTTGTAACACCTGTGTGGGGTTACAAATGCCTCGCCACCGTTTAAGAAAGTGGGCTCACTCGTGCAACAGCCATGACAGCTGCATGACCTTACCATAGTAAGATCTACCAACATCCTTTACAATTAAATTGTTAAAATACTTATAGTCTCACTAGAGAATATCATTTACAAATTTGCTGCGCTTAAACAATTCACTCAGAACCCGGTGCGCTCAACCAGTGCCGGATTAAACAAGCGCGAGGCGGTCCGCTTAGCAAATTTTTTAAAACATACCTTTGTCTGTTAAACATACCTCAAGTATAAAGTGGTAAAAAAGCAATTCAAACGCAAGCTGACTTATTCAATACCTTTCACTCTAAAAATAAAGGCTCACGTAGAGATCAATGGTTTTAAATATGCGGGCCCCCTTTAGCGCGGCGCCCGTAGCAATAGCCACTCTTGCTACGTGGTTAATCCGGCACTGTGCTCCACCCACCACGATGTGATATCTGATTGAAAATTGTTTTAAAAGTTAATATTAAAATAAAATAATTACTGGGCGGAGTCGGTGGTTGCTGGGAATGCTGGGGCGAGAGCACGGGCTGCTGCGGTTGTTGGGGTTGTTGCGGTTGCTGCGGCTGCTGTGGCACTGTCTGGGGCTGCTGCTTGTGCTGCTGCAGCTGCACCTGCTGTGGCTGCTCCAGCAGCTGCTGTCGAGTTGGTGGCAGCTGTTGCGTCTGTGAGGGCAGTATAATCGGCGCGACCACGGGGGCCGCACTACTCGTACTCGTCGGATTTCTGCAGATGTATAACATAAGCTCACTTTTCCGAAAGTAATGATATTCATACCGTAATACCGTACCTAAGTAAAAATAGCATAACTTACCCGGAATAAAAATCCAAAGATTGAGGTCTCTTGCGGTTTTGATATTAGCGGGTTTAAAAGTATTTTCGTCTAACGTTTTCTTAGATTCGACTTGTTGTATTTAAATGAAATATTTTCAACGGCGCTCGTCTACACGACTAACGTCCTTGCTTTTTTATGTTAGAAGGTGGCAAACGATCTAAGGTGTTAAGTAATAACCGCCGCCTATTGTCATTTGTAACACAGGGTTGCAGATGCGATGCCATCTTTTCATAAAGTGAGTCCCGGCTACCTCACTCACCAGACGAAGCGCAGAAGTATGACACTTCCACTAGGCGCCGGTCGTCTGCGAGGTCGGACGGACCTGCCCATTAGTGAAACAACCGAAATTATTACGGGCTCTACCAGTTTAAATGTTATTATTATTATTTGTGTGATAACCATGACGCGAAGATACTGTAGTCTGTAACACAGTTGTAAACGATCACAGGCTGCAGGCTTGAATGATTATATGTTTTTTCACTTTTTGTAAACAATAAACTCATTATTATTGACATGATTCCCGCAACGCTACGTATCCCACCAAGTAGGCTTTTCTATTGAGTGCTAGGTGTAGTTTAGGAGTAGCTGAATAGTTGCCTGAGGCGCTCCAACTCTCGCTCGTGCTGGGCGAGCCGCTCCTGGTCCTGGAGCTCGGCCAGGCGGCGGCTGAGCGCCAGCACGCCGCTGCTGAAGTTGCCGTGGGCGGTGAACTTGCAGCGGAAGTCCTCCGGCGGCCCGCACTTGAACAGGTAGCAGCTGCCAGGACTCTGCGCCACACACACCACACACACATTGGCTCCTCGTCCTTGCTATCAAACGTCCTTCACTGCAGCTAATCTTGACGCGCAACACAAGAAACGCAAGACGTTTCAAAGACATAACAATTAAATGATACTACAACTGCACAGTTGCATAACGGTAGCAGTAAACTCACCTAAGAAGCAAAGCCACTTAAATAAATATCGTCAAATCTCAAGTTACTCTTCTTTCAAACTCGTTGCGGATTTAATACATGGTATATTATCCAAATTTATCGAAATACTATATAATTTCAGGGGCAGGCTCGTCCGGGTAAGCACCACGACCTACCAGAAGATTGGCGTAAATTGGTAAAGAGTGAGGATGCCGGAGCCCAATTTTCAAAAGGTTGTCAACGTATCTGGAACCCTCGGGTGTAGCAGATGTCCACGGGCGGCGATATTCACTTAACATTAGCGAACCGTCTGCTCACTTGGCAACTTTCATATAAAAAATATATTAAGTGTAATATGCAGCACCTTATCTATTGAAAAAACATCACAACAGTTCAGTTTAAATAACAAATTTCAATTAGTGAAAATATATAAGGGTCAACGCGCGCTTATAAATTGTTTACACTACAATACAATATAGGTATGTACATATATTTAATTCTACAGAACATGTTTCTGCAGCACATTTTCCGAATGTTTGAAAGCATTGTGAGGTCCCATTCGCTTTCATTTTTTAAAATCGCGCTTTCATGCGAGCTGCGACGGTAGGAACGACGTCTGTCATGTCAATTCAAAGACGCAATGAAATCCCGCCAGTCGCATTGTGTGCAAGCAGTGCGGCGCGCGGGGACCCACCTTCTCCTCGAAGACGAACACGTCGCAGGCGTCCGTCTCGCAGCAGAGGCGCAGGCACTCGGCGCGCGAGCCCACGTCCAGCTCGGCGAGGTAGCGGGCGCCCATGTCGCGCGACTCCTCGGTGCGGATGATCTTGTCGCGCTGCACGTCGAAGCGCGCCGCGCACGCCGCCGGGTCCAGCTCGCGTGCGCGCGCACCCGCCAGCGCCAGCGCCAGCCACCACGCCCACGCGCGCATCTTCGCACCGCCCGCGCCGCCCGCTCCGACAAAGCGTGCGCCGGGGGCTCGCCCGGCTCCGCGACTGCCCGCCGCACCCGCCGCACCCGGCGGCGCCGCTCGATGGCAGCGCGCACGCGCCCCACGCAATCGGATCATACACTATGAACCCTTAACGCTGTAAATGATAAACGTATGGCCTTACATTGATTACTTTTCCTTTGTTCGCGAAAATCTAATCGAATCCGCAACCTAGCGAAAATTGAGCCTCTCTATAATGCGTTAAATGAAAAACTCGAGCGACGCCGGAGAGTGGTGTCGATAGGAGATAGGAATTAAAGCTACGCAAAGGGTTCGCCGGAATCGATACCGGCGCCGCAGGTGAGAGGGGGCACCGCGCAGCGTGGCGGGAGGGGGCGTCGCGACGGCGTCGGGCGCCCGCCAGTGAGGCCGCGACGCCGGCCGCAGCCCCAGCGAGCCCCCGAGCGAGCGCCGCGCACGGCCCACCGCACTCCGCTCACCTCGCACCGCACCACCACCGACCACCACCGACCACCACCGACCACCGCCGACCACCGCCGTCACCGTCCGCGCCGCCCGCCCTCATCTATTCATGTCGCTATTCTTCAAGTTCAGGAACAACGTGAGTACCGCCCCGCAGCCTCCGCGGCGACACACCCCTGCTCTTATCACGATTTTGTTTATGCGCGCATTCTGATAATGGACGAAGCATCTGATCTGTTCCAATTGAAGTTTTCCGAAGAATGACATATTTAAAAAATCTAAAGTTAACCTGAATAAAAAAAATCGACCTAATTGTAAAATACAATTAATGCATACTTTACACAAATATTCAAAATCATCGTCCAAACCAGGTATAAATTGAAACGGATAGAAAAGTGAAAGAACTTGGACACAACTACTTTTTATGTAAGGCTTCCCATTGCTAATAATTCAGAAATGTCGAGCGAATCTATAATTATATACAACATAATTATTATGTGGCAGCGTCGCGTGTGCACTAGGACACCGCAACGAATCCCGTGGCTTCATTGGCATGCCTCATCCGAAACCGCTTACCGCCTTTAGTACAGCAACTTTCCAATGCCATCACAAATAAAATTAACTAAAATACTTAACTATTTATTTGAATAGATATGTAGAAACACGAATATTCGCTTTGTATATTATAACGATATGTAAAACAAACAGCATATATATAATAAAAAAAATATTATGTTTTGAAAAAGCATTAATGAAGGCGACACCTGAGAGATAACTATATAATCACTTTGCCTTCCCACTAGGACTTGCACCCATTTCACTTTGATTTCCGAACAATCGGATTATTCATATTTCCCATTCTTTTTTAATTTTTAATGCCCAATTATCAAAAGGTTGTCAACGCATCTACAACCCTCGGGTGCAACGGATGTTAACGGGCGGCGGTATTCCCTTAACATCAGGTGCTCGCTTGGCAACTTTTCACATAAGAAAAAAATAATAATTGTAATTTATCCCGTCGCCGATTTGAAATATTGTTTTCTTTTTAATGATAAGCTGATAAATCGATTTGCGGATCGAATATGGTTAGAAACTTAGGTCATCTAAGAAGGATGAAGAACTGATTCACAATGAAACCCCAGAGACCGCCATTGAGAAAACTTACGCCCGGTTTCTGAAACAATGATCGCGTGCGTTTTCACTCATTATTTGTAAAACTTCAATTGAAACAAACGGGAGATTGGTAACGGGATAGATGTTAATAATAGTGCTTAGTGCTATAACCACTTGCATTCCACATCATAAAAGTTTGTAACGATCGTCATAATATTATTATGTAGGTATTATGAGCGCTTATTTCGCCATTGTATTGCTACCGTAACAAATCTATTGTTGTTAATAACAGCGCGCGCACACGTGTCGCTCTGGCGTGAATGCGCTTCGAGGCTTTGAGAACAATTCGCCCAAAGACAATTGTAACGGGTAGAGCTTCTACAATGTTACTACACTTGTCTGGTTGGATTCATAACTTTCTTAGATAAGGTGATAGACAGTTTAAAGATAAGAGATAATATTTGGGATTTTTGGGATTCTATTCCAATTTCATCTTTCGCCATATAATTTTATGTTTCTGTGCTCTTTATTACGCGTTAAAGAAATCCAATCAAGATGTCAAGAAGTCTCAATGATAATATACTAGTGATGTTCCGGATCATTACAATTGTAGATCCGCCGATACGGATCCAGATATGGATCATTGGCGTCAATATCCGCGGGTACGGATACGGATACGGATCTTAACTTAATATCCAGGAAAATCTCAATATCCAACGTTCTTGATTTTGTGTCCGATACGGATAAATTAGATTTTAGTTTTTCAGAAACTGATAAATAAAACAAGTTTCAAGTAGCCACATTTTCACTCCCACGGGTCAAAGGAATAAAAAAAATTGCTAACAACTGATAAAATCGCTTACAACCGGTAAATGAAGTAAATCTCACAGCAACTACAAAAAGTACTAAGGACAAACAAATTATTTTTGCCAGAGTCTAGAGAGTCTATGGCTAACATGTTAGATAGTGATGGTGATGATGACTATTAGATACGAAAACTCATTTGCTCATACAGTACATGTCAGAAAAAAGATTTTCAAGAGAGCCACGATCCACTAAAGAATTGGCAGATGAACAGTAAAAAGTTTGGAGGACTCAGTCATACGACTTGACGACTCGATTGGCGTGTGAGTAGGTAGTGGCCTGCCTCTTGCGCCAGAGGGTGTGGGTTCGATCCCCACTACTGGTAAATTATTGTGTGATGAACATAGTGTTTTCCCAGTGTCCGGGTGTCTATAAATGTATAATATGTGTTTATTTACAAAAGAGAAATTTGTTTAAGTGTGTTTATCAGTTTTCTAGTACCCATAGTACAAGCGTCGCTTAGTTTGGGACTAAAAAACGTAAAAAATGTATTCGAAAATATTTATATTTATATTGCTGGCTCATGTTCATTTTTTATCATGACTTTTGGGGGATACAGCCGCCAAGCTGTATCCCCCAAACTTTTTGAAGTACAATTTACCGTTCCTTTAATTGTCACTGTGTTTTTAATCAAAAGTTAACACTTTGAGTGTCACAGTGTATTAATTTACTTAATTAGAATTATCATTTTATTATGATTATAAGGGTAAAGATCCGTCAAAAATGTAAGGGATACGGATAAGATACGAACGGATAGATCTTTTTTTTCCGACGGATATCCACGGATATCAGGAACATCTCTCTCCTCATATAGATATATATATATATATATATATATATATATATATATATATATATATAGATATATGATAGTCTTTTACTTTTTCCCTTTGGTACTTAATTAAACCTCACTGTATCATGTACGTCTTATAATTAATATCCCTTATGAATGCATCATAAACATAAAGAAGTAAATCCTATAGGAAGTATAATCTAAAACGCCTTAATACTTGGATCAGTTGGTGATCATTGAAGTTTAGGTCGACATTTTATATGGCAAGCACGCGCAGGGGAATAGGAGGCGGTTAGGCTTAGGGGTGGGCGGTCAGGGCCGCGCGGGATCTGGTCCAAGGCTAGTGCGCCCTGAAAAGAGGCGAACCATTCAACAAGGAAGTGGGCTGGAACGAAAGTGATTGCACACTTTAAGCTTTAGAGGCCTCTATAAGTGATCGTTGTTAGTGAACCTATAATATTATTTTCTTACCAGTGATAGCCAAGTGACTGGTACGTAACATTGCTCAGAGGAAAAATATTTTTTAGATTTAGTTGTATATATTTCAATGATATGTAGCAGTGCTGCTAAGATGTATTTTTACTTCAAAAGCGATTCAAACGCATTGGAGATAATGTGATGTTATCGTGTAATTTTTTAAATCGAGGAATAGATTAATTAAAATTGAAAATGGTAACGACTGGGATTATTAATGTGGTTATAATATATATACTTGAATGAATGCTTCCTAAAAGCTTTCCAAGCACTCTTTACTTATATCATTACAAATTTTTTTTCACACAATTAATCGCGTTGGAATAAAAATTTATGGAATAAATTGGTGAAAAGGGTTAACGATTTTGATTTTTTACCAAAAACAAACAGGATTTTTTACTGAAATTGAACCCGAAACTTCGGTCGGAGAGGATTTAGTATGTGTGTAGATTCGGGGGCGAAAAATCAATCTGGCTAGGTTTCATTTTTAGAAAATGTCGTTTTATCCCAGTTATCAGGGAATGAAAAATATCATTCGAATACGACGGTAAATTTCACCGAAAAAAAAATGTTATAATAGCTCGGTCGGTAATCGGGCGGCCCCGAAACAGAAGGCCGTGGTTCGTGTTACGATCATTCACACACTTATTTTTTTTACTTTTTTTTCGATTCCAAATCATTGCTTTCTTTATTTTTTATTTTTTGTCGATCCAGATGATTTTGTTATTTTTTTTCTCTTTTTTTTAAAGTTCTTTCTTTTGTGAAAAACACCAGTTCATATTTTCTAATAAAACAAACCGAGCAAAGCTCGGTCCTCGGCAGGTCTCGGCAGCCGACAACATTCATTATGAATTCTTAATCTTCGCGGGCGACGAACCGTTTTGCAAGTAGCGACAATTTACATATAAATTGAATTCAAAAGTCGCGTCTCCAGCGAACCATACCACAAAGCGAACGGCACCAAGCGATGAGGACTCACATTCTCTTGTTACCTGACGTTGTACCAACTCGTATTGCCAATGACATACTATTTTAGTGTGAAACTATCATATAATACTTGACTTCCTAACGGAGAAATTTACTAGTAAATCAGACCAATAAAGTATGATTTAAGACAAAAGACAAAGAAGAAAATTTAACATTACAACGATATGTCTCTTATATCTTTATTTCTTTCTTTCTTTCGAATTGCAAGCGGCGGACGATTTCCTTTTCTTGTTATTAAAAAAATATCGCAATGTTACAATAATGCTAAAAGACATATTTTTCTCCTGGCTTGTGTAATAATTATGAATCAATAAATAAATCGGTTTAATTTAAAAGTGTTAAAATATTTCAACTTTTACTATTTAATGCAGTCTAGACACGACTTGAGCGAATAAATAACATTAGGCTGTTTGCGCGCTCTCTCCCCTTTTCTCCTCGGGATGAAAAGCTGCAAAAATGCCACAGCTATATTATATTTTTACTTCAATGTGTAGGTTATACTTTACAAATTTTCTTTCCTCCTTTATCTATGGATATACTATTGTCCTTTCTCCTAATGTAAAATTCCGTTTATTTTTCACGTACCGCCATAATAACTTTCTGGTAACGATTTGTTGAAGACGCCACCTATTAAAGAAACGTTTTTAGAGTAGCAGGGGAGTTCTTATTTCCGTTGATAGAGATGCCCGTGAACTTTCAAGTTCGGGAGGTTGTAATGCCTTCTTTTCGCCTATTAAAATATGTATCGATAAATATACCGCTGACGTGAATTAAATTTATATATTTTTTTATTTCATATAAACAGATATAAAGTTATCTGAAATAAAGAACGAAATCTGTAAAGGCATCTTAGTTTACAAAGTCACGCTTATATAAACTTGATAGTTAAGTTTCCTATAATCGATTTTAAATAAAAATGAATAGGTTGAGAGAGATATGCGAGGACATGGTTTGTAAGGGCGAAACAGTTTTGTGCACGAACCCTTTTCGGTGAGTGGTCCTCTCTGTGCCGTGGCTCTGGAGACAATGG